ATTTCCACATAAGAGTTAAAATAGTACCCTACAATGTTATCCTTTTGATAGATCAGCTAAAATATTAGAATCAGAGTTATGTTACAGCCATTAAAAGTGACAGAAGTCACAAATTAGGAATATGCCTTTGCTCAAGCTGCAGCCAAGCTTTTGAGTCACAATAGTGTAAAAATAGAAATAGATAAATGCATCAACCATAGATTCTTTCAAAAATAGAGATTATTTGTAGCCAGTGCTAATATCAAATGGTAAAGGGACCATTTCACAAGCATTTACTTCAAAAGTAGATAAAGTTAATTACAGTTTATGTACAGTTTTATTAGATACCTTCCAAATTCACTTGTGTTCAAACATGAGTGAATGTTGACAATGCAAAAAGTTCATATGAGTGTAGTCTAGATTAATGCCTAGATCAAAGAGATAGATTAGAACCAACAGAGATTCAAAAGCATTTAAAAGCATTTTGATGTATTTGTGTATAGCACAAAAACAATAGTAGATATTTAGATATTGAGAAGTTTCCAGCACAAACACCATTGTAGAATAACTGACCCCAACCCCAAACTTGCTAAAATAGATTAGCTCTTGTTAGGATAATACTAATTTGATTAAAGATGTACATTCATCCCAAACTGCCTGACAATAATATCTTTAGATAATAAAAAGTAATAAATCACTGACCACTATAGAAGTGTAAATGTTGACCATTTGCCTTACTGTGTTCACAGTTTTATTCCTGAGAATGAGAATAGACATGGAGCAAAATCCCACTGATAATAAGCCACTAATAATGAGAGTATAAAACCACAGAGAGATTTATTAGATTAAAATGTATGTTTAAGAATATGGCTCAATAGAAGCAAATATGCAAACATATTTGTAAATAGATTAGAATAGTTTTAAACTATAGTGAATAGTGAAAGTAAAGTACACAGTCTAAGATTAAAAAGTGAAAATAATACAGTGAAATAAGTGAAGTGTAAACAATTAGCATTAGAATAAAAGTATAGAGTAATAAAAGTGAAATTAGCTTCTAATTTGAGACTCAGCTCGTTTTTGTCTGTGTTTTGACTGAATCTGCTGAGTTCTTGTGTGTCCAATAGTTTTTGTTTGTTTTTATTTTTGTTTGTTTTTATTTTTGATTTGTTTTTTGTTTGTTTATTTACTTTATTTTTGTTTGTTTGTTTTTTCCCAGGATAGAGGATAAAATCCATTGATATTGATTTGATGATTATGAGTTTAATGCATACATTTTCTTTGTTTTTAATAATTTTGTAAAGTTTTTTTTTTTTTTTTTTTTTTTTAGATTTTTTTTTTTTTCTTTTTCCACTTTATTGATTGATTAAATTGAATGATCACATGTGATTATGTGATCAAAGGGGAGAGTATTAGTATTAGATAGCAATATGGCCTACGTGCAGGACTGTACAAGGACTCTACAAGGACTCCATGTTATGACTATGATTTGACTGTCTCTTTGTGACACGTATGTCTTTCGATGTGTGACGTGACAATGACTATATAAACTGTGTACTGCCTTTATTCTGTCTGAGAAAAAGAAACAGAGTAAACTAGTGGAACTTGAGAGAAACTTAAATAAACTTCCAGAGTTTGGCACACCACGATCCGTCTCTGTCTGCTAAATCCAAACATATGTTAGATATAAGTTATATATATGTTAGGTATAAGTTATATATATGTTAGATATAAGTTATATATATGTTAGATATAAGTTATATATATGTTAGATATAAGTTATATATATGTTAGATATAAGTTATATATATGTTAGATATAAGTTATATATATGTTAGGTATAAGTTATATATATGTTAGATATAAGTTATATATATGTTAGATAGTCCACAGTCTCCTGTATATCAGGCTCTGAGCCCAAACTGCTTTTCCTTCGAAGCACAAAGCTCTCTGCTCCATAGTGCCTCGTCCATGCTCCTGCTGCAGCCGCTCCGTGCTTCCTTCCAATACACACACACGGACCAATCACAGCGGAGCTTCCTTGCGGCGACCTTTACGTAGTTAGAAAATTTCGATGCTGCGCGGCAGGCGACGTAATGGGCTAGACACACGGGAGGCGACATCGCATCGCCTCCATTCATTTCAATGGGACGTGCGCGACATAGCGTCAATCGCTAGCGAGCCTCCTGCTTAGCGACGGGCGAAAAACGTGCGTGTGAAATCCTCCTGCTCGTGCATGTATCGTGCACGCGCAGGTCAGCGACGCGATCCCAGAAAGTTGAAATCGGCTCAACTTTTCGACGCTGTCGTCAAGCCGCATCGCGCCCCGTCTGTCATGTTATCTGAGCGACAGCGTTGAGTTTCGCTGATCGCTCTCATTTGTCGCCTCCCGTGTGTCGAGCCCTTCAGGGCCTTGCGGTGACCAACGCGTTGCGCAAGTGACGTCACGTCACCTCCGTAAGCTCCGCGCCGCGCAAGTATAAACTAGGCTTTAAAGGTCGCCGCAAGGAAGCTCCGCTGTGATTGGTCCGTGTGTGTGTATTGGAAGGAAGCACGGAGCGGCTGCAGCAGGAGCATGGACGAGGCACTATGGAGCAGAGAGCTTTGTGCTTCGAAGGAAAAGCAGTTTGGGCTCAGAGCCTGATATACAGGAGACTGTGGACTATCTAACATATATATAACTTATATCTAACATATATATAACTTATAAACTGTTCCTGTCTTGTTTGAATCGTAGCTGCGTTTGTTGCTTTCCTCCTGCACTCGTAAATCGTTCATGTTTGTCTCAGATATTTACCACTATTATTGTTTTGCTGTTTGTGCTGAAAACTATTTAATAATAACTATGTTTCCAACAAGAACTGTGTCTTTATTCACAGCATCACAGTTGAAATGACTTATAAAATAATGAATCCATAAAACTATCACATAAACCTACAGTAGAAACACTAGGCTTAAGGCCTGCACACTTAAACATTCCTTCCTTCCCATCACTGTAAACTACAGACTTAAAACATGGATTCAAAAGGCTCTGACTTGTACATTTGCATTTGTAACAACATAAATAACATTTAAAACCGAAATCATGCAGAGTGTAAAAACGTGACCCACCTCTTCAGACGCTAGACAAAGACTGAGCGAGGCGCATGCTATACTTCCGGTAAGAGCGTGTAGACCAATCAGAAAGGAAGGGGGAGGGAGCTTGGTTTTTTTTTTTTTCAAATCAAATACCTCTCTGTCTCTCTTTCTGACAAACTCTAGACAATCACTTTAAAGAACAAATTTACAATATTGCACAACACCTGGATTCGAAGTTAAAACATAGCTCCATGACAAACAGATGCCCTTTCATGGGTTTGCACGTGTGTGAGCATTTGTGCTTCTCCGCCATGTTTAAAACAGGTTACACACGTGAGCGTGTTCCCCTGCTTCAGCACTGGAGCATGATTCCCATCACTGACAATAGTCGGATGCAACTGAAAGCAGACATAAACATCCATTTGTGCACACTCAGAAACACAAATATCGCAGACAGACGAGAAGGGTCTGTCTGCGGCTTGCAGTACGGAGGCGTGTCGAGTAGTAGGCGTGTCGGGTAGTGACGTCACTACCCGACACGCCTACTACATGAATTTTGAATCCACTTGAACTTCTGCAAGTATATCCGTTGAAGAGAAGACATGGCAGACCGTACGTAAACTGTAAGTGACAACCAACAACGTGTTTTATTTATTTTTAGGCCGTCCCTCAAGTTACAGTGTATTAATGAATAAATGCACATCACCCTGACTAGAAATGTTTTTTAAGAAGTGAACTAATACATTGCAGAGAAAGCAATTCGTATGGGTTTCTTCTAAGAGTCCATGTGCCATCGACATGTCAGGTACATAGTATAATAGGTACATAGTATAATATATACAATATAATATTGCCCAAGTCATTTTGCATCGTTAAAATGGTAATAAGGAGAAAAACATAACTCTTTACATGTTTTCCAAGAACAGTGGAGAATTAGTTAGGCAATTATGTGATGTAGCTCACGATGTTTCCTATCACAGTTACAGAAGTCACTGACCATAGTTATTGGATGATGTTCCAAGATATTTGTGTTTCTGAGTGTGCACAAATGGATGTTTATGTCTGCTTTCAGTTGCATCCGACTATTGTCAGTGATGGGAATCATGCTCCAGTGCTGAAGCAGGGGAACACGCTCACGTGTGTAACCTGTTTTAAACATGGCGGAGAAGCACAAATGCTCACACACGTGCAAACCCATGAAAGGGCATCTGTTTGTCATGGAGCTATGTTTTAACTTCGAATCCAGGTGTTGTGCAATATTGTAAATGTGTTCTTTAAAGTGATTGTCTAGAGTTTGTCAGAAAGAGAGACAGAGAGGTACTTGATTTGAAAAAAAACAACCCAAGCTCCCTCCCCCTTCCTTTCTGATTGGTCTACACGCTCTTACCGGAAGTATAGCATGATTTATATAATGTTTGTTTTACATTAGTAGGCCCGAGCGCCACCAGGCTGGCACAGGGACTATTGTAATGAAAGTGTGCATAAAACACTGAACCCCCCTCAAACATAAACATGTCATGGTACATGTTTCCTGGACGTACACTGTACTAAAAACTCTGCATTGCAACATTGTTGATGTACAGAGACCATAAAGTCATAAGTGCAAGTCACTGACAATATATTAAACAGGACACAAAGACTTCCGGCTGGGCCTCGGAGAGATGTAGACGCGTCGTCTGAGCTCTCCTACATTTACCGCAATTTTACCAACAAGACCACATTTTTATATCATCTGCAACCCGTAAAGGCATTGTGAGTCACACTGGGTGAAACGTATTTTTCGTTTTGTGTATTTTTATTGACTTTGTGGACTTTTCAATATGCCAAAACCGCCTAAAGCTAACGAGACTGGAGAAAGTAGCCTAACCTCGGGGAATACCGCTGTACTACAAGCCATTGACGCTCTGAAATCGGAGTTACTTTCTAAAATTGACGACAAAGCAGAAATGCAGAAAAATGAGCTGGCCAAACAAATACGTAGTTTGAGAGACGAGGTGAAGGCGTCTATTGAGCAGGCTAACAACAGAGTTAGCATGCTGGAGGAGCGCATGGCTAGCTTGGAGGAGGGGACCAACACGTGCTCTGATGGCGTAACGGAGTTGGAGCAACAGGTGGCTGAACTAAAACATCAAATCTTGAGCCTGACAGAGAAAACTGAAGATTTGGAAGCGAGATCCAGAAGAGATAATTTGCGTATTTTTGGGATAAAGGAAGGCCGTGAAGGTGGTGCGAAAGTGAGCACGTTCATTGCTGAACTCCTGCAACATGTCCTGAATCTGGCAACCCCTCCGGTGATTGACAGGGCACACCGCACCAGTCCACAAACAACCAAAGCAGGGCCAAATCAGCCACCCAGAGCATTCGTGGTGAAGTGCCACTACTTTCAGGAAAAAGAAGCAATTCTGAGAAGCCTCCGAAAAACTCGTCTCTAAGGATGGGGACACTATCCGAATTTTCCCGGATTTTACGCAAAGTGTAGCACGGCAGAGAGCAGCGTTCGGACCAGCGCGACAGATCCTGAGGCAGTGCGAAGGGGTGAAGTATGGACTTTTGTATCCAGCAAGATTGAAGATCACCACCCCCGACGGCGTGCAGCAGATGTTCTCGGACCCGGTGAAGGCGACAGCGTTTGCCAAGGGACTGATGGCGCCATGACGTATGGATGCATCGTAAAGTACTGTTGACATTAACGAATATTATGGTTCATGCTCCGTTGCTAAGATCGTACGATCTCATTCATGTTTGCACAAACATATCATTAAGATTGTAAGTACTCATGGTTTCTGTTTATTTTTATTGTCATTTTGTCTATTTTTGCAAGGTATTTTTTAAGTCATATTATTCCAAAGATAACGTGAGGATAGTTTTTTGGTAATTATTTTATTTTCTCCTTTGTTTTTATGACTCAGAGTAATATTTAATGGGGAGGGAGGAAGGAAGAGGAGGAAAGGGTAATAAGGGGGAGGAAAAAAAAAACAAAAAAAAAAAAACATTTTAATTAGGTGTTATTTTATTATTTTTATTTATTTTACAGTTTTTTTTTTTTTTTTTCTCATACATTTTGTTTTATTTTGATATACCACCCCTGTTTACGTTTTGAGTATTCAAGTTCTCTGAAGTTAGGGTGTTCGTTTTGTACGGGTACAGGGTTGAGTATCTGTGGGTCTTGTTGGTGTTCTATGACAATTATTCAACTACAATTAATTTAAGGTTTAGGTAGGATCTCAGCCACTTTTGGTAAGTGGTTAGGAAAGTTCTTACTTAGTTTAGATGCTTCATTGTGGCTTGGGAGGTGGGGGGGGGGTGCAGTCTCTTACTTTGGGAGGGACCAGCAGCAAAGGGTTTGTTTTGGGGGGAAGGTGACTTCTGTGCTATTTTTCTTTCTTGGCTTTTCTGTTTTTCCTTTTTCTCTCTTCTCCCTTTTCTATAGGGCTGGCGATGTGATGCAACTGCTTTATAGATACGTCCACATAGACTACTGCAAAATTGTCGTGCTTCTGGTGACATGATAGGTCCACCAACTAGATTGGTGAGCTGGAACGTGAGGGGACTCAATCACCCAGTGAAGAGGAGCAAGGTGTTTTCTCATCTCAATAAATTGAAAGCAGAGGTAATCTTCTTACAGGAAACACACCTTCGCACAAAAGATATTCAAAAATTGAAGAGGAGTAATGTATCTCAGATTTTCCATTCTGAACTAAATTCAAAATTTCGTGGTACAGCAATTCTGATCGGTACAAAGGTGCAGTTTGTCCATAACAAAGTCATTAGTGATAAAAATGGGAGATTTATTATTGTACAAGGAAGGCTGTATAATAAACCAGTGGTCTTGATCAGCGTCTATGCTCCCAACTGGGATGATTCAAAATTTTTCAAGGATTTGTTTGGGCGTATACCAGAACTGGGCACACACCATCTCATATTCGCTGGGGATCTAAATACTGCCCTCCAACCTATTGATCGATCTAAAATATCAACAACCTCGCCATCAAAGTCTGCTGACACCATAAACACATTTTGTCAATCTGCGGGGATTGTTGACCCATGGCGTTTTAAAAATCCGACTTCCAAAGTATTCTCTTTCTTCTCGGCAGTACATCCGACGTACTCTCGAATTGATTATTTTCTAATAGATCGAAACTTACTCCCACTGACTAGGTCAACTGATTATGAAAGTATTGTAATTTCGGATCATGCCCCAGTTATTTTAGAACTTAATCTGCAGAATAGATTACCACATCAATGCAACTGGCGATTCAATACATACTTACTATCTGATGAAAAGTTCGTAGACTTTATCTCAAAACAAATAGATTTTTTTCTTGACACAAATCATTTACCAGATACAAATATTTTCACACTTTGGGAAACCCTGAAAGTCTACATCAGGGGTCAAATAATAGAATATACAGCCCGTCTTAATAAAGCTCGCACCAAAAGATTTACAGAGTTGATCAAATTAATAAGGGATGTTGACCAGCAGCATTCTGTTACACCTAAAGGGGATTTGCGAAAACAAAGGATAGCATTACAAACAGAATTTGACCTTCTAGCCTCTAAAGAAGCCGCAGAAAAATACTTAAAATCCAGACATAACTGTTATGAACACGGTGAGCGAGCCGGTCGGTTATTATCATACCAGCTGCGTCAACACTCTGCAACTAATTATATTGGAAGAATACAGGCGTTAGATGGGGAAATTAAAGTGGATACCAAGGACATTAAATCTATGAAAAATAGGAAGGCGGCGGGGGCCCGATGGGTTATCCGATCGAGTTTTATAAGGCTTTCGCCAATAATTAACTCCTTTATTATGCTTAGTTTACAGGGAAGCCCTCAAACAAAAGAAACTCCCAACATCAATGACCCAGGCCACCATTTCAGTTCTCCCCAAAAAAGATAAAGATCTGACAAAATGTGAGTCCTACCGTCCAGTGAGTTTGCTCACAAGTGATTACAAGATTCTTACTAAAATATTATCACTAAGATTGGAACCAATTGTACCAACAATTGTACACAATGACCAAACAGGCTTTGTGAAAGGCCGGCAATCGTTTCATAATCTAAGACGGCTTTTCAACGTACTGTACTCCAAAACCTCTACCAAAACTCCAGAAGTTGTGGTGTCATTAGATGCACACAAAGCATTCGACTCGATTGAATATGGTCATCTGTTTAAGACATTAGACAAATTCGGATTTGGCTCAACTTTTGTTTCTTGGGTGGAGACGCTGTACTCGGCGCCTCAAGCGAGGGTGAGAACAAACAATTTCAACTCATCTTATTTTACCCTCCAAAGAGGTACAAGGCAGGGTTGCCCTCTGTCACCACTCCTTTTCGACCTCGCTATTGAGCCGCTAGCTATTGCTTTAAGGAATAACAATTCCATACAAGGGGTCTCACGGGGTGGAATGGTTCACAAAGTCTCACTATATGCGGACGACTTGCTATTATTCCTGTCAAAACCAGATACCTCAATCCCAGAGAGTCTGGAAATTATTTCACAATTTGGTGAGTCGTCTGGATATATCAATATATATCAATAGATCAATACCACAAAAAGTACATTGTTTCCCATTAATATTTTGGCAAGAAAACAGAATTTTGACCATTAAATTGTCAAACCACCAGGGACAATTGTCAAAGAACTATCACACTTAATTCAATTATCCTAAACCTCTACAGAAGTTCACACAGAATTGTGTACGGAGTCCAACGCTAACATGGCATTTTGTGTATTGAGAAAGCCAGTGAATAATTCTCCCATTAGGATGGACACTTCAGACACACTAATTTTAGTCCGAATGAAACATACAGTTTTATAACATTTATCATTTGCTTCAATCAGAATGAAACCTACAGTTTTATAACATTATTGTGCTTTATCCTTCAGTCAAATGAAACATACTGTTTATAACATTATCATGAGTCTTCAGATCCCAGAATGAAACATACTTGTTTTTTTATAAACATTATCATGTGCTTCAGTCAGAATGAAAACAACCTTGTTTTATAACATTTATCATGTGCTTCAGTCAGAATGAAAACATTCAATAACATTATCATGTGCCTTTTATAACATACTGATTTTAACATTTCATCGGTGCTTCAGTCAGAATGAAAACACTGTGTTAAAAATGTTATAACCAAAATATATACATTTCTCAGGGTCAGTCTGGAAGTCACACATGTTTCGCAGCCCTTCAATGCACAAATCAATCAATCTATATTTATAGGGCGCTTTATTGTTTGCAGCAGGGCAACAACAGAGCGCCTCAAATCACAGTCCACACCAGACAACAATGCAACAAATCATACATTAAAAATACAAATAAACACACGATATGTAATTAAAAAGCATTAAAATCACAATAAAGTAATTTAAAAAACATAAGAATCACTCACAAGTATTTAAAAACAGTAAATATAAAAAAACCACAAAAGTTACAACAATAAAAAACAAGGTGTGTTTAAAAGATAAATTCTCCAGGGTTTTTGTATGCACAGGAAATAAAGAAAAGTCATTACATGGATTTGATCATTGACAAGAGATGCGGGCCAGTCTCACATCCACGAGGAAGACTGTTCCAGACTTTACTGCATAATCCTGAAAAAGCACAGCTCCCCCTGTCTAGTCCTGACCTCTGGGCACTAACAAGAGTCCCGTCCCTAGCGCTCCTCAGATCCGGGCTGGTTCATATGAAGGGACTTAGCATATCATGGAAGTACTTTTGGTGGCAAGGCATGGAGAGATTGTAAACACCAGAGAGCTGCATTATAGTTCTATCACTCTGGGCCACGGAAGCCAGTGCAGAGACCTGAGGAACCCGACTAATGTGGTCGTACTTACCTGGTTTCTCTAGTCAGGACTCGGGCTGCAGCATTTTTGAATATACTGCAGCTGTTTTATAAAAATCTAGCAATTTTTGGAGATACCTGTGAGCAGGCCATTTGCAGTAATCCCAGCCTACTGGAAACAAAAGAATGGAATAAGAATCCTCCCAAGTCTGCCTGGACCACAATATTTTTTAAGTTTGGCAATATTTTTTCAGATGATAAAAAGCCTGCTGATGTTACCGACCAATGTGGCATTTTGAAGTTTAAGTCAGATCCCATTATTAAGCTCCCAGATTTCTGACCTATTAAAAGGCCCTTAGTGAGAGAGACTGAAGGTGGACAAATGACGGTCCTCCTCTTTGTTACTCAGTGAGACCAAAGACAATCATTTTCGGTTTTGGTCCCGCATTTAGCTGGAGAAAATTGCATTGCATCCACTCCCTGATTGCCGCAGGTTACAGTGAAGGAGTGCGTCCACTGGTCCATTGTTCCTCAGCTGCAGTCAGTGAGACATAGATCTGAGTGTCCATCAGCGTAAAATTGTGTAGGAACCACTTTCATACTTTGAATAAACTGACGCTAATGGCAAAATTTGTTTATTATTCAGACGAATAAACAAACCCACCTCATTTAGAGACAAACGGTGATATTACCTTAGTGCTGCATTTGACACAATAGACCACAGCATTCTACTGCAGAGGCTAGAATGTGATATAGGTCTTAGAGGAACAGCCCTTGGCTGGTTTAAATCCTATTTATCAGATCGATATCACTTCGTCAATGTGGATCAGAACTCGTCGCCTTATTCTGGAGTGGAATTCGGTGTGCCGCAGGGTTCGGTACTCGGACCGATTCTTTTTACTCTCTACATGCTGCCACTGGGAAACATTATTAAAAAGCATGGAATTAATTTCCACTGCTGCAGATGACACACAGCTTTATCTGTCGATGAAGCCTAATCAGACAGATCAGCTAGAAAAGCTCAGTGCCTGCATAAAGGACCTTAAAATGTGGATGACTCTTAACTTCCTACTTCTCAACCCGGAGAAGACAGAAGTGATCCTACTCGGTCCGAAGCGCCTGCGTGACTCCCTCACTAACCAGATAATTACTCTGATAATGTCAGTATAATACCCAGTAACACTGTGAGGAATCTTGGAGTCATTTTTGACCAAGAACTCTCCTTCAAGGCTTATATAAGCCAAGCAACTAAAACGGCGTACTTCCACTTACGGAACATCGCTAAAATTAGGAATTTCCTTCCTAAAAGTGACGCGGAAAAACTCATTCACGCGTTTGTCACCTCAAGGCTCGACTGTAACGCTTTACTGGCAGCGTGCCCTAAAGCCTCCTTGAAGAGCTTCCAGCTCGTTCAGAATACAGCAGCTAGGATCTTAACAGGTACCAAAAGGAGGGAGCACATAACTCCGGTGTTAAAATCACTCCACTGGCTCCCTGTGGAGTACAGAATAAAGTTTAAAATCCTACTCTTAACATATAAAGCCATAAATGGCTTGGCTCCCTCTTATCTCCAAGACACGTTAGTGTCGTATCAACCAAGTCGAGCGTTGCGCTCACAAAACGCCAGACGTCTGGTGGTCCCTAAGGTCTCAAAGGTCACTGTTGGCGGCAGAGCATTTAGCTCCAAGCTCCTTTACTGTGGAATCAGCTTCATTTATGTTAAGGAAGCAGATACGGTCTCCACATTCAAGGCCAGGCTTAAAACACTCTACTTTAATTTAGCATATAATTAGGTAATATATAATATGTAGTGTATATATTATATATATATGCTGTATTATGTTATATATTATGTTATATATTATTCAATAATGTATTGTGTTATGTTGTATATTATGTTATATATTATGCTGTATGTTATTCTTTATTCAAGGCTAGGTTTAAAACAGTCCTCTTTAGTTTAGCATATGGCTAGGAAGGTAAGACTCGGAGAAGGTTAAACTCCTCAGAGTGTTAGTCAAGCTGCATAGGGCGCCCCCTGCTGGAGAAGTATGGTAACTTGAGCACTATCCTCTCCTCCTTCCTACTTTATCTGTTTAGCATTTTTAGGATTCTGACTGTAGTTTGTTCATTGCTATTCACCCGTTGTCCCATTGTCTGTTTCATGGTACGATGACGGGATCTCTGAGCCTGGCCTCTTCCATCTACACCTGCGGACTGCCCCGCCCGACCCGCCTGGGAGTGCTTCAGTCCTGCACCGGACCTGTCCACGTTCAGCGGCCACTGGTCCACGTTCTGTAGCTAGCTTAGGTCCTAGATCATTAGCCTGTCCGTCCGGAAGAGCGGATCCCTTTCTCATATGGGTCTCCCTCCCTGTGGGTTTCCCTAGTTCTCCCCAAGGTTTCTCACTTTTTCCCACTGGGTTTTTTAAGAGTTGTTCCTTGTCGATGCAGGAGGGTCTTGTTGGACAGTTAGTGTCCAACAGAAAGGATTGGTGATGATCAGGACACTTTAGCATTCTACAACATGTATGGACATTTTCTTCTGTGTGTGCTTTATATTCTTCATGTGTTTTAACTGTTGATTCTCTGACCTGTGTTGGTGATTTCAATGGTTTTGTTAAGTCTCTGAGATGACTTCTGTTGTGACCTAGGGCTATACAACAATACATTGTATTGTCTTGTATTGTATATTTGAGAAGTTAAATAACGTTTATCATTGCACAGAAAGTTTAAAGAATTATTAAAACCAAGTTATTCATGCGCTCAGTTGATAATTAAAGATCATTAAAAATTGTATAACGGCCACTAGTCTCTGCAAAAAGTGAAAATATAGACAGTTTATCACAGTTTTGGGACTTTCTTCCTCCTGCAGACTGGAAAAATAATCAAGGCAGATATTTTGGCTTGATTTATAAAAGTACATTTCCTCTAAAACAAGTTAATTTTCTTATTTGTCTAGAGCCACTTTATGCACTGTGGATTCTGGTGGAAGGAATTTTGGACCATTCTTCTCTGGTTATAAGAGTCATACACTGCAAAAATGATCAAATATGAGGGATTTTGCAGTGTAGTCATAAGAAGCAAAAAAACAGCCATTGTAAGTTTGTGTAAACTCTCAGTCGTACAGGGATTAGTCAAAGCAAAGGAAGGTTTCTCACCATCATCTGTACCAAACCAAACAAACTCTACAGAAACGACTTTACCAACATCGTAGAGAAAACTCTAGTGGGCCACAGTCGGCTGTTCATCTCCACCTCAAGGCCTCCAACCACACGGTGGAGGACACAGAGGTTAAAATTCTGGCTCGGGAGAAGAATTGGTTTGAGAGAGGAGTGAAAGAAGCCATTTTTGTGAAGAAACAAAAACCTTCTCTTAACAGAGGAGGAGGGTTAAGATTTGTTTTGCCTCGCATCTATGACGACATCCTAAAAACAACGCCCTAACTTGGGACAAGGTCAGTGACATGCTAATGAGTTAGGAGGGGTGAAACCTGCACTCCACTTGAGCATCCCAGCAGACAATAGGTCTGTGACATGCTAATGAGTTAGGAGGGGTGAAACCTGCACTCCACTTGAGCATCCCAGCAGACAATAGGTCTGTGACATGCTAATGAGTTAGGAGGGGTGAAACCTGCACTCCACTTGAGCATCCCAGCAGACAATAGGTCTGTGACATGCTAATGAGTTAGGAGGGGTGAAACCTGCACTCCACTTGAGCATCCCAGCAGACAATAGGTCTGTGACATGCTAATGAGTTAGGGTCGTTAGCCTCAGCAGGGTCGTTAGACCTGCTCCCTTCTACATCAAGCAGACCTCAGGCCCTGTTTATACTGAGACGCTGCGCAGACGTTTCCAGGCTATTAACAGAAACGACCTGGCTCCTAATGCAAATTTCTCAGCGTTCACATGAGGTTGAAAAACGATGTAGTTCTAGCACCCGGCCAGTAGGGGGCAGAGAAACTTTACAACACGACACACGACCCCCAGCCCCGTGCCCAGCCCCCCTCTCTGCAGTATACTCACTTCCTGTGCCAGACCCTCAGAAAGTACCAACATCATTCTGCATTTTAACAGCAGCTGTGAACATGGAAACTGAACCTAGAGCTTCGCGTGGTCTCGTTTGGACGAACGAAGGAGTAGAATTATCCTCTGTCCCGCGCTGGAAGCCCACGTAGCTAGTTTGTGTGGGCAGCGCCATTGTTGTTGATGTTTGTTCTCCGCTACTGCGCATGTCCAAATTTACGTGCGGGGAGCAGCGCGGAGGTGGGGGTCAGAGCAGAGGGGGATTTCACACCTTTTCCCTCTCGCGGGTGTGAAAGAACTCCCTGCTGTGCAGCGTTTCTGAGTTGTCCCACTCTGCAGGCTGGATCTGAACACTTACGTTTTCACCTGGAACACAGTCTTCGTATGAACGGTTGGTAGCAACCGACATCCAACTATACCGTTTTACTGCCACATTGTCTCCGTGTAAACTCAGCCTCAGATTGTTTATGAGTTAGTATCAGGATTAGGGTGTGGCTAACCACACCCATAGGTTATAAATCTCCAACGCGCGGTCCGAGAATTCATTCCCTGAAGAAGTCCGCTAGGTTGAGGACAAAACGTCGGGAAAACTTGCAGAAGTACAGATGATGGGTGAGAAACCTTCCTTTGCTCAGCCATTGTAAGAATTATAAAAGCAAAATAAATGTTTATCTGCGATGCACTGATCCAGTTTTTTATACTCGATACAGAGCGACAGGCGTCACAATGTGAACCAATACTAGAAAAGAAGCTGCGGAAAAACCTAAAATCGCAGCTAAAGTGTTGCAAAATGTGTCCAATTGTGTTTTTTTAATCATTATTCTGAGACTACAAAACACTTTCATTGGAATAAAAGTTAAAATTTACAGTCTCTGGTTAAAACGCAACGACATTCTGGACAAAGCAGATAATACTGTATTAGGTCATTTCGGATCAAACCCATGGACCAAAACCTCTACTTTTAGATGCAAGAACTTTGACCGGTCCTGGGTCTACAGCCTCGGTCCTGGGTCTACAGCCTCGGTCCTGGGTCTACAGCCTCGGTCCTGGGTCTACAGCCTCAGTCCTGGGTCTACAGCCTCAGTCCTGGGACACACACAGACACACAAAGACACACAAAGACACACACAGACACACACAGACACACACAGACTACACTATAGTTGGTGTCAGTTTCTACCCCCCCGCTCACACGGAGACTGTTCCAGGTGAAAACGTAAGTGTTCAGATCCAGCCTCTTTTTATTATCATTAAATCATATAATTATCTATTTTAAGAATCCTCTTGAGCCAAAGCAAATTCCAAGTTTGTGACTTCCTGTTACAGGAAACAAAAATAAATCTGATTCTGAAAAAGTCCAATTCAGTCTTTATCTTTGTAAGTGTGAGAGAAACCAGGGACTCTCTGACTTCTGTTAAAGGTGGAAAAGCGCTCCGGGCTCTTACCTGATACGGACGCCTGCCTCCTGTAGGCGAGGGGGGTGTACTGCGGCGTCTCCAGGCCCGTGGCGCTGTAGCCGTAGCCATCGGAGGGGGGCGGGGGGCTGGGCGGGGCGGCGGCGGTGGGCCAGTTCCGGAGGCTGTGGAAGTTGTGCAGGGTGTGGGAGTGGGCGAGGCGGCTGAGGGGGGGCGCGGGGGGCAGCAGGAGGGCGCAGTTGTCTCCGCTCTCGTCCTCCTCGTGGCCTGAGAGGGCGCCGCTGAAGGAGCTGAGGCTGAGGCTGCGGCGAGGGCGGGGCAGGCTCAGCTCCTGTCTGAGGCCTGGGGGGGCAGGAGGGGGGAGGAAGAGGAGGGAGGGGGCACGCATAAAGCAGGGGGCACACTTTTTTGCCAAGTTGATATATTTTTGTGTTTTTAAATATTTCTCCAAAACATATCTTCGGCAAAACTCTAAACTTTAAAGCTACCTTCAAATTCTTTGTAAATTAAATTAGAGTTTATATTTTGTTGTTGGTTTCATCTCTAGTAAGCCTTAGTTTTGGACTTTTCTTTTTATTATTAAAGTGTTTATTGCGATGTTACGTTCTAAAATAATCTGCAATACGAGAAATATCTGAAAGAGCAGCTGTAAGTTTTCAGTTTGTACATACATAGTTACGCATGTAACTACGGTTCTATGAATCCCAGATGACTGCCAGAGGGCGGTGCATAGCACTGAAGGGAACATTCTGAGTGCTGCTGCAGCTGTCAAAAGCTGTGCAAATACAGCTGCACAGAGGACACAGTGGGGGAGGACTGAGGTACGGGACGACCACGAACTAAGTCTACAGACTTTAAAGATAACGTAATTTTATACTAGCGGTTTTTATGTTGTGAATAAATTTAGAGTTTACATATGACGCTGTAAAACCTGCGGCACAGAGAGGAATCTGCGCATGGCACCGGAAATATGGCGTCACTGCAAAAGGCTGGTGCACACTGGGAGAGACTTTTTCCAACGTGGTTTTACTGCAAATGCCAAATACATTCTGCTAATGTTGAATCAGTGTCACCTTTGAAGGTTAATGAAGCTGAAGTAGCGGTGGGCTCTGAGGTCTGTTATTCATGTTAGTAAACAGGAAGTAACAGAACATTAGACAAATAGAAGGTTTCAGTGAAATAAATGAACTTCTAAAAAAAAAAAAAAAAAAAAACAGTTCATGGGTTTTTGTGTTTGTTTCAACACTTACTGTCCTCCTGCATCCGCGCCATGACCTGGACGTCTGTGAGATCCTGCAGTTTGAACTCCGCACACACAGGGTTCTCCGGGTCGACCGGAGACTGAGGGCTGAACATCGCCCTCTGCAGGCTGCGACCTGCAACAACAACGACCAGAGCGTTTTAAAGAGTCATGTTCTGCTCAGACCCGGGAAACTCTGGCTCACTGCGTTTGGAAAGGTGTGAGAGGAACGTAGGACTGCGCTCCGCCATCGGGGACAGGTCTTGGGGCCCCGGGGACAGGTCTCGGGGCACCGGGGACAGGGTCCGCAGGAGGTGGGGGTGCAGAGGGGAGGTCAGGGGCGCTGCGGAGAGACGGACCGGAAATTAAAGATGTAGGAGAACCATGTCTGAAGTTTACGCTCAAAATGTAAATAAAGATCAATGGAGCAAGTGTGGATCCCTGAGGAACCCCATTTCAGATCAAAATAACAGGAACGCTAGTTTTCAGGATTTGCTTATTTTGGCCAAGAATACATTTGATCAGAATATTCAACCAGGTCCTAGAAGTAACTTTTATAATCAAACACATTTAGATGAAGATCAGAGGAGCCAGAGCTGATCCCTGCGGAAAACCAAGACCTGGAAAAGATTTTGTCAGGATTAAGCAGACAGAGACGGATCGTGGTGCGCCAAACTCTGGAAGTTTATTTAAGTTTCTCTCAAGTTCCACTGGTTTACTCTGTTTCTTTCTCTCAGACAGAATAAAGGCAGTACACAGTTTATATAGTCATTGTCACGTCACACATCGAAAGACATACGTGTCACAAAGAGACAGTCAAATCATAGTCATAACATGGAGTCCTTGTAGAGTCCTTGTACAGTCCTGCACGTAGGCCATATTGCTATCTAATACTAATACCCTCCCCTTTGATCACATAATCACATGTGATCATTCAATTTGATCAATCAATAAAGTGGAAAAAGAAAAAAAAAATCTAAAAAAAAACTTTTTAAAAATTATTTTAAAAAAACAAAGAAAATTTATGCATTACACTCATAATCATCAAATCAATATCAGTGGATTTTATCCTCCATCCTGGGAAAAAAACAAAAATAAAGTAAATAAACAAACAAAAAAAACAAAAACAAATCAAAAATAAAAACAAACAAACACTATTGGACACAAAAGAACTCAGCAAATTCAGTCAAAACACAGACAAAAACGAGCTGAGTCTCAAATTTGAAGCTAATTTCACTTTTCTTACTCTATACTTTTATTCTAATGCTAATTGTTTACACTTCACTTATTTCACTGTATTATTTTCACTATTTAATCTTAGACTGTGTACTTTACTTTCACTATTCACTATAGTTTAAAACTATTCTAATCTATTTACAAATATGTTTGCATATTTGCTTCTATTGAGCCTTATTCTTAAACATATATTTTAATCTAATAAATCTCTCTATTCTGTGGTTTTCTCTTATTATCAGTGGCTTATTGCTTGTGGGATTTTGTTCTATCTCTCTTCTACCTTCTCAGGAATAAAACTGTGAACACAGTAAGGCAAATGGTCAACATTTACACTTCTATAGTGGTCAGTGATTTATTACTTTTTATTATCTATAGATATTATTGTCAGGCATTTGGGATGAATGAACATCTTTAATCAAATTAGTATTATCCTTACAAGAGCTAATCTATTTTAGCAGGTTTGGGGTTGGGGTCTACAATGGTGTTTGATTCTCTAATCTGTTCTGATGAATCGACAGTGGGCTATACCCAAATACATCAAAATGCTTTTGAATCTCTGTTGGTGCTAATCTATCTCATTGATCTAGGCATTAATCTAGGCTACACTCATGAACCTTTTGTATTGTCAACATTCACTCATGTTTAAACACAAGTGAATTTGGCAAGTATCTAATAAAACTGTACATAAAACTGTAAGTAACTTTATCTACTTTTGAAGTAAATGCTTGTGAAATGGTCCCTTTACCATTTGATATTAGCACTGGCTACAAATAATCTCTATTTTTGAAAGCATCTATGGTTGATGCATTTATCTAATTCTATTTCTACACTATTGTGACTCCAAAGCTCGGTTGCAGCTTAAGTCAAGGCATATTCCTAATTTGTGACTTCTGTCACTTTTAACATCTACTAAAACGCTACAATACTCATACTTTATCATTTTCAAAGTTTTTGTCTGTCAGATGTCTGAATACTTAACATGTATATTGCATTTGGTCACAGGTTCTGGTTGTAGCAATAGCATCGGCAATAGACGATTTCTCATTGGCTGGTTCTTGTTCTGCAAATGGCTGTGTCCAATAGATCATCAGATGTCCAGAAGCTAGGGTCCGGGACAAACAAAAACAAAAGAAAGAATCATGAGTATCTCTCTCATTTAGCACTCATCAATGGCATGATTTTAATAATATAACTGCCTACAGAAAACCTCACTTTGTGGCCCCGGTCTCACTGCCACTTACGACCATCGGTCTGTAGTGGGGGAGGGGCACACGGAGGTAGCTATGTCGCCTTTACGATCTGCGGCTGGTTGGATGGTGTCTACTCTGGGCCACTGTTCTGATCCCTCTGTGTCCACTCCAGCAGTCCAGTGACCCTGTACAGTGTGTGCCCTTGGTTCTGGAAAACAACCTTATAGTCAAATTAAAAACAACAGAGATTGTGAATGAGATTGTTTTTCTCCCTAAAGTCAAAACAATTTTCAATCAATCAATCAATCAAATTTTATTTATAAAGCGCTTTTCATACATAAGATGCAACACAAAGTGCTTTACAGATTGGTTAAAAACAATCCCGCCGGCCCAAGACCCCTCCCCCAGACCACCCAACAGACCCCCCCCAAACCACAGACAAACACACACACACGCGCTCATGAACACTCATACACACACACACACACACACACACACACACACACACACACACACACACACACACACACACACACACACACACACACACACACACACACACACACACACACACACACACACACACACACACACACACACACACACACACACACACACACACACACACACACACACACACACACACACACCAGTAAAACAATAAAAACATGATGAGAGACTTGGCAGGGTTCAGATGCAACCAGCTGAAAAAGCGTCATCCAAGGAGCCGTCTGCACCAGGAGCAGAGAGCCGCCCGTAGCCACAGGGGACGACACAGGACCCAGAGGAGACATGAAACCGAGGCCCCAGGCCCCCACCAGGCCCAAGAGTCCGACCCCCGCAGCCACACCGACCACTGCTCCCGGTGCAGAGGGCTCCTCCAGAGGAAACACTGGGTACACTAAAAACAATACAATAAGTAAAACACTAAAATGTGAGACTAAAAGGAACACACAATACATGAATAATAGCAATAGCAATATAATAAATAATAAATAATAAAAGATAAATAGAATGGAATAATAAAAACTAATCAAAAGCTACTCTAAAAAGGTGCGTCTTGAGCCTACTTTTAAAAATATGAACGTTCTCTGCGGCCCTGAGCTCCTCCGGCAGACTGTTCCAGAGACGGGGGCCGTAGTGCTGGAAAGATGCCTCGCCGTGAGTGTGTGTCCTGACTTTGGGGATGGTTAGGAGTCTGCTGCCGGAGGAGCGCAGGGGCCGGGAAGGTTCATAGGATAAAAGCAAATCTGAAAGATAAGAAGGCCCAAGACCATTAAGACATTTAAAAACCATTAAAAGAACCTTAAAATCGATTCTGAAACACACGGGGAGCCAATGCAGCGATTTTAAAACCGGTGTAATGTGGTCCCGCCCCCTGGTCTTAGTCAGGACACGTGCGGCCGAGTTTTGGAGTAATTGAAGACTTGCAATGTTCTTTTTGGGAAGACCAGAGAGCAGGGCATTACAATAGTCAATGCGACTGGTGATAAAAGCATGCATCAGCGTCTCCGTGTTGCCCCGAGAGAGAATGGGGCGGACTCTGGCGATGTTCTTTAAATGATAAAAACCTATTTTTGTGATACTCTTGATGTGAGGAATAAAAGTCAGCTCAGAGTCAAAGATTACGCCCAGATTTTTCACTTGTGATGATGGATTAAAAGAGTGTGATTGGAGTTTTGATAAAAGTTTCTCTCTCTGGGCCTCAGGACCGATGACTAAAACCTCAGTTTTGTCCTGGTTAAGCTGGAGAAAGTTTTCTGCCATCCAGGATTTCAGGTCTAAAATGCAGTTAAAAAGAGCATCCATTGGCCTGGTGTCATCAGGAGACATGGAGATGTACAGCTGTGTATCATCTGCATAACTGTGGAAGTTAATTCCATGTCTCCTGATGACACCGCCAAGAGGGAGCATGTACAGGTTAAAAAGGACTGGACCTAAAATGGAACCCTGGGGCACACCACATGTGATTTTATGGACCTGAGAGGAGCAGGTATCCAAACTTACCATGAAGGATCTGTCTGTTAAATAAGAAGTGAACCATTTGTGGACAGCACCAGAGAGGCCGAGGTGTTGTAGGCGTGATAAAAGAATTGTGTGGTCTACTGTATCAAAGGCAGCGCTAAGATCCAGTAGAACCAACACAGTCACCTTTTTGAAATCATAACTTAGTCTAAGATCGTTTAAAATCTTTAAAAGAGCAGTCTCTGTGCTGTGGTTCACCCTAAAACCTGATTGAAATTTCTCAAAAATTTGCTGCTGATCTAAAAAGGCATTGAGCTGGGTAAAAACAAGTTTTTCTAAAATTTTGCTTAAAAATGGTAAGTTGGACACCGGTCTGTAGTTGTTAAGATCATTAAAATCTAAATTGCTCTTCTTCAGAAGGGGTCTCACCACAGCCGCTTTGAAGGCTGCAGGAAAGACCCCAGTCTGAAGAGAGCAATTCATCAGGTTTAAAAGCTCCTCTCTAAAAGATTCATAAAATGACTTAAAAAATGGAGTGGGGACTGGATCTAAAAGACATGTGGTGGGCCTCACTGAGGAGAAAACTTTATCAAGCATCTCAGCATCAACCAGGACAAAACTGTCCAGTGTTTCCTCTGGCGAAGACAAACAATCAGATGTGTTAAAAACAGTAGTGCGGTTGGATAAAATGTTACATCTGATTGTATTTATCTTCCCCGTGAAGTGGACTGCAAAATCCTCACAGAGGGAGTCTGTGGGGGTTAAAAGAGACATGCTAAAATCAGGGTTTAAAATGGTGTTGATGGTTGAAAAAAGGATTTTTGGATTATTTTTGTTCTGGCTGATTAGATTTGCAAAGTATTTGTTCTTATGATTTCTAATTGTGTAATTGTATGCTTTTTTATTGTTTTTATATATTTCGTAGTTGATTGTTGTTTTATTTTTCCTCCATCTTCGTTCTGCCACCCTGCACTCTTGTTTCATTTTGCGTACTTCTTCATTTCTCCATGGGGGTGCAGATTTTGTTTTTATGATTTTTGTTTTTAAAGGAGCCACCTGATCCAACGCAGAACTAAGTCTACTGTTAAAATCATTTGCTATAAAATCACAGGGGGCAGGTAAAACCAAGTGGGGAGTGTTGTTTAGGATGTCGATAAAATTTGCAGCCACTTCAGGGGTTAGATGTCGCTTCCTCACGGTTCTCACAGAGGTCTCACGCTGTATAAAACCAGTGATGTTAAAAAACACACAGTAGTGGTCCGAGACAGCCAAGTCGACAACAGAGGACACATCCGCAGTCAGGCCATAGGTAATGACCAGGTCGAGGGTGCGTCCCCTGTTGTGTGTTGGCTGTCTGACGTGTTGGGTAAAATCCATGTAATTAAGAACATCTAAGAAATCTAGGGTAAAATTGTCAGAGGGATTGTCAATGTGTATGTTAAAATCACCGGTTAAAATTATCATATTGTAAGAATTGTGTAACTGTGATAAAAACGCTGAGAATTCAATAATAAAAAGGCTGCACTTTTTAGGTGGCCTATAAATAATTACTGTTAAAATTTTGGGGTTGCTAAAAACAAGAGAGTGATACTCAAAACTTAGTATTGGTTAAAAACAATAGGTTTGGTGGCCAGGGTGTTACTGCATATTGAGGCTGTGCCGCCACCTCTCTTTCCTTCTCTTGTTTTAAAAGCAAAGTTAAAATTGGGGGGGGGGGGCCTCTGTAAGAACAGCCGGAGCATCCGGACCCAGCCAGGTCTCAGTTAAAAACATACCATCCAGCTCGTGTTCTAAAATCAAATCATTAACAGTAAAAGTCTTATTTAAAAGGGAGCGTACATTTAAAAGGGCAAACCTGATGGTAGATGGGTTGTTATTGTTGATGGGGAGTCCATAGTTCGAAGTGGGGGGAGCAGAGGATGAGAGAGGGCAGGGGGAAACAGTGATGAGGTTGGTGAAGGACGGTTTCCTGGGTATGGACGGTCTGTAGGGGCGGGGTCTGGACAAAACTGTAATTTTGTGCTGGGGAAGAGAGCAGGGGTTGATGCTGGGGCATAGACGGGCAGGAGGGATGTGGGATGTGGGGGTGGGTTGTCAGAGGTATGTAGGATGGGATTGGACTGCGTGGGTGATGTTGGAGATCAGGTACCGGTTGCCAAGTGGGTTGATGTGAAGTCCGTCGGGTGTGAAGAAGGGGTAGCGGTTCCAGAACAGATTAAAATTGTCTATAAAACCAAAGTTGTGATGGAGTGATGTTTGATTGAGCCAGGTGTTGAGTGATAAAATCCTGCTAAAACGCTCCCTGCCGCGGTTCATAGTGGGCAGAGGACCGGAGATAAAAACAGTTTTCCCTGAGTTTGATAAAAGGTTAAAAAGATCCTTAAAATGGCGTTTTGTGGTCTCGGATTGGCGGAGTGAAGCGTCATTTGTGCCGACATGAATTATGATCCGGGTTATTGTGGAGGGTGCTGTCTGAATAAGTGAGGGTAGTTTAATGAGGATGGTGGGGACTGTGGCTCCAGAAAAACAGTGTGTGATGGCATTAAAAAACTTGCAGTGTCTGATAATAGAATCCCCCACCAGGAGCGTGGTTGGTGCAAACAGAGGCCGCGGAGGGGAGGGTGTGACTGGGGTGGGACCTGGTGGAGAGCAGGGGACAGGAGAGCCTTGGGGGGTGCCCGGAGCGGAGCCGCCACGAGCGGCTGTGGAGCAGGGTGGAGGATCCGGAGACCGAACTGACTCCACTGTGGCCGGGTTGGTGGTGGTGGTAGTGTGGGCGAATGTGGGAGGGCCGCGCACCGGGCGGGGGGATCCACCAGGAGGCGAGGTGGCATCTGCGGGGGAACTCCTCGCCGTGCAACAGCGCAGAGACCCCCCCGCGAGTGAGGCAGCGTCCACGGGAAGAGTCCGCGCCGTAATGGAGCGCAGACACCCCCCTGCGGGCGAGGCAGCGTCCACGGGAGGACTCTGCGCCGTGATGTAGCGCAGAGACCCCCCCGCGGCCACCTCAGCATAGGACCTGCTCTGTGCAGCGCCTCTGGGGATTCCCTCCGCGTCAGAGCACACGGACCCTCCCACAGCAGGGACAGCGCTCCCGGAGGTATCCTGCGCCACGTTAGGGCACAGAGATCCCCCCGGGGCTTCCCGCAGTTGGTCCTGCGTGACACCCGGGGAGCCCCGCGCTGTTTTAGAGCGTGGGAAGCTCCCCGAGCGTCTGCGCACAGCCTCTTCCACCAACCTGCGACGTGAGGACACTGTGGACGTTCTGTGGTCTCCAGGCTTCTGCTCCGCGCCGCTCTGGGTATGGGCAGCAGGCTCCGGGACCGTAGAGGAGGGACGAGCACCGGGAGGGACAGGAGGAACAGCCGCAACCGGGGAACGTGAGGTGAGGACCGGGGTAGAGCATGATGAGGGGTGAGGACAGGTGATGGGATCCCAAAGAGCAGTGTCGTGGAGTGTGGTAGCGAGCTGTGAATGTCTAAGTACGGAGAGGGATATTTGCTGTGACTGCTTGAATGAGATGTCCATGAAATGTTCCAGAAGTTTCTCTTAATGTATGAGTTCAGTGGATAGTTGTGTAACACTGCGTTGAAGTTCCTCGGGGGTCATTGCGTTTACTGGTTTGGATGGAAGAATTGAAGCAAGTTGTGATTTGTAGATTTGTCTGTATGAGTTCTCGGGGGGAGCGGCGGTGTCCATGGTGGCGTATGTGGGCAGGCTGGTTACCGCGGTAACTGTTAAAAGGCTGATATACAGTCCAGTTAAAAGTGACAGTAATCCTGTTGTGGCACAACCTGTTAAAATCCGCTTAATCCATCAGTTGTTACGAATAAAAACAGTAATAAAAGCTTAGTTTAAAAAATAAATCCAAAAAGTGTGCAGTTCAAAAAAGGCTCCAAACAAATGCGTCCGCCATCTTGCACATGCGCAGTTTGTTCTTATGATTTCTAATTGTGTCTTTTTTTTGGAGCGCTCTGGGTTTTCCCAAGCGCTATGTAAATAAAAGATTACTTATTATCTTACTAATGATGACATTTGAAGACCAGAAACTCTTTCTTAATAAAAAACAAGACTCAAATCTCTTGAACCTTCAACCTTTAAAATATGTATTATGTACTTTTGCACTGTGTGATTAATTATCTATGCATTTATCTCATCATTTATTTTACTAATTTAAAATAATTGCAGCATTTTTCAAATGAAGTCAGTATGAATTGGAGCACAATTCAGACCGGGCTCCTCTGCTGTGTGCATCAGCAGGAGGAGCAAGGTCAGGCGTGTAGTCAAAACAAAAACGTCACCGCTTGCAATGGGTGAATTGGGTAGTTTAACTTAATAATATAATACTTTTACAGCCTAATTCCCTCTTTCTTTTTAGACGAAGTCTATAATCAATAATCACTTTTAACACAGATTCTAATTTAAATGTTTGAAAAACGGCTTTTGTAACTAAAATAAAAACATAGAAACAAACACAACTCACAAAAAGTTAAGAAATAAGCAGCAGATTTAAAAGAATGGCATCTAGAAATATGTTAGATCTAAAAAGAATTGCACAGCTTTAGCACTAATATTTGGGTTTCAAAAACATACTAATATTCAAAACTTATTCACTAATGGTGTTTAAAAACGTTTAACTGTGTCATAACACAATGTTCAATTGCAAATTTCGCAAATTTAACGGAATAACAACTATGAAAAGCCTAAAATCCTAAAAGCAGTAGCTTTGCTCTGATTCAGAGCCAGAGCAGCGAAGGAGGGGGCCGTTTCCCTGACAACGGCAGCAGATAGAGCTGCACACACAGGCAGTAGTAATGTTAGATGTTCTGTACATTCTTATTCCATTCTTAATAATAACTATAACAACACAATAACAACAACACTATAATAACCCTATTATAACTATAATAACACCTGTCTGCACTGAGCCAGAGCCGTGTCCAGTTTGTGAGTTCATGTTACAACGGAAATAAACTAAACTCTTCTGATTGTGATTTCCTGAGTGAAAGAGGACGTGAGACAGAGACTGTTCATTGCTATTCACCTGTTGTCACTTTTGTTCACTAGTTTTTTTGAGTGTCAAGAACAGATGATCCGGGACATTTATAGTTTCTGGACAGTGTCATCCTGCTTCATGTGTTTGTGATCGGAGGAATCTACGTTTGTTCACCGAGACAAAGACCTTTTGACGTTAGAACTCTGCAGAAACCCTCATTTAACCAACTACAGTCCACAGTACAGTCCACAGTACAGTCCACAGTACAGTCCACAGTACAGTCACCAGTACAGTCACCAGTACAGTCACCAGAACAGTCACCAGTACAGTCACCAGTACAGTCACCAGAGTCACCAGAGTCACCAGAGGGTTTTTCACAGGAGGTCCTGCTCTGACAATGATGTTTGGCCGTGGGAAAGCACTATAAAAAGGCCCATACCGCCAAATAATACTAATAATACTAATACTGATGATGATGAAGAGCACTTGCCTTGCTCCAGGCGGGAGGACAGGGACCTCCTGGTGGACTCCAGCTTGGGGCTGTCCAGAGTCTGTCGGCACCACTGCAGAGGAGTGATGGAGCTGAGGCCGGAGTCAGGGCTGTGCGTGATGTACAACCTGCACAAGAACAGGCACATTACACACTCTCTCACACACAACACACACACACACACTTCTGTACCTGGATAATAATATTTGATCTGTCTTTTTAAATCTAGCTGTGACCTCCATACTAGGTGCCTTCATTATGAGAGAGCAACCGCCTCAGCAACCGCCTCAGCAACTGCCTCAGCAACCGCCTCAGCAACCGCCTTAGCAACGTTACAGTCAGAACAAATCCCCACATGGTCTTCCGATGCCGTTGTACCACTGTGACATCACACTCAGAGTTTGTCTTCTTTAAAACAAAAGTATCGTCCGTTCATTTAATTTGGAAATGTCAGATGTAAAAATCAAATGGCCGTGTTTGCAGCCAGTGATTTTCAAACTTCCTGTGGTGGAACCAGAGGGAACAGGTAGATGGCATTTACACTTTGTACTCATTATGATCTAATAAATAAATAGTATTGTACACTTACTCTGTCATGCATGTACTGTGTATTATATAATATATATACATGAGGTCTAGTCCCCGGAGGTCTAGTCCCCGGAGGTCTAGTCCCCGGAGGTCTAGTCCCCGGAGGTCTAGGTCTAGTCCCAGGAGGTCTAGTCCCAGGAGGTCTAGTCCCAGGAGGTCTAGTCCCAGGAGGTCTAGTCCCAGGAGGTCTAGTCCCAGGAGGTCTAGTCCCAGGAGGTCTAGTCCCAGGAGGTCTAGTCCCAGGAGGTCTAGTCCCAGGAGGTCTAAGAAGGACATTTGTGGACAGTGGTCGTCGTCTGTGTTTGTTATTATTGTATTCACTGTTCCAGTTTGATTCTCTGATCTGTTGTTGAGGAATCGAAAACTTTGTAAATCCCTCTGATTTAGGGCTAAACACAAATACAGTGTTTTATCTTCATTAAAGTACAGTCGCAATCATCAGGAGGTCATCAGGAGGTCATCAGGAGCCTTTTACAGCTGTTAAAAACAAGACGTTTGTCCGAAACGTGATCAAAATATACAACATTTGACTTCATTCAAGCATTTTTTTTACTTTACAGTTTCAGAAAGAACTGATCCTGCTACTGCTGCTGCTGCTGCTGCTGCTGCTGCTGCTACTACTGCTGCTGCTGCTGCTGCTGCTGCTGCTGCTGCTACTACTGCTGCTGCTGCTGCTGCTGCTGCTACTACTGCTGCTGCTGCTGCTGCTGCTGCTACTGCTACTACTGCTGCTGCTGCTGCTGCTACTGCTGCTACTACTGCTGCTGCTACTGCTGCTGCTGCTACTACTGCTGCTGCTGCTACTGCTGCTACTACTGCTGCTGCTACTGCTGCTACTACTGCTGCTGCTACTACTGCTACTGCTGCTACTGCTACTGCTACTGCTGCTACTACTGCTACTGCTGCTGCTGCTACTACTGCTGCTGCTGCTACTGCTGCTACTACTGCTGCTGCTACTACTGCTACTGCTACTGCTACTGCTGCTACTACTGCTGCTGCTGCTGCTACTTTGTGTAAAGTTAATCTCCAATAATGGGTTAGGGTTAGCTCTGCAGCAGATTTCAGTTTTTAAAAACCAAATGTTTCAAGTGAAAGAACATTCTTTACCATCACAAGGCCATGTTTGCAGCCAGTAAATTTCGAATTAGGAAAAACTGAACAGATTCTATACCTCCCCCTGGTGGTAGCAAAGGGATCGAGCATGAAGCCGCTAGCACCGTTTTTCTACAAAAGATATTTCACATTCTTTAAACTTTGAGTAAATATTTTCATTGTACTTTGTGGCCAAATATAACACATAATATTTATTATAGTAAGTAAGTAAGTAATCTTTATTTATATACCGCCTTTTCACTGCACATCGGAGTCTCAAAGCGGTTTACAATTGTTATTTTTGGGAGTGGGGCCAGTACAGGAGGCACATGCCAGAACTATTGTACATATTTTTAGTGGTAGGGGAAACCGGAGCACCTGGAGGAAACCTACGCAGACACGGGGAGAACATGCAAACTCAACTTAGAAAGGCCCTGGTCCGATAAAGGTAGAGAGCTACTTTCCTGAGACGATAAAGACAGAGAGCTACTTTCCTGAGACGATAAAGACAGAGAGCTACTCCTTAAAGGAATAGTTCACCGTTTTTACATACTGACATATGTTCTTACCTTAGACTAGTTAATACGTACCTGTCTGGTCTTAGTCCGTGCGCTCTGTCATGCAAACGGAGCAAAAACGGGAGCACAACCGCAGCCTCCTCTGTATACTGTGTAGGACCAAAAGGTAGCTCCCGCTAGAAGCTACCAAACTCTTCCAAGTGTTCCCTATTAAATGTATATAGTTACGTGACGTGTTACACTGCAAAGTATAGTAACACAGAAATGTAACAGTCGATTTTCTCAGCGGATAAAACGGGTACTATATTGTGGCGTAGTAATCTGAGGAGCGCTACGTCCGCGCACTAACTTCTCTCCGTACTACAAGTCACGCTGCTTCTATTGACGGAAGTGAGCGAGAGAGAAGTCTCCGGAGAGAAGTTAGTGCGCGGACGTAGCGCACCTCAGATTACTACGCCTCACAATATAGTACCCGTTTTATCCGCTGAGAAAATCGACAGTTACATTTCTGTGTTACTATACTTTGCAGTGTAACACGTCACGTAACTATATACATTTAATAAGGAACACTTGGAGGAGTTTGGTAGCTTCTAGCGGGAGCTACCTTTTGGTCCTATACAGTATACAGAGGAGGCTGCGGTTGTGCTCCCGTTTTTGCTCCGTTTGCATGACAGAGCGCACGGACTAGGACCAGACAGGTACATATTAACTAGTCTAAGGTAAGAACATATGTCAGTGTGTAAAAACGGTGAACTATTCCTTTAAGCAGTCCTGAGAATAATGTGGTGATATTGGGTCAATATTTACCATTAGGGGTGGGAACCTAAGGGTACCTCACGATACAATACAAAGCTCACGATAACGATAATATCACGATAACGATTTTGTCACGATATGACGATTATTGATATATTGGTCAGAAATATACAATATGCCAATTTATGGCATAAATAAAAGAAAAATTACTCTTTATTTCATGATAAATAGAATGGAGATGCGTAATGTAGCCATATATTAAGTATTGATACCAATTTAAAAAAATAAAAAAAAATAAACGATATTGATACTTGGCAAATGCGTATCGATAATCGAATCGCGGGAGAAAGTATCGTCACACCCCTATTTACCATTGCGTGTGTTTTCAGTTCTACAAAGTCAGTTTTACAATAAATAATAATAAGTTTGTGAACATCCAGGGAAAGGGAATTGAGAGAGTGGACTCTTACAAGTACCTGGGTGTTCATCTTAACCACAAACTGGACTGGACTCATAACACAGACGCCCTCTTCAAGAAGGGCCAGAGTCGCCTCTACCTACTGAGGAGGCTCAGGTCTTTTGGAGTGCAGGGGCCACTTCTGAAGACCTTCTATGACTCTGTGGTGGCATCAGCCTCTTGTACGGTGTGGTCTGCTGGAACAGCAGCATCACAGAGAGGGACAGGAAGAAGCTGGAACATCAGGAAGTCCAGCTCAGTCCTGGGCTGTTCCCTGGACACAGTGCAGCAGGTGGGGGACAGGAGGGTCCTGAGCAAACTAACATCTATGCTGGACCATGACTGTCGCCCCCTGCAGGACACTGTCTGCTCTGGAGAGCAGCTTCAGTGACAGACTAATTCACCCTCAATGTGTGAAGGAGAGGTTTCGCAGGTCTATCCTTCCTGCTGCTGTCAGACTGTACAACGAGAATGTGTAACAGGAACTGCTGAGTCTGCACAAGTGTTTCTGATAATTCACTAGTAACTTTGTCACTAGTCACTTTACCTGTTATCAGTACTACTACAGTACTACATATCTGATATTTACTGTTATCAGTACTACTACAGTACTACATATCTGATATTTACTGTTATCAGTACTGCTGTATTATTTCATATCTGATAATTCTGCCTTCCACCGTCACTTTACCTGTTGATATCTTACTGTATTATTCATATCCATCTGATAATTCTCCCATTCGAGTCACTTTACCTGTTGATATTATTTCTGATGTTTATTCTGCTCATATTCTCCGCTGCTAATGTATAATATAGACATCTGTAAATACTCCGAACCAAGTGCAATTGCAGCCCAGATTTTCTTATTTTATTTTATTTTATCTTAAATTTATTGTCTATTATCTTAAATAATAGACTTTGATGTGTGCAATCTGAGTGCTCTTATTTCCTTTCTCTGCTGTATTGTGCAACGATGACACTGAAATTTCTCCACTGTGAGACTAATAAAGGTTTATCTTATCTTATCTTATCTTAAGCCTTCAGGAATTCATTCACTGAAGAAGTCCTTTGGATTGAGGACGAAACGTGGGGAAAACTTGCAGAAGTACAGATGATGGTGAGAAACCTTCCTTTGCTTTGATAAATAATAATAATAAAAAACACAATCTGAAATATTAAGTACATTATTGTTTTTGTTCCTTTCTACATTTCTTGGCGAGCTACCTGGAAGGGGTGGAGAGCTACTGATGGCTCCCAAGCTACAGACTGGAAACCCCCGGTCTTCATGAATAAGATCCAAACATCCCCCAATTTTCTTTCACTTTATCCATTGCCAGGTTGTGTGGGCAGCCGCCTGAGCAGGGACCAGACCTCAGTCTACAGCTGCATCATTAATGCTTTGGAGCTTTACAATTTGGTCAATAAAACAATATATATTATTCAAATATAGACTAAAAGTTCTAGTCTGGGGCTGTTGGAATTATCACTGTTGTCCTGACTCCACTGCAAGAGATTTATATCATATTTGTAATTATTACACGGCTCCTCACAGCAGCAGTAGAATGCTCCATTGATTTGAATGTAATTTCAAAACGTTCTACCGGTCATTATTTTCTATAACGGACCTCTCAAAACAATAATGACCGCTGCCCTTTGGCAACGCACTCTCTGCTTGTATTTCAAATGCGTGGATAACTCCGCAAGTAGTTCCGGCCACTCCTGAGCTAGCCACGCTCAATCAACACACTTAAATGTTAATCGGAGAATACTTTATACATATACATTCTTCACACACGTGCACGGAAATTTTCAGAATTTTCTGGTCTTGTCTTCATGACAAAAATACTATTTCTCTGCGTCAAAAAGTGATCGTGAAAAACCCGGAAGTAGTTCTGGCCGCTCAATAAACGCAAATGCCAATCAATCAACGCAATGAAATGTTAATCGGAGAGTAATTTATACATATCCAGTCTTAATACAAGTGCACGGAAGTTTTCAGAATTTTCCGTTTACGTTTTCATGACAAAAACACTGATGTAATGCGAGAAAAGGCGATCCCGAAAAACCCGGAAGTAGATACCGGCACATTTTAAGATACCGGCACATTTTCGGACACATTTGCAGAGGATGGAATTATGGATTTAGGTTAGGTTTATGTTTGGGTCACTCACCGCTGATGTTCAGAATTCTTTGTTCAGTTTTCATGCAGTTCCAGAGAGTTCTAGTTTGGAAGTTGCCAGCCTAACTGTTGCTAGCATAGCCTAACTGTTGCCCGCGGTTGCCGAGCAACGGGTAAACTTTTAGGGACTACTTTATTTGTTGTCATTAAATAAACTTTTGGCATTCATAAAAGTGATCTGAAGTTTATTTTGTGTGTTAAGTTGGTACAAAGCAGTATAATAAGCGGCCTTATTCGCCCTGTCGGTACTTATTTTCCGATAATGACCTGTAGGCTATACATTATCCCTTACTTAACTATGGATCAATGCAGAACTTTAAATATATATACACACAAGATCACAAACAGAAATGGATAGAGATGGACAGAGAAATATAGAAAGCATAGAATTAGAGTCTTAAGGAGACAAAGAGACTGAGAAAGTGCAGATTCCTCCTGACAAAGACAAGTTACCACGTCTCCTGCGAGTCTCCCTGCGACGCACACATAGAATCCAAATCCAGGGGCTCCAAATCATCCAGAGCCGCCTCTTCCTCCTCTTCCTCCTCTTCTTCCTCACCGTGGCTCTGCTGCTCACGCCCACTCAGGTCCATCCTCGGGTCCAAGTCGCATCCGCCTCCACCAAAAGCTCCACGCGTTAGATCGGGGTGCGCAGTCGCCATCTGCTGTTTACACTGAATACGGCAGATTAAAGCTGGGGTACCGTGGGATGCAACTCCCTGAAGCAGCAGAAAAGAAACTAAATTATGCTTACCTTTTAAGCCGAGAATAGTTACAGAGCTAAACCGTTTCCAACGGTAGTGAATGGGGAAAACGTGCATGCGTCACTTCCGTTGGCACCGGAAGTGACGTGTGCATGCTGCTCTAAAACGGAGAGAGCCGGCTTTCTCCATTCATTCTGGATTACACACGCACTCGGTAAGTCTCCTCTGATAAACACAATGTTTTTGTGCCCGTTCTTTATGTTTCACTCCATAAATCTCTCATATTGTGCGTAGATCGTTCACACACGTCTGTAGTTTAAATCTCGAGTGTGTAGTGCGCTGTTTATGATTGTTTACCTCCGTGTCATATGTTTGTTGCTGCTGCTGCTGCTGCTGCTGCTCGTAGATCTCTCTGTTTGGATCAATATTGTAAAGAAAACACTTTCTCTGCGTTGTCAAACAATCTGTATTCACTGTATTCTACTGTATACAGTAATGCAGTTTGTTTATTTCCAGCGCTAGTTAACGCTGTGTTTTGGGATGTACACACGTGAGCTAAAGCACACACACACTTTTAATAAGCTTAATGCACATAGTTGTTGTAACAGGCTGTGTATAAGTGCTGCTGTGAGTTTGGCTCAGTGTTGTCACTGCTCTTTCTCTGTTCACTTACTATTGTCTACAGGCATAGTACTGTTAGTCACATGATGCCAAAATAAGTGTATAATACAGTTTGCTCCATCTGTTGTACTGTAGTGTACAGTATGCTTATTGTTGATGTGTGTACTATCTATATGTATTTCACATTTCTATAGTTCAGCAACACATTGAGTTGAAAATGAATTATATGCAGTTAGTTTACGACAATGTATTAGTGTTTTACCAGTTCATATTTTCCTTCTATAACTGTACTTACTGTATCCCAGAGCCTCATGCTGCTAATGTCCAGATGTAAACATACAACTGTATATGTCTTCTCTAGATTATACAGGATTCATGCTTCTTTATTATGCTACATTTAATTATTTTATTCTTTATTATGCTAAAGATGTATACATTATACATACTTCTCTATCATGCTATAGCTAGATATTTTATGATCTTTTTTTGTTGTTGCAGACAATATGAAGACATTTTCATTCTTTCCTGGCCGCGTCACTGTGATTTTTCACAAGGGCCCACGTGGATTCCTGCTGCAGGACCCTTCAGAGGAGGCGAGGAAGATCAGGGACGACCCGTCCATGAGGGAGTGCGGTGCTCCTCTGAGGGAGGAGGTGGTGAGGGAGAACGCCCTCACTCTGGTGCGAGTGAGAGGAGGTGATGCCTCAGACAAGGCTGAAGTGCTGGGGGAGTACATCGCTCACAGCAGGCAGTAAGACCAGCACAGCGCCTGTTGTCACCATGCCCCCTGCAGCAGTGAACCCCCTCCTCCTGCTCAGACTCTCATGTCACCGCTGTCTGAGGAGGCCATAGAGAAGGTTGTGCAGCGGATCTTGGAAAAGCAGCAGCAGCCTCCAGCAAATAAACCCCACACAAAGAAATGCCTGTCTTGTGGCCAGCCAAAATCCAAATATGAGGGCGATGGCAGCTCCATCCACGAGTTTTACCAGCCGGGTCCTACCAGGTATTTCTATTGCTCCACCAAGGTCATAACACCTATCGCACAGAGGGTTTGACCAACTCCAGGATGCCATTCCGAGACTTTATGGACACTGAGTTCTACCAGAGAGAGCTGGAGGCCACGCAGCAGAGAGTGAATGAGCGGCAGGAGAAGAAAAGGAAGAGAGATGAGTCTCCTGCCACTGGGAGAAAGTGCGGGTTCTGCAAACTGCAGCTGAAGCAGGGACCAAACAGTCCTCACATTCATACACAATTCCCTGGTCTGTCAGGAAAATACATCTACTGCCCTGCCAAAGTATTCTCCCTGTACAAGGACCAGGGGATGGAGACGCAGATGTTCCAGCAGTCTCCTTTTTATGACCGGGAGAGGGAAAGGTGGCGTGTAAATAAATGAGCTATCTGCTGTCTATTGGTGCTGTTGTATATAGTTACTATATTATACCTGTCTGTTCATAAATGTTTATAAATATTCTAATTATTATGTAAATATATACTTAATATTGATTATATCTAATTATATCATTTCATTTGTAAAGTCTGCATCTACAGTTCTGTATAGTCAGCTCTCAGCCGTCACAGTCACAGGGCTCATCACACAAATACTAGTTTAAGAAGATAAAGATAGCATGTTGTTGTTTTTCTTCTAGGTGTATTTCTTAAATTTGTAAATATCTCTTTTTTTCATCTGTTCACAATAAATATATTATAATGTCATACATTATTGAAGTCTTTCTTTTTATTGATCATATTTCAGGGCAAACAGTAGTATTTAACAAAACAATCTGTATAGAAAATAGAGTTTCAGTTCAGTGTCAGTGTGATCAAAGCAGCTATTGTTGAACTTGTTCAAAGCACCCCCTGCAGAGTTCTCACCTCTGGGATATTCCAGGTGTGTTTGTCTAAATCCATTGATCAACACTTTTCCCATCCTGAGGAGGTGTGACCTTTAACCTGTGTGTGAGGCCTTTGGGGATAAGCCTCTGTGATCTTCACACACTCACACTTTGTGCAGGTCAAAAGGTTTCATGACATTGCTGTTAATATTACTGTCAATTCACTGATGATTTCAAGTTTTACATTTCAAAGAAGCTCTCTAATAGTTACATTTATGTACTTGAAAGGTAATGTGGCTGTTATTAAGGTCAAAATGAGATCCAGTTATTAACTTTAAACTTTTAATTAAGTTTGATTTATTTGGGGTGAGACGGGTTTCGAACTCGCGTCTGTAAATATCCCTGCATTTTGATTGGTTGGACTTCATCACAAAGGCACGTGGCTGACAGGCTCATTCTGATTGGCTGGCCCCCGCGAGAGAGATTAGAATACTCTCTGTGTAAGTGTACACAAACATACTCTGTCATAGTCGGACTGTGGCTGTAATTAGATCACAGCATACTTTCAATATAATGAGTTAGTAATTCTGTTAAATGTTACAATCAAGATATGTTTTTGATCACTTAATTACTTTCAGACCTGTCTCGGGGAGTTTAAACCAGTGTCTGCCAAACTTTCTGAGCCTTTTTCCATTGAAACAAATCAACACCGTCATTAAAACCTCATCAAAGTGAACCAAGAGAATCAAATCTATTCTATTCATATTATTTGTACCAATCGGCTGATATTGGGTCATTTCTAAACAACATCTCAACATCTTTTATGTCTGGAGCTAAACAGACAGAAAAGGAGAGTACCACCCTCTTTCAGCCAATCAGCTCTCAGTGTGGACAATGTTTTAACAAAGACAGAATGTTGTGTCTGATTCAAACAAAACTCTTTCTGTTGGAGTGAAACAATAAACTGTCCTCTAACTATCAGGAGTATGAGTTATAGAGGTATTGTTTTATTGTCAATCATTTACGGAGAGGGAGCTGGCGCATGCGCAGAACAAGCCTCACATTCATACACAATTCCCTGGTCTGTCAGGAAAATACATCTACTGCCCTGCCAAAGTATTCTCCCTGTACAAGGACCAGGGGATGGAGACGCAGATGTTCCAGCAGTCTCCTTTTTATGACCGGGAGAGGGAAAGGTGGCGTGTAAATAAATGAGCTATCTGCTGTCTATTGGTGCTGTTGTATATAGTTACTATATTATACCTGTCTGTTCATAAATGTTTATAAATATTCTAATTATTATGTAAATATATACTTAATATTGATTATATCTAATTATATCATTTCATTTGTAAAGTCTGCATCTACAGTTCTGTATAGTCAGCTCTCAGCCGTCACAGTCACAGGGCTCATCACACAAATACTAGTTTAAGAAGATAAAGATAGCATGTTGTTGTTTTTCTTCTAGGTGTATTTCTTAAATTTGTAAATATCTCTTTTTTTCATCTGTTCACAATAAATATATTATAATGTCATACATTATTGAAGTCTTTCTTTTTATTGATCATATTTCAGGGCAAACAGTAGTATTTAACAAAACAATCTGTATAGAAAATAGAGTTTCAGTTCAGTGTCAGTGTGATCAAAGCAGCTATTGTTGAACTTGTTCAAAGCACCCCCTGCAGAGTTCTCACCTCTGGGATATTCCAGGTGTGTTTGTCTAAATCCATTGATCAACACTTTTCCCATCCTGAGGAGGTGTGACCTTTAACCTGTGTGTGAGGCCTTTGGGGATAAGCCTCTGTGATCTTCACACACTCACACTTTGTGCAGGTCAAAAGGTTTCATGACATTGCTGTTAATATTACTGTCAATTCACTGATGATTTCAAGTTTTACATTTCAAAGAAGCTCTCTAATAGTTACATTTATGTACTTGAAAGGTAATGTGGCTGTTATTAAGGTCAAAATGAGATCCAGTTATTAACTTTAAACTTTTAATTAAGTTTGATTTATTTGGGGTGAGACGGGTTTCGAACTCGCGTCTGTAAATATCCCTGCATTTTGATTGGTTGGACTTCATCACAAAGGCACGTGGCTGACAGGCTCATTCTGATTGGCTGGCCCCCGCGAGAGAGATTAGAATACTCTCTGTGTAAGTGTACACAAACATACTCTGTCATAGTCGGACTATGGCTGTAATTAGATCACAGCATACTTTCAATATAATGAGTTAGTAATTCTGTTAAATGTTACAATCAAGATATGTTTTTGATCACTTAATTACTTTCAGACCTGTCTCGGGGAGTTTAAACCAGTGTCTGCCAAACTTTCTGAGCCTTTTTCCATTGAAACAAATCAACACCGTCATTAAAACCTCATCAAAGTGAACCAAGAGAATCAAATCTATTCTATTCATATTATTTGTACCAATCGGCTGATATTGGGTCATTTCTAAACAACATCTCAACATCTTTTATGTCTGGAGCTAAACAGACAGAAAAGGAGAGTACCACCCTCTTTCAGCCAATCAGCTCTCAGTGTGGACAATGTTTTAACAAAGACAGAATGTTGTGTCTGATTCAAACAAAACTCTTTCTGTTGGAGTGAAACAATAAACTGTCCTCTAACTATCAGGAGTATGAGTTATAGAGGTATTGTTTTATTGTCAATCATTTACGGAGAGGGAGTTGGCGCATGCGCAGAACAAGCCCCCTGATCTGCATCCCAGCTAAAGGCTAAAGCTAACCCCAGCTGAGAGCGTAAACAAAACCACGCTCTACACATAAAACACACAAACACAATCAGACACACACACAGACACACAATCATGTCCAAACGCCACACTCTGAGAGCCGCGGTGACTGCGCGTCTCTCTGCGGCGGCTCTGGACGTCTGTGGAGCTGCTGGACTCTCTCCTGAGGCCGGGGGTCAGGCTGGGCTGGACGGCATCACCCCAGGACCAGGACCAGCATCAGGACCAGCACCAGGACAAGCACCAGGACCAGCACCAGGACCAGCATCAGGACCAGCACCAGGACCAGCACCAGGACCAGCACCAGGACCAGCACCAGGACCAGCCCCAGGACCAGCACCAGGACCAGCCCCAGGACCAGCACCAGGACCAGCATCAGGACCAGCCCCAGGACCAGCACCAGGACCAGCACCAGGACCAGCCCCAGGACCAGCACCAGCACCAGGACCAGGACCAGCCCCAGGACCAGCACCAGGACCAGCCCCAGGACCAGCACCAGGACCAGCACCAGGACCAGCCCCAGGACCAGCACCAGCACCAGGACCAGAGAGACGTGTGGGACAGACCAAGCTTCCACGTGTTTATGGTCATGTTTTCATCATTATTTCATGACTAAGTGTTTGTTCTTCCAGATTCTTCTCTGAGACGGGCTCAGCTCAAAGAGGAACCAGAGGAACAGCTGCAAGTGTCAGAGCCATTTAGAAAACATTACATTATAATTAAACAAAGGTGTAAACTTGGGACAGCCGCTTCTCTCTCTCTCTCTCTCTCTGGTCTCTCTCTCTGGTCTCTCTCTCTCTGGTCTCTCTCTCTCTGGTCTCTCTCTGTCTCTGGTCTCTCTCTCTCTGGTCTGTCTCTGGTCTCTCTCTCTCTGGTCTCTCTCTGGTCTCTCTCTGTCTCTGGTCTCTCTCTCTCTGGTCTCTCTCTGTCTCTGGTCTCTCTCTCTCTGGTCTCTCTGTCTCTGGTCTCTCTCTCTCTGGTCTCTCTCTCTCTCTCTCTCTGGTCTCTGGTCTCTCTCTCTCGTCTCTCTCTGTCTCTGGTCTCTCTCTCTCTCTCTCTCTCTCTCTCTCGTCTCTCTCTCTGGTCTCTCTCTCTGGTCTCTCTCTGTCTCTGGTCTCTCTCTCTCTGGTCTCTCTCTCTCTGGTCTCTCTCTCTGGTCTCTCTCTCTCGTCTCTCTCTCTCTGGTCTCTCTCTCTCTGGTCTCTCTCTCTGGTCTCTCTCTCTCTGGTCTCTCTCTCTCGTCTCTCTCTCTGGTCTCTCTCTCTCTGGTCTCTCTTTCTGGTCTCTCTCTCTGGTCTCTCTCTCTCTGGTCTCTCTCTCTGGTCTCTCGTCTCGTCTCTCTCTCTCTGGTCTCTCTCTCTCGTCTCTCTCTCTCTGGTCTCTCTCTGGTCTCTCTCTCTGGTCTCTCTCTCTGGTCTCTCTCTCTCTGGTCTCTCTCTCTCTGGTCTCTCTCTCTAGTCTCTCTCTCTCTGGTCTCTCTCTCTCTCTCTGGTCTCTCTCTCTCTGGTCTCTCTCTCTGGTCTCTCTCTCTCTGGTCTCTCTCTCTGGTCTCTCGTCTCTCTCTCTCTCTCTCTGGTCTCTCTCTCGTCTCTCTCTCTCTCTCTGGTCTCTCTCTCTCTCTCTCTGGTCTCTCTCTGGTCTCTCTCTCTGGTCTCTCTCTCTGGTCTCTCTCTCTCTCTCTCTCTGGTCTCTCTCTCTGGTCTCTCTCTCTCTCTCTCTCTCTGGTCTCTCTCTCTCTGGTCTCTCTCTCTCGTCTCTCTCTCTCTCTCTCTGGTCTCTCTCTCTGGTCTCTCTCTCTGGTCTCTCTCTCTCTCTCTCTCTGGTCTCTCTCTCTGGTCTCTCTCTCTGGTCTCTCTCTCTGGTCTCTCTCTCTCTCTCTCTCTCTCTGGTCTCTCTCTGGTCTCTCTCTTTCTCTGGTCTCTCTCGTCTCTCTCTCCAGCTGTTGTTTCTGAGGACATTACAAAGTAGAAGAAACAGGAATTCAAACACTAATAAGAAAACAACTCGTACAGTAGGAGCCTTTGGTTCTTAGAGACTGTCCATGGAGGTCCCGATCCTCTCTGTCCTCAGACCCTCCACTCACATCCACTCAGACAAACAGTGGGATAAAGGGAGAGATCTCAGGAAGGCTCATGTTGAGAGCGTCCATGAACAAACTGCAGCTGTAGATCCAGGACTCAGACTGTAGAACGAGGCACAGGGTTGAGGTTCATATTTTAACATTTTCCCCTTTTCAGTCGACAGAGAAATTGTTTAGACCTAGATTTTCTTTTGGCTGACTACAGCCACACGAGAGAGCAACATACTGTAGGACAAAACCAGAAAGCATTAATGTTTCTTACATGTTGTAATTGTGTCTGATTCCTCAGGTCTGCTCCAGCGTCTGTGTTTACCAAGACAGAACTGCTGTTTCCTCTTCAAACCCAGGTCAAAGAAGAGACACTGCCTGAAGGACTCCCAGACTATGGTGAACACCCAGCTCCTTTCAGCTGTTCAGCGGCACTGATGGAGACCGAGGCCCACAGACCGCTCTGCAACAGCACAGTCCAGACCAGAGCAGAGACCGGCGCGGCAGAGACCGGCGCGGCAGAGACCGGCGCGGCAGAGACCGGCGCGGCAGAGACCGGCGCGGCAGAGACCGGCGCGGCAGAGACCGGCGCGGCAGAGACCGGCGCGGCAGAGACCGACGCGGCAGAGACCGGCGCGGCAGAGACCGACGCGGCAGAGGAGTGTGCAGGACCAGCTCAGAGGAAGACACACCAGTGCTCCATCTGTCACAAAACATTTGCTAGAAACTGTAATTTAGAAATACACATTAGACTTCACTCTGGAGAAAGACCTCACCAGTGCTCTTTCTGTAATAAAACATTTGCCCAGATGGGGGCGCTAAAATACCACTTGGTGACACACACAGGGATAACGCCCCTCAGCTGCCCCGTCTGTAAGAAAGGCTTCAGGATGAGCTCTCACCTCAAAGACCACATGAAGACCCACACGGGGGAGAAACCTTACAGTCGCTCTTTTTGTGAAAGATCCTTTTCACAGAAATCCCATCTCACTGCGCACAGAAGGATTCATACTGGAGAGAAACCTTTCAGCTGTTTGCTCTGTGACAGCAGCTTCGTCCGAAAAGCTGAACTCAGGACACACCTGGCAACAACGCACAGATACAGACCTGGCAACAACGCACAGATACAGACCTGGCAACAACGCACAGATACAGACCTGGCAACAATGCACAGATACAGACCTGGCAACAATGCACAGATACAGACCTGGCAACAATGCACAGATACAGACCTGGCAACAATGCACAGATACAGACCTGGCAACAATGCACAGATACAGACCTGGCAACAATGCACAGATACAGACCTGGCAACAACGCACAGATACAGACCTGGCAACAACGCACAGATACAGACCTGGCAACAATCCACAGATAAAACCATGGATCGTTGCAGCGTCCACGTCATCTCGTAAACTGGGAATTTCTAACTTCCCACTGGAAAAGGAAAAATAGGAATGAACGCTGCTCAAGTCTGAAGTTCCAAACTCGGGCTGAAACACGGTTTATAGTTGTTAATATTATGGCCTAAAAAAAGACTGGACGTGTTTTCCAATTTGATGAAGAGAAAGATTATTCACATTATTCACATATGGCATAATTAAAATGTGCAGAAGTGGGCGTGGCTTCGTCAGTCCAGACCAGGGCTGTATCCGAATGTCCACACTATACCCTATATAGTGCACTATATAGTGGTCACGCCATTTTGTAGGGGTGTCCGAATGTCCAGAGAGAAAAAGTAGTGCACTGGAATTTTCCCACAATGCATCTCGAACATGTAGTGAGCAGCGATGGTCACTATACGGAAGTAAAATGGCGGAGGCACGGGGAGACGGGTTGGAAGAGAAGCGGGACATGAGCTACAAATGTGAGTTTTTAATCATCATAAATATGTAAATGTGTAAACCGTGATATATTGTTGACGATAAGCTGCCAAAATACACATTTGAATACCATTGCCTTTTACTGCGAAACAACGTACCAATGTTATGCCGCGAAAGTGTTAGCATTTTCGCATATCATAACATTAACATCTAAAGCGAACGCTACAGAAACGGGTCACTGGTGGTCAGTCATTAATGTTATTAAAGCACTTGTGTTATATGTATAGCATTTATTGTGTGTTTAATGTTTTTTAAAGGGACAGACACTGATGTGGAGAGACTCATCTGACTGCGGGTGAAAAATTTGCTTCGCCGGCTGGATGGGAGTATGACCATTATGAATAAATACTTATTCAAAAAACGTCTACTCATATTCAAATGTTTTTATGTATCGTTACTTTAGGGCAGTGATAAAGGAAATGGGGCTGAGCCGCCTGATCAGCCCTGCCAGAGCGGCCAAGAAGTGGGAGAACCTGAAAAAGACCTACAAGGTTTGTTTCTTTGAAGCTAATTTGTGAAGCATTTATTATACAAAACTCACTGTTTTAAGGAGCTCAGACAGCCACGCACAGGGACAGAAGGAGGGGAGCCCATCGCCATATCGTGGAAGTGGTACTCCCTCATGGATGAGGCAATAGGCAGCAGGCCATCCGTGCAGCCTCCCTGCCTGATTGCCTCATCCATGGGGGAGGGCGTTTCCACATCTGTGGAACAACCCCCTGCCCCCGTACAGCCAGAGGAGGTAGAGGAAGAGGAAAGCAGAGTGGCAGCCAAGAGGCCGAGGAGGGAGAGTTGAGCCTCTTTCTGTTTCTGTCGTCTCCAGTTCGGTACATTACTTTATTATTATATATTTGTCTGTTGTTTAAACCCTGGGCATCAGGCTGGTTTGTGTATTTTAATGTAAATATACAGCTATATTTTTCATGAATCCACAGGACTTTATACATGCTTCTTTATTATGCTAAAGCTAAAAATGTTATTGTATTTTAGTACAAAGTTATTACTCATTTATCTTGTGGTGTGTCATTCTACTGTCTCTAACTGTAGGTGCAACACTGACATTTCCTCAGGATCTCCTCATCTCAATAAACGTTTCTAATTCACAAACAATAGTGCACAGGTTTGTTGTACAGTCTGACAGTCAAAAACTATTTCATTTATCAAACTGTCTGTGTTTATTCTCACAGGTGCCACTTCAAACTCCCTCCTCCAAACCTGTCGCAGAGCCTCCCCCGGGGCCTGGTGCAGATGGTATGACCCATGGGACCCCCCCTCTCTCTCTCCTGGCTCCAGTCACATGGCACACCAACCCCCCACCCCCTCACCCCTCTCCTCCCCCCCACACCCCCACAGACTCTGAATGAATGGAATAAAGGCTGGCTCATTTGAGAAGAGTGAGGACAGATTCCAGGAGAGGAGCTCAGCGACACATTCCACCTTCCCCTGCATTCACCAGGACTCACTCGGACTCACCCGGACTCACCAGGACTTTAGACACCAGGGGTTTGGACCGGACCAGTCTCCGGAACCAGGACTGACCCGCGAGTAAGTGAGCAAGTCCTGCAATCGACTCAAACTTTTGTCAGTGCACTTTTGGCTCGGCACCAGCCCCTGAGAGTAGCCAGCCGTGATTTATTGCGGGCTCTTGGTCCATGCTCTGCACAGGTTTGAAGTGCCCTGCTCATCCTTTTCAATGCTTTTTACTCAAAACAGGCCCAGATTGTGGTGAAGATGAGGCTGCTGCTGCTGCTGCTCCTGGTTCTATTTCATCCCTTCAGACCGCCAGAGGGCGGTGCATAGCACTGAATGTTCCCTTCGCGCATGCGCAGTTCGAGTAATAATACCAAATGAGTCACACCTGTGACCCCCTGGGTGACACACCGGAGGTAATAAAGTCCAGCGTCATCCAGCACTCTGTTCCTTTTTTCTTCTCGCGTGCGGTTCGAATCGTTGTTGCTTGAACTTCGTCAACGTCTGTCGCTGAAAGCCCTCTTCATCGGAGCTGCGGTTCGCCCTCCGTGGGGCGCGACGGTGACGTTGTCCTTCGGGTATTTATTGGTGTTTTCTGTCTTATACGTGTGTATTGGTTGGTGTGAAGGCTGCTGTGGCGCCCGCTCCTCCGTCAGTACTTTCTTTTGGTACATGCATTTCGTGGTGTGAAGGCTGCGGTTCGTTGGCCTGCTCCTCCGCCTGTGCATGTTTGAGTTAGCTTAGCTAACTGTGTATTGAGTGGTGTGAGGCTGCGGTTCGTTAGCCCGCTCCTCCATCGGTTCTTATTTGGGTTAGCATTTTGCTACCTGTGTATTGTGTGGTGTGAGGCTGCGGTTCCGCTCCTCCATCAGTTCTTAGTTGGGTTAGTTTTTGCTACCCGTGTCCTCTGTGGTGTGAGGCTGCGGTTCCGCTCCTCCATCCGTTCTTAGTTGGGTTAGTTTTTGCTACCCGTGTCCTCTGTGGTGTGAAGGCTGCTGTTCGCGCGCCCGCTCCTCCATCAGTTCTTCTTTGGGTTAGTTTTTGTTACCGGTGTCCTCTGTGGTGTGAAGGCTGCGGTTCGTTGTCCCGCTCCTCCATCAGTTCTTGTTTGGGTTAGCATTTGCTGCCTGTGTTTAGTCTGTGGCCGGTGTATTGTGTGGTGTGAAGGCTGCTGTTAGCGCGCCCTCTCCTCCATCACTACTTTATTTTTGAGTTGGCGTTTTACTGCCGGTGTATTGTGTGGTGTGAAGGCTGCTGTTCGCGCGCCCGCTCCTCCATCAGTTCTTCTTTGGGTTAGTTTTTGTTACCGGTGTCCTCTGTGGTGTGAAGGCTGCGGTTCGTTGTCCCGCTCCTCCATCAGTTCTTGTTTGGGTTAGCATTTTCTGCCTGTGTTTATTCTGTGGCCGGTGTATTGTGTGGTGTGACGGCTGCTGTTCGCGCGCCCTCTCCTCCATCACTACTTTATTCGAGTGGCATTTTGCTGCGGGTGCATTGTGTGGTGTGAAGGCTGCTGTTCGCGCGTCCGCTCCTCCACCGTGCTATATTTGGCTTTTCTGTTGTGAAACTGCAGTACGCTGATTCAGTTCTGCAGTTTGTATACCGGTTGGGATTAATTCCATATTGAATTAACGACACAGACAGACGAAACAAGAATAATAATTTAATTTAAAAAGAAAAAAAAAAAAAAAACAATCTTGTTATGGACGGGTCACATGCGTGTGTGGGCTGCGGGTCAGCACTCGATGTTGATGACGGCCATGACCTGTGTCCGGCGTGCCTCGGCCCCACTCACTTGAGGGAGGCAGTGTCCGATAACCCGTGCATGAACTGCAGCTGCTTGCCCTGGGCTGTTAGGGTGGCGAGGCTGGTTCAGCTGCCTTCGTCTGGCGACGGTGGTAGTTTGCCAGTGGGACCTGCTGTGGCTCCGCCCCCTCGGCGTTCTAAGCGCCGTGCTGAGGCCTGTGCTTCGGGGGAGCGGTCTGATGGCCATGGTCCTTCCAAGCAGGCCAAGCCGGATACTGTCCTGGTGTCGAGGGTGGAGCAGTTATCTGCAGAGTTGGAGGCGATGAAATCTGCATTCCAGGCACGTTGTGCTGCTGATGCCGTCTCTGGGGCTGGTTCTTGCTCCATGCCATCCCTCCATCCGGAAGAGGATGTGCTTTCTCTGGCGGCATCTGCTTCGTGCTTCCGGGACGAGGATGACGCGCGGTCCCTTTCGGGGGACGATGCTTATTCTTCCGCACATAGTGTGTCCAGCCGGTCTGGTGACGGCTCAATGCAGGAGGTTCTTCGCAGGGCCTTATCCCGTCTGCAGGTGGAACTTCCCCAGTCGGGACAGGCTGACCCTGGCAGTGCTTTTTTCAGGCGTGGTGGTTCGTCTCCTGCTTTTGTTGTGCCCCCGTCCGCGGAGTATCTGAAGGAGCTACACGCGTGCTGGAGGGACCCCAGCCGTCTCTCTAAGCTGTCGGCTGAGGGTCGGGCTTTGGCCGCGATGCACGATGCCTCTTCGGCTGGTCTGGATTGCATGCCGGCTGTTGAGCCGGCGGTTGCCTCCCTCATTGTTTCTCCAGAGGAGTCCTTGCGGGAGAATGTGAGGTGCCCTCGGAGCCAGTGTCGTGCGACGGATCACTTGCTAACAAAGGCCTACAATTCTGGTGCTCGAGCTGGCCGTATTGGTAACTCCTTAGCGCATCTGCTGCTTGCCCTGTCTGCCTCCCTCCAAGAGGGTAGTGCTGTGGGCACTGATGTTACTGCGTTTAGCGACGCAGCTCTGCATGCTTTTGCCTTGATGACCAGGGAACTCGGACGGGTCATGTCGGTCCTTGTACAGGCTCGTCGGCAGGTATGGCTGGCTCAGTCTCCCCTGACTGAGGCCTGTCGTAGGACCCTCCGTGACGTGCCTGTCGAGCCGGGTCAGATGTTTGGGACGGCGGCCCAGGAAGCATTGGACCGGACTGTCCATGCTGGTCAGACTAGACAGCAACTTTCTAGCCTTAGCAGGGTGGTGCGCCCTCCCCGGCAGTTTTTGCGCCCGATGGTGGCCCCCGGTGTTCGGCAGCCTCCTCGGGATTGGTCTGGTGCTCAGCGTTTTCCCCAGGTCAGGCCTGCCGGGAATTTTCGTGCCCCACCCGTACATAGGCGCCCGACCCGCCAGCCAAGTGGCGCCGCGGCTGGTCCTGGGCGGGGTCCCCCCAGAGCCCCTAGGGGGCGGGGGGCACGGAATTGACGCCTCAGGGCCGAGCGTCGGACATTTTTCCCATCAGCAGCTCGAGTGTTGGGCTGCTCGAGCTCGGGATCCGTGGGTGGTTGCCACATTGACCCACGGATACCGTCTGCAATTCCGACGCCGGCCGCACTTGTCGGGCCGGGTCAAGGTTACTTTGTTCTCGGACCCGGCAAAAGCCTTTATCTTGGATCAGGAGCTCTCCGCCCTCCTGACCAAGGGTGCCATCGAGGCGGTAGATCCGCTGCTGCAACCCAGGGGTTATTACTCCCGTTATTTTCTCGTGCCCAAGAAGACGGGGGGTTTTCGACCAATTCTGGATCTGAGGGGCTTGAATCATTTCCTGAAGGTCATTCCATTTCGCATGCTGACGACTGTGGAAGTCCTTCAGACTGTTGGGGCCGGGGAATGGTTCACGTCCGTAGATTTGAGGGACGCGTATTTTCACGTGCCCATTGCGCAGCCCCACCGGCGGTTCCTCCGGTTCGCCTATCGGGGCGTTCACTGGCAGTTCAGGGTTCTTCCCTTTGGCCTCTCTCTCTCTCCGAGGGTTTTCACCCGATGCGTGAAGGCGGCTCTTGCTCCGCTGCAGGCCAGTGGCATGAAGGTGTTGCCTTATCTGGACGATTGGTTGATCTGCGCCCCGTCCAGGGCACGGTCCTTGGAAGATACGGAGCGCCTTCTGACTCATGTCGCCCGCTTGGGGTTCAGGGTCAATTTCGAAAAGAGCAGCCTGGTACCTTCGCAGGCCGCTGTTTTTCTTGGCCTGAGTCTGAACACGGTGACTATGACGGCGCGTCCGTCGGTGCGCCGCCTGGTCGACATCCACGGTGTGGTGTCCCGTTTCGGTTTTGGCACCCTGCACAGTTACGTCAGCTTTCTACAGCTGGTGGGGAAGCTGGCCTCGATCTCTCGTGTGGTTCCACTCGGGCTGCTTTCGCTTCGCCCGTTGCAGAGGTGGCTGAACGGGTTTCGTTTGGATGCCGTTCGTCACCGCCACAGACGGTTACAGGTGACGTGGGCATGTTTTTGTGCTTTGGCTCCATGGAGGGACCGCGGTCTCCTGTCACGTGGGGTCCCCTTGGGGGTGGTAGTGTGCCGCAGGGAAGTGGTCACCACCGACGCCAGCCGTACGGGATGGGGTGCTGTGTGGCAGCGCAGGTTGGCCCGAGGGGTTTGGTCTCGGGCGGAGCGCTCAGACCACATAAATGTACTGGAGCTTCGGGCCGTCCACCTTGCTCTCCAGGAGTTTTTGCCTCACCTGCTGGGGAAACATGTCCTCATTCGTTCGGACAACACCTCGGTCGTGTATCACATCAACCATCAAGGGGGTGTCCGATCGGCTCGGCTCCTCGAGGTGTCTCAGGCTCTGCTGGTTTGGGCTGCGCCTCGCCTGGCTACACTGCGTGCAGCGTATCTGCCAGGGGACTGCAATCGCGTGGCGGACTCCCTGTCTCGCGGGAGGCCTGCCCCGGGGGAATGGTGTCTCCACCCCGGTGTGGTCCAGAGGGTGTGGGGCCTCTTTGGTCGGGCACAGGTGGACCTGTTCGCTTCGGTGGCCTCCACTCATTGCCCTCAGTTTTTTTCCCTGGACGGGGTTCCGGGCTCTCTCGGCCAGGATGCCCTGGCGCACAGTTGGCCTCAGGCCCTCCTGTACGCCTTCCCCCCTTTTCCTCTGATCTGGCCAACCCTCCAGAGGGTCCTTCGGGCGGGGCACAGTTTATTACTGGTGGCTCCGTTTTGGCCTGCACGGCCCTGGTTTCCACTGCTACTCAGACTTTGTTGGGCTCCCCCCTGGCCTCTCCCTCCCAGGCGGGATCTGCTCTCACAGCTGGACGGTCAGGTGTGGCATCCCTGTCCTCACCGCCTCAAGTTATGGGTATGGCCGTTGGCTGGCCCGAGCTGCGGGCACTCGATGTCACTGGCCCTGTCAGGCCTACACTCCTGAACGCCAGGGCGGCCTCTACTCGGCGGCTGTATGAGAACAGGTGGAAGTTGTTCTCCCGCTGGTGTTCTTCCCGCGGTCGGGATCCCGTGTCGTGCCCGGTGGCGGTTGTCCTGGAATTCCTTCAGTCTCTCCTGGATGAAGGTCGGGCCCCATCTACTCTGAAGGTATATGTTGCTGCTATTTCATGTTATCATGGCCTGGTTGATAACTGTACTGTGGGGGGCCATAACCTGGTGTCTCTCTTTTTACGCGGAGCTCGTAGGCTGCACCCTCGCGTGCCCGCGCGGTCTCCGGTTTGGGACCTGGCCTTGGTGTTGGAGTCTCTCTGCCGCCCTCCGTATGAGCCATTGGCCCGAACGGACCTCGAGTGGCTCTCCTATAAGACTGCTTTCCTGTTGGCTGTGGTCTCTGCAAAAAGGGTCGGTGAGTTACATGCACTTTGTCAGTCCCTCATGCCTACACTGGGATCCTGAGAGGGCTGGCGTGGTCTTGTGGCCTAATCCCACTTTCCTCCCTAAGGTGCTTTCCCGTGACTATTGTAACCGGCCTTTGAGGTTGGCGCGGTTTGTGTCCCCCCTGGATGGGGGTGAGGACAGACTGCACCTGCTGTGTCCTGTGAGGGCATTGGAGGCCTACGTTGCTGCGACGGCAGGTGTGAGGCGCTCAGACCAGCTCTTTGTTGCTTATGGTGGTGCTAGACTGGGGAGTCCGCTTTCGAAGCAACGCCTTTCCCACTGGGTGGTTGACGTTATCAGTCAGGCGTATATTTCGGCCGGCCGCGACCCGCCAGCCACGGTGAGGGCCCATTCTACCAGGGGTGTCTCTACCTCCTGGGCCGCTATGCGCGGGGTGCCGTTGGGAACTATTTGTGCTGCTGCGTCTTGGGCTACACCGAGCACGTTCACCAGATTCTATAACATCAATGTGGCCACTCCGGCTCCTCTTGGCGTGGTCCTTCAGGAATCCTCTGGCTCTCCTCCGTGAGGTGTGTGGTCAAGTTCCTTCGTGACATAGCTGGTATAAGGTCATTCAGTGCTATGCACCGCCCTCTGGCGGTCTGAAGGGATGAAATAGAACGAGGGTTACGTATGTAACCACGGTTCTATGAATCCCGGATGACCGCCAGAGGCGCTCTGTCACTCAGGGTCCTTGCATCCGCGAGAAGATTCTGCAGGAACAGAGTGCTGGATGACGCTGGACTTTATTACCTCCGGTGTGTCACCCAGGGGGTCACAGGTGTGACTCATTTGGTATTATTACTCGAACTGCGCATGCGCGAAGGGAACATTCAGTGCTATGCACCGCCCTCTGGCGGTCATCCGGGATTCATAGAACCGTGGTTACATACGTAACCCTCGTTTTAGAGGCTCAGGCCCAAGAGAGAGGTTAGTCACTTTCATAAATTAAACATAACAGTATTATTATCGTGACGCAGAGGGGCTGTATGTTTTGTGTGAAGGCTGGACGTGTGAGGTCTGTGCGGGTTGGTTAGTTTAGTCACTTAATCTAGTTTTCTTTGCACCAAAAACAAGTGCTATTTCTAGTAGCACTGAGTATCCATGATTTTATCCAATCAGGAGCCAAAGCCAGACGCATGTCCACATGGTGTGTACAATGTGGACAATGTGGAGCTAGCTTTAGATATTTATCACTACTTAATACTTGGAATATGCATTATCAATAGTCATCACTACTATCTACAAAGTGTGTTTGTTTTGTGCCTTTTAAAGCTCAAAAGTAGAAGGGATTGAATTGTATTGTCAAATTAATGATACTTAGCTTCTTTGATTCTTAACAAGAATCATGCACTTTTAATTATTATGCTAAAGTTAGATTTTAGACTTGCTTCTTTATTATGCTGAATCTAGAGAATGTAGATTCTGTGGGACAAATAAAGAATCTTAATCTTAATTATCGGTGATTTAAAAAGATTTACAAAGAATCACATAATCATGGAGATATCTGCGTTTGGTTGATTGGCTTCGATCTATGTTTTTATTGATAATTATCAATATTTTAAAGTTAAAGACTTTACAATATTTAAATAAATAGAGTTTTTTGTTATATTTATGTTGGTCAGTGGTGTAATATTTTTGTTATTATCGGTTTAAAATAAAAACTTTACTTCCAGGTGGATCATCCAGACTATTGGTCCTCTTAACTGTCAATCATTATGGTGTCACGTGTTCCTCCAATCAGTGGAGAGGGCGGGTCTTTCCTAAAATTAGGAATCATCCTCCAATAAATTCTCCTCTCTCCTCTCATTGGACAGGAGTCTCTCCTCTGTCCTCTCATTGGACAGTGGTCTCCTCTGTCCTCTCATTGGACAGTCTCCTCTGTCCTCTCATTGGACAGCAGTCTCCTCTGTCCTCTCATTGGACAGCAGTCTCCTCTCTGTCCTCTCATTGGACAGCAGTCTCCTCTGTCCTCTCATTGGACAGCAGTCTCCTCTCTGTCCTCTCATTGGACAGCAGTCTCCTCTGTCCTCTCATTGGACAGCGGTCTCCTCTCTGTCCTCTCATTGGACAGCAGTCTCCTGTCCTCTCATTGGACAGCGGTCTCCTCTCTGTCCTCTCATTGGACAGCGGTCTCCTCTCTGTCCTCTCATTGGACAGCGGTCTCCTCTCTGTCCTCTCATTGGACAGCGGTCTCCTCTCTGTCCTCTCATTGGACAGCGGTCTCCTCTCTGTCCTCTCATTGGACAGCGGTCTCCTCTCTGTCCTCTCATTGGACAGCGGTCTCCTCTCTGTCCTCTCATTGGACAGCGGTCTCCCTGACGACACGTCTTCAGCTCAGTGATTTTCCGCAGCTTAAACCTTGACCTTTGCTCAAGTCCAAAAACTTTATCCAATTAATCCCAATTCTCTGCTGCGGCTTCGGGCCCTCAGACGGGGCCACAGAGGTGCCTCCGACCGCCCCGGTGCATTGTGGGAACTGTTTGTTGTGATAAGGCTAACCCGCCCTCCAGATAATAGAACTGGCCTCTGTCATTAGCCTTGTGTCCCCCCCTGTCCCCCACTGTCCTCCATGACTCCCTGGGGCCAGTACAGTCAGCTTTAAGAGAGAACAAAAGGCAGACCACACAGAGTCTTCACACATCCATGACACAGCTGAGCTAACAGGGGGCCCCGGGACAGCAGGGGGCCCCGGGACAGCAGGGGGCCCCGGGACAGCAGGGGGCCCGAGTCTCTCTTCTTTACACAGATGTAAGGGGACTTTAGTGTCAGGGGCCGGATCCGCGTCTGACGGAGAGCCTGGAGCAGGTTGTGTGTTAGCATAGGAGTCGTTACAGTAATTGGACTTTAGTGTTGTATTCAGAGAGGGGCCTGGCCCGGCTTGGCTCAGCCCGTGTGTTTTCACACTCTCAGGGTATTATAAACAGAACCAGCAAAGATACTGCACTGAACCTTCTGGAAGGACCGAGCTGAGGGAAAACAAGGTTCACCTCGGAGGGTTTTTCTCTGACTCCCTCTGGCCCCTATGGACTCACATTGAAACCTCACCTCCTCTCGCTCAGTAACTGTTTGTGTCATTTGTGGTTTAGCGACTCTTTGATCCTGGTGTTTATTGATTGACTGCGGAACCTTCCGCAGTCAACCATTGGTTTTGTATTTCTTTATTCCGTCATTTTTTTTTGACACGTTTCACAGCTTTCACATTTTCAACAATTTCCACAAGTTATACATCAAAACGTTCCACATGTTTGGGAGATTATTGCTATTACTTTTGGGACTTCAGCGATTTCCGGTTTTTCCGCAATCGGACAAAAATCTGCATTGAGAATTCTGCAATGCATTTTAATAGGCCCATGCATTTTAATAGGACTTCAGCTCTTTCAGACATTTCTACAGTTTCAATGATTCAACAGTTTCAAGGATTCAACAGTTTCAAGGACTTCAGCAGTTTCAAGGACTTCAGCAGTTTCAAGGACTTCAGCAGTTTCAAGGACTTCAGTGTAATCATGCAACCTAATAGCGGATTTTTCCATGTAAACCAGTATAATGCAACTTAATAGGGATTTTTCCATGTAAACCAGTATAATGCAACTTAATAGGGTTTTTTCATGTAAACCAGTATAATGCAACTTAATAGGGGTTTTTACATGTAAACCAGTATAATGCAACTTAATGGGGATTTTTCCATGTAAACCAGTATTATGCAACTTAATAGGGATTTTTCCATGTAAACCAGTATAATGCAACTTAATAGGGTTTTTTTTCATGTAAACCAGTATAATGCAACTTAATGGGGATTTTTCCATGTAAACCAGTATAACTGTAATGTTTTATCCAGACTCTGTCACCGCTGAATATCGTGACCTGAAAATGCAGTTGAACCCTTTGCTCTTTAGGACCATGAACTCTGCTGTGTTTCTAACTCTGTCTCTCGCTTCAGCCCCGCTCAGGTCCGGCGTGGGCTTTGGCGCTCCCCGTCCCGCCGCCAAGGCCACTGCGTACGTGAGCCCCACGATCAAGAGCCCGTCGTACCGGCCCTCGCCCCCCTCCACGCCCCCCCACAGCCCCGGGGCGAGCGGCCTCCCCCCGCCACGCAGCGCTCTGCCCAGGCCCGCCTCCTTCAGCTCCCGTGGCAAGCTCGGCCAATCACCACGCAGGTACTTTGGCCATTGTTTAGAGATGCAGTACTTGACTCCTTCATAAATAATCTTTGTTAGTCCCAACAGAAGAGTCCATCAGACCAAAACAAAGAAGCAGTAATAACAAAAGTATTGGTTCATGAAGAGCGGGAAAACCAATGTCAGTAAATATAATGTTCATAAATGAGTCTGCATCGTCCTGGAAAAACTCAAACATAAAAATCAATCCTTGGAAAGCCCTGGAGAGGGACCCCTCCCACAGACGGACGACTGGACAGAAGAAGAAGACCCTGGATTAAAGGGCTAACTGGTGATGTCACACTTGGCCAGTCCAATCCTGGAGCTGCCTGCTCTGAGCGGCCTTGGTCCTCGTTCTACAGTCTGAGTCCTGGATCTATGACCCGTCCATTTGTGGGAGTGGATCCCTCTCAGTGTGGGTCTCCCCGAGGTTTCTCACTTTTCCCACTTTTAGAGCTGTTCTGTTAACTGTCTGTTAGACCAATGTGGACCAATGTGGACCAATACTTATGTGTTTTCTGTTCTATCTCCTGTGTTGAAACTGTTTGATTCTCTGATCTATGTCGGTGAATTTGACGGTTTAGTGAAGTCGTCTGAGAGAAACTATGATTTTGGGCGATACATAAATAAATGTGATTGAATGTCTGTTTATGTCACGTGTGTCGTGTCTGTGCAGTTTCCTGACGCCCCCGAAGAGTCTGTCCACTCTGAATGCTCTGGGGGACGCTGGCTGGAGGGACGGCTGCTACTGAGGCTGAGGCCGGGCCTGAGTCTGTGGAGGTGTGAGCGCCCCCTGCTGGACACGGGACACATCAGGACTGTTGCCAAAGGAACCGCTGCAATAACACTGGCTGTGGGTCTGAGCCTCATCACGCTGCTGCTCTCGCGCCAGATTTTAACTTATTCCAACTAATTTAAGTCTTATTTAATAATTTATAAATATATATTTATTAAAGATTGTTGAAATAAACCAGGTGTTATCTTTGGGCTCGAAGCGCCACATGCTGCTAAATGTACTGTTGTTAAAATGATTAAATATTATTGTAAGAATTGTCACTTTTCACAAAAGTATTTCTACACTTTTTATTCCACTTCTTTTTCCACTGTTTCTACAAAACGACCACGGGTGGTTTTAGTTCTGGGAGTTCACAGTTTTACTTTGACCTAAGACTGTTTTATTTGTAATGAAATCACCATTTTGTTTTGGGACCAAAAGTACATTTTAATAAAAATGAATCTCAAACAGAATCTGTTAAAGTCGTGACTTTATTGACCTTTGCTTTTGTGTCATAAATATAACGGTGCCATTTGAACAATATTTGTCTTTTGAATTATTTTCTTTATTGCCTTCACATTTTACCCCCAGTCCCTCGGTCTGTGTAACATCCCCAAGAGGAGAGACATTTACCACTAAATACATTTTCAGCAAATAATAATAAAATATAGAGAAAATTATATATAAAATATCAAATTTAAAAAGGTTAATTTAGGAGGAATTTCACTTTTGCCCATTTTTCAAAACGCAGTTTGTTTTTGCAAATGGACTCTGTGTTAAACAATGTTAATGCAACTGAAATGAGATAAATACTTGAATATTCATTTGTCACAGCAAAAAGTGATGCATATTAAGTTAAACTTAAAGGATCCAGTTTTAAAAAGTTAGACATTTCCTGAGATGAGACTATACGGTTTCGTGTCACTGGAAAAACGTTTTAAAACAGTCAGAATCCGTCCTGTTGTGTGACCTGTGATACAACACTGACATTTCCACATTCTGGGAGGATCGGGAAAGTATTATTACGCTTAGACCGTAATAAACCTTTTCCTAACCCCTCATAACGTGTGTGTAGATAATAGCACTTCCTGTCCTGACGTCACGGGGATATAGCTCAGTGGTAGAGCGCATGCTTTGCATGTATGAGGCCCCGGGTTCGATCCCCGGTATCTCCACCTTTTGACTTCAGATAAAACACTGCAGTCCTGACCTTCACAGACTCTGGTCCTGACCTGAAAATTACTTCAACACTTTCTCAGTTCCTCAGAAACAGGTTTTCATCAAGCATAAAAAAGAAACGAGTTATTTTTAAATGCTTCTTCACTGTTGCTGCTTAGACTGTAACCCTGAGCTTTGTCGCCCTCTTGTGGTTCCTTTGACACATCACTGTTTCTGCACATTTTCCCATATACCCCTGACTGCTACTCCATTTTCCTGTTTATAAAAAGTTCATGTATTTCTGTGTTTTTCTCTTGATCACGAGAAAAAGAATCAATAACATTTAATATTCTTGTTTTCAGTTATACACAACAGCAGTTAAAAATATCCACTTTTATTGGAATATCAAAATATGTCCAGAGAAAAATACTTTACAACATACAGTATCTACACTTGTTCACAGTAAAGCCCTCAGCGGTCACAGTGCCCCCTGCTGGGCTGGAGTCTTATTCACTTCTATGGCTTATATCCAGTTCACAGCAGTGGTCTCGGTGACGTATCCCAGATGTTTATTATTAATATCATTATTATTATTATTATTATTATTATTATTATTATTATCATCATCATCATCATTATAATCATCAGATCATTGCGACTGGCGGTTGGAGGCGGGGCAGGAGCTCGGCAGCACGCCCTTCAGAGTGTGGGCGGAGCTAAAGTCCAGGGTGTGGCTGTGGTGGTGTTTGGAGAGCTTCAGGTTCCTCATGCAGCCTCTGAACGGCGTGGACACAGAGAGAGCGTTCTGCTTCACTCCCGCTGCAAACAGTTATCTACAGTTTATATCTGGGTCACACATTAGGAAAATACGAACATTTTGGTTCCTAGGTTTCTACTATTTGGGGGAAAAATACATATTTTTGGAACAAAGAAGTATAAAATGTCTTGCAAATCTAAACTCTCCAACGAGTAAGAAGTCATCTCAGAGCTCACCTGGGAAGCCGCCCACGTAGACCGGGTTGTTGGTCTCTGCGGAGGTGGACTGGGGGTGGGGGTTGGGGGTTCGATGCTGCCGTCCGTCCAGTGCCAGGCTCATGTGGTGCTTGGTTTTAGCGGCGGTCACAGAATGCCAACGACCGTCACACACGAAGGACCCCGAGGAGCGCACGGAGATTCTGCCTGCGCCGTTGTTCACGTGAAATACCACCTGTCACACACACACGCACAGACACACGCACAGACACACACACGCACAGACACACACACGCACAGACACACACACACACAGACACACACATACAGACAAACAGACACACAGACACACACACACACACACACACACACAGACACACACACACAGACACACACACGCACAGACACAGACACAGACACACACACGCACAGACACACACACACAGACACACACACACACACACGCACACACACAGACACACACACAGAGACATACACACACACAGACACACACACGCACACACACACACACACACACGCACACACACACACACGCACAGACACACACAGAGACATACAGACACACACACACAGAGACATACACACACGCACAGAGACATACACACACGCACACACACACACAGACATACACACACACAGAGACATACACACAGAGACATACACACACAGACACACACACACACAGAGACACACACACACACAGACACACACACACACACACAGAGACATACACAGGTACACGCACAGACGCACACAGACACACAGACAGAAACACACACACACAGACAGAAACACAGACACACACACACACACACACACAGACACACACACACAGAGACATACACAGGTACAGACAGAAACACACACAGACACGCACAGACACACACAGACACACACACACACACAGAGACATACACAGGTACACGCACAGACGCACACAGACACACACAGACAGAAACACACACACACAGACAGAAACACAGACACACACACACAGGTTACAAGTGTAATGTTATCAAAAGCCCCAAAGTATTTTATTTTATTGCCATTTTGGGGAAAATGTAAAGAAACCATTTGTTGCTCCTCGGACACAGGAGCAAAAGTGTGTGAGACCTTTAATACATAATACACACTTTGTCATAATAATACTGATTGTAAATGAATATAACTATTTATATTCATGAATATAAACAATATCATGCACTAATATGTGTCTGGTATGAAGCCATTTCTGAAAGAGACTTCAGCAATTAATAGTTTAAAGGAATAGTTCACCGTTTTTACACACTGACATATGTTCTTACCTTAGACTAGTTAATACGTACCTGTCTGGTCTTAGTCCGTGCGCTCTGTCATGCAAACGGAGCAAAAACGGGAGCACAACCGCAGCCTCCTCTGTAAACTGTATAGGACCAAAAGGTAGCTCCCGCTAGAAGCTACCAAACTCTTCCAAGTGTTCCTTATTAAATGTATATAGTTACGTGACGTGTTACACTGCAAAGTATAGTAACACAGAAATGTAATAGTCGATTTTCTCAGCGGATAAAACGGGTACTATATTGTGAGGCGTAGTAATCTGAGGAGCGCTACGTCCGCGCACTAACTTCTCTCCGTAATACAAGTCACGCTGCTTCTATTGACGGAAGTGAGCGAGAGAGAAGTCTCCGGAGAGAAGTTAGTGCGCGGACGTAGCTATACTATACTTTGCAGTGTAACACGTCACGTAACTATATACATTTAATAAGGAACACTTGGAGGAGTTTGGTAGCTTCTAGCGGGAGCTACCTTTTGGTCCTATACAGTTTACAGAGGAGGCTGCGGTTGTGCTCCCGTTTTTGCTCCGTTTGCATGACAGAGCGCACGGACTAGGACCAGACAGGTACATATTAACTAGTCTAAGGTAAGAACATATGTCAGTATGTAAAAACGGTGAACTATTCCTTTAAAGCTGGGGTACCTAACTTCAAAAATGTTAACAATGTAATAGAACCAAACTGTTTTGAGGCTGAAGAACTAATTATGTGGATTTTATAAATAGTTTTCAAAAACATCTGAGAGGCTTTTCAATCAAAGTAAAAAAATAAAAAAACTTAGACACAATTAGATTTTGACACTGGTCAGAAGGACTTTTGGTGGGTGTGATGTTCGTACCTGTCCGCCGACCAGCTCCAGCCCGATGGCGTCCACTTTGGCGCTGCTGATGCCCAGTAACACAGCGTCTGATTGGCTCGTCCTGAACTCCAGCGAAACGGTCAAATCAGAGCCGACCTTGTACCCGCCGCGCACTGCGTCCAAACACACGACAGGCCGCACCTTTAGCACAACTTCACACACAAAACCTGCGCGGTAAACTGCGGCCACTCACGGAGCTCCGCGTGGCCCGAGCCGTTGAAGTGCGCCCCCTGCTGGTCGCTGCTGAAACAGGCCGTGGTGTGGTGCCGTGTCTCGGGTTTGTTCAGGTCGAGCGCGGCGTTGTTCAGCGACACGGAGCGGATACAGCCGGGGAAACTGTGGCTCACCTGCAGAAACAAGTGAGAAAGTTAGCATTAGCGTTAGCATTAGCATTAGCGACGCAGTCTGAGCTCAGTGCGCTGTTCTCCTTACGTTGATCCTCTTGGCCGTGTACGTGTGCGAGAGCCCGCCCACAAACACCCGGCTCTCCACATCCAGTTGGTTGCCTTTAATGGGGGCGGAGTCAGAGGCCCCGCCCACTGAGACAGATACAGAACGACGGTTGACCTCCGCCGTCACCTGGAACGCACCGGATCAGTTTGATTATCAACTTTCATCTTTTGGGCAATTTGCTTTACTATGGCCGAGTAGATCTGAGTAGGGTAGGGTAGGGTAGGGTAAGGTAGGGTAGAGTAGAGTAGAGTAGAGTAGCTAAGGGTAGAGTAGAGTAGAGTAGAGTAGCTAAGGGTAGAGTAGAGTAGAGTAGAGTAGGGTAGCTAAGGGTAGAGTAGGGTAGGGTAGGGTAGAGTAGAGTAGGGTAGGGTAGGGTAGAGTAGAGTAGAGTAGAGTAGGGTAGCTAAGGGTAGAGTAGGGTAGGGTAGAGTAGGGTAGCTAAGGGTAGAGTAGGGTAGCGTAGGGTAGAGTAGAGTAGAGTAGGGTAGCTAAGGGTAGAGTAGGGTAGCGTAGGGTAGAGTAGAGTAGAGTAGAGTAGAGTAGGGTAGCTAAGGGTAGAGTAGGATAAGGTAGGGTAGAGTAGAGTAGAGTAGGGTAGCTAAGGGTAGAGTAGGATAAGGCAGGGTAGAGTAGAGTAGAGTAGGGTAGCTAAGGGTAGAGTAGGGTAGAGTAGAGTAGAGTAGAGTAGAGTAGCTAAGGGTAGAGTAGAGTAGAGTAGAGTAGCTATGGGTAGAGTAGAGAGTAGAGTAGGGTAGCTAAGGGTAGAGTAGGGTAGGGTAGGGTAGGGTAGAGTAGAGTAGAGTAGGGTAGCTAAGGGTAGAGTAGGGTAGGGTAGAGTAGGGTAGCTAAGGGTAGAGTAGGGTAGCGTAGGGTAGAGAGTAGAGTAGAGTAAGGTAGCTAAGGGTAGAGTAGGGTAGCGTAGGGTAGAGTAGAGTAGAGTAGAGTAGGGTAGCTAAGGGTAGAGTAGGATAAGGTAGGGTAGAGTAGAGTAGAGTAGGGTAGCTAAGGGTAGAGTAGAGTAGCTAAGGGTAGAGTAGAGTAGAGTAGAGTAGGGTAGCTAAGGGTAGAGAGGATAAGGTAGGGTAGAGTAGAGTAGAGTAGGGTAGCTAAGGGTAGAGTAGGGTAGAGTAGAGTAGCTAAGGGTAGAGTAGAGTAGAGTAGAGTAGGGTAGCTAAGGGTAGAGTAGGGTAGAGTAGAGTAGGGTAGCTAAGGGTAGAGTAGGGTAGAGTAGAGTAGGGTAGCTAAGGGTAGAGTAGAGTAGAGTAGAGTAGCTAAGGGTAGAGTAGGGTAGAGTAGAGTAGGGTAGCTAAGGGTAGAGTAGAGTAGAGTAGAGTAGGGTAGCTAAGGGTAGAGTAGAGTAGAGTAGAGTAGGGTAGCTAAGGGTAGAGTAGAGTAGGGTAGCTAAGGGTAGAGTAGGGTAGAGTAGAGTAGGGTAGCTAAGGGTAGAGTAGAGTAGAGTAGAGTAGAGTAGGGTAGCTAAGGGTAGAGTAGGGTTAGAGTAGAGTAGGGTAGCTAAGGGTAGAGTAGAGTAGAGTAGAGTAGGGTAGCTAAGGGTAGAGTAGGGTAGAGTAGAGTAGGGTAGCTAAGGGTAGAGTAGGGTAGGGTAGGGTAGACTAGGGTAGGACATTGTTTATTATCACAGGTGTGTGTTTGCAGTCGGTCATTTTCTAATGTGAGTAAAATGAAAACAAGATTTCTAAACGGTAATCTGATTCTTCTCTCCGTATTCTTACCGTGTGCCAGTTTCCATCGTTGACCAAGCGCGAGGACGTCACGGAGGCGGAGCCTTTGCCCAGGTCGGCCGACAGCACCATGTGACCGTCGGCCAATCGCAGCGCGGCAAAGTCCATCTGGTTCTTACTGGAGGCGAGCAGCAGCAGCCCGTCCCGCGCCCAGGTCCGGAAGGAGAGCCTCACGGACAAACTGAGACAGAGACAGACCTCTGGCTTCAGCAGGGTGTAAAGCTGGGGTACGTAACTTTCATTTGACCATCAATTAGGGCTGGGCGATATAAACGGTATAAGCGGTATGCGGTATAAATTTGGCCCACGGTAGAGATTTTTGTTATACCGGCATATTGCGATAGGTCATTATGTCATCAAATTGCGCAGGCTCTGACGCCAGCAGAAAGGACCAAAACAAACCGGCATTCAGCAGCATTAGCCTAGCACATTAGCCTAGCACATTAGCCTAGCAGACACCACTGGAAACAACAGCACGGCTTTCACACCGTGTTTCTGTCTCTGTATTGGTCACAGCGGCCCCAGCGGAGGTAAATACACACACAGTAATCACAGTTTACATGTCTACCTTTCGGCCAATGAGTGTCAAAGGGGCGTAGGCTCAAAGCGCCATCGTGAGCCGAAATAGATCCATGCTTGAGCCGTGTCCGCATCATCTCAGAAGTTTGGTAAAGGTAGCGTCCGATTCAGACTTCCGCGGTCAATATCTCACGAAAGCTACTTTGTTAAACAAAATTAATTTTGCCAAAATGAGCATTTACATCAATTGTTCAAATCAAATGCGCTGTTTTAATGCAGATAAATCCATTGAATCATCCAGTTCACAGCAAGCGCTTAGGGAGCGTCAACAAATGGCAAGACTAGCTTTGTAAACGAACAATAGCTTTTACTGAAGCCATGCATACGCACTAAACTCTGACACTATAAATAATGTCCATGTCTAACTGCTACAGATATTATATAATATATTTTAATATTATTTAAAATTGCTTTCACAGTTAATGGTCTTTACTGTAACATACATAAATAATGTATGTTACAGCATTTGTCTCTCACCTGATTTTCAAACTCAAAAAATATATATCAGATTCTAATGTACAGATAAGTAACAATCTTGACTATTTTATGCAAGAACCTGCTAAACCTATATTGAAATTCACACACCAAATTATACCGTGATGTATACCGTCTACCGTCTGTGACCCAAATCATACCGCGATATGAATTTTAGGCCATATCGCCCACCCCTACCATCAATAACAATGAACTAAAACAGAATCTCTAACTTTAAGAGAGGCACATTTGTTGGATGGATTTTATGACATAGTTTTGGTTTGAAATGTAGGTACCCCAGCTTTAAGTGAGTGGTAAGGAGACCCCAGACTGTTAGCTGTGTTAGCTGTGTTAGCTGTGTTAGCTTTGTTAGCTTTGTTAGCCCTCACCTCTTCTTCACGGCGCTGGGGTTGATGCTGAAGGTCATGTGACTGTGTCTGGTCGATCCAAACTGGACTCCGGAGGAGAGGAAGGTCGGCTCCTCCTCCACCGCACACTGACCACACACACACAACAGTTAAAACCCACGCACACAACAGTAAACACACACACACACACACACACACAAGTTCACACACAACAGTAAAACACACACACACACAACAGTTAAAACCCACGCACACAACAGTAAACACACACAAACACAACACTTTGATGTAGTTTCGAAACTACCCTGGTCGTACCACACCATAGTACTCATTTCATTTCATACTAAGGTCTGAAATGAAATGAGTCTAGTTTTAGCATTTAGCCTAGCTTTAGCATGTAGCCTAGCTTTAGCCATTTCCTTTGTCACTAACGGAGCCCGTGGGGAGTAGAGCCACAACATCTTTGCTTCAATGACATTTACTAAACATTCCTCTTGTTCCGGCTTCAGTTTCTTGATATTTGGATTGAACCAGAACAGATTATTTTACTATCACATTCTATCCATCCACAAATTTGTAGCATTTTGTCAAACGCTCTCTTGAACTTACTGAAGATAATTTGTTATCAAACTCAAAACATCAAAAATAACAATTAAAATAAATAGGGTCAGTGTTACCGAGAGGGCTCCAGGCGTCAGGGCGCTCAGGTATGTGGGCGGAGCTACAGGCAGGTGGGCGGGGTCAGCGGTGGGCTCCAGCTCCTCCCCGTTCAGGACGGCTCCTCCTGCTCGGGCCTCCAGCAGACAGCTGTCCAAGTGTGCGCCTTCATATCTCAGGGCTAAGGACAGGTCCACCAGCCTGACACACACGTTCACATTTCACTTTCATTCATTATTATCAAACAACATTTGAAATAAAAATCTATAATAAAAAAAATATTATAAAAAGCACAATTTTTTACTTAATCTGTGATAAAATAAAAGTGTCTTTGAACGTCCAATAATATATGAGTATATTTTTATCACTATTAAAAGAATGCGCTAAAATGATCGGCTAAGCGGGCCCCTGGTGGTGGCCCCTGATGGTGGCCCCTGATGGTGGCCCCTCGTGGTGGCCCTTGATGGTGGCCCCTGGTAGTGGCCCCTGGTAGTGGCCCCTGGTAGTGGCCCCTGATGGTGGCCCCTGATGGTGGCCCCTGATGGTGGCCCCTGATGGTGGCCCCTCGTGGTGGCCCCTGATGGTGGCCCCTGGTAGTGGCCCCTGGTAGTGGCCCCTGGTAGTGGCCCCTGATGGTGGCCCCTGATGGTGGCCCCTCGTGGTGGCCCCTGGTAGTGGCCCCTGGTAGTGGCCCCTGGTGGTGGCCCCTCACACAGTCCTCTGATGTAAAGTCACCTTCGGTTCAGGGCCAGGTTCTGGATGCAGCCTCTGAAGGATCGGGACAGACTCTGGATCCGGACCGGCAGACGGGACTCGGCTCCTGAGGGCAGTCCACCGATGAAGAGCGAGGAAGAGGAGGAGGTCAGACCTGAGACTGAGCCTGGAGACAGGTGTATGGACTTCATCTGCAGCTCGTCTACGTGGACCGAGAGGACTCTGGGAGGACAGAGGACATGGTCACGTGTGTGCGAGTGTGAGTGTTTGTGTGTGTGTGTGCTCGTGTGAGTGTGTGTGTGCTCGTGTGAGTGTGTGTGTGTGTGTGTATGTTTAAATAAGTGTGTGTATGTTTGTGTGCGTGTTCGTACTTCCTGCTGAGGCTGATAATGACCGAATGCTGCAGACCGTCAGAAAAAGCCCCCTCGACGATGGCCCTCTGCGAAGCCACGCCCACTTTGCCTAGCTCCGCCTCCAGAGTGCTCGACATGAGCTGGACGGACAGGAAGTGCTGCCGTGGAAACACACACAATAACAAATCTATGGGACATTGTACATACAAACTACTGCAACATAAATTATACGACACCATTTTGACCACTGTTTTTCACAAACATTGTATTATGATGGTGGAACATTTACAGACCCCAGCTTTAATACCACTCTGTCCTGTACCTGTTTGTCGTGGCTGAGCGCGGTCAGCAGGAGGCCGGACTGGTTCCTGGACGAGAAGGTCATCAGGATGTCTGTCTCCTGAGCGAAGGGACGAGGGGTCAGCTCCACGAAGCCGGGTCCAAACAAGGACAGACTCCGGACCGCCTGGGACCAGAGGAGAGCCGGGTGTGAGAACGGACGAGTGTGTGCGTGTGTGCGTGAGAGAAAGAGTGTGTGTGTGAACAGTATGTGTGTGTGTGTGTAAGAGAGAGCGTGTCTGTGTGTAAGTGTATGTGTACGTGTATATGTGTTTATATGTGGGTGTGAAACCATGTGTGTGTGTGTGAGAGCAGCGAGACCGTGCATTTGTGTGTGTGTGTGTGTCTTTGTGGGTGTGTGTGTGTGTGTGTGTGTGTGGCCCTTACCTCCAGAGTGCAGCCCTTCCTGATCCCGAATCCGTCCTGGAGCAGATCGAAGTTGGTGCGAGCGATTTCCACGTTCTTGATGCATCCCACGTACGAGCGCAACACAACCTGCCGTCTGCACCACACAAGGACAAGAAGACATGACAGCCACACACACTGCACCACACAGGGACCAGAGGACACGGCAAACGCACACACTGTACCACACAGGGACAAGAGGACACGACAACCACACACACTGCACCACACAGGGACCAGAGGACACGGCAAACGCACACACTGTACCACACAGGGACAAGAGGACACGACAACCACACACACTGCACCACACAGGGACAAGAGGACACGGCAAACGCACACACTGTACCACACAGGGACAAGAGGACACGACAACCACACACACTGCACCACACAGGGACCAGAGGACACAACAACCACACACACTGCACCACACAGGGACAAGAGGACACGGCAACCACACACACTGCACCACACAGGGACCAGAGGACACAACAACCACACACACTGCACACACAGCACACAGGACAAGAAGACACGACAACCACACACACTGTACCACACAGGGACAAGAGGACACGACAACCACACACACTGCACCACACAGGGACCAGAGGACACAACAACCACACACACTGTACCACACAGGGACAAGAAGACACGACAACCACACACACTGCACCACACAGGGACAAGAGGACACAACAACCACACACACTGCACCACACAGGGACAAGAGGACACGGCAACCACACACACTGCACCACACAGGGACAAGAGGACACGACAACCACACACACTGCACCACACAGGGACCAGAGGACACAACAACCACACACACTGCACCACACAGGGACCAGAGGACGCGGCAACGCACACACTGCACCACACAGGGACCAGAGGACACAACAACCACACACACTGCACCACACAGGGACAAGAGGACACGACAACCACACACACTGCACCACACAGGGACAAGAGGACACGACAACCACACACACTGCACCACACAGGGACAAGAGGACACAACAACCACACACACTGCACCACACAGGGACCAGAGGACACAACAACCACACACACTGCACCACACAGGGACAAGAGGACACAACAACCACTCACACTGCACCACACAGGGACAAGAGGACACGGCAACCACACACACTGCACCACACAGGGACAAGAGGACACAACAACCACACACACTGCACCACACAGGGACAAGAGGACACGACAACCACACACACTGCACCACACAGGGACAAGAGGACACGACAACCACAGACACTGCACCACACAGGGACAAGAGGACACAACAACCACACACACTTCACCACACAGGGACCAGAGGACACAACAACCACACACACTGCACCACACAGGGACAAGAGGACACAACAACCACACACACTGTACCACACAGGGACAAGAGGACACAACAACCACGCACACTGCACCACACAGGGACCAGAGGACACAACAACCACACACACTGCACCACACAGGGACCAGAGGACACAACAACCACACACACTGCACCACACAGGGACAAGAGGACACGACAACCACACACACTGCACCACACAGGGACAAGAGGACACGACAAACACACACACTGCACCACACAGGGACCAGAGGACACAACAACCACACACTCTGCACCACACAGGGACAAGAGGACACAACAACCACACACACTGCACCACACAGGGACAAGAGGACACAACAACCACACACACTGCACCACACAGGGACAAGAGGACACGACAACCACACACACTGCACCACACAGGGACAAGAGGACACGACAACCACACACACTGCACTACACAGGGACCAGAGGACACGACAACCACACACACTGCACCACACAGGGACAAGAGGACACAACAACCACACACACTGCACCACACAGGGACCAGAGGACACAACAACCACACACACTGCACCACACAGGGACAAGAGGACACAACAACCACACACACGGCACCACACAGGGACAAGAGGACACAACAACCATACACACTGCACCACACAGGGACAAGAGGACACGACAACCACACACACTGCACCACACAGGGACAAGAGGACACAACAACCACACACACTGCACCACACAGGGACAAGAGGACACAACAACGACACACACTGCACCACACAGGGACCAGAGGACACGGCAACCACACACACTGCACCACACAGGGACAAGAGGACACGACAACCACACACACTGCACCACACAGGGACCAGAGGACACAACAACCACACACACTGCACCACACAGGGACAAGAGGACACAACAACCACACACACTGCACCACACAGGGACAAGAGGACACGACAACCACACACACTGCACCACACAGGGACAAGAGGACACAACAACCACACACACTGCACCACACAGGGACCAGAGGACACAAAAACCACACACTCTGCACCACACAGGGACAAGAGGACACAACAACCACACACACTGCACCACACAGGGACCAGAGGACACGGCAAACGCACACACTGCACCACACAGGGACAAGAGGACACGACAACCACACACACTGCACCACACAGGGACAAGAGGACACGACAACCACACACACTGCACCACACAGGGACCAGAGGAACAACAACCACACACACGCACACACAGGGACCAGAGGACACAACAACCACACACACTGCACCACACAGGGACAAGAGGACACGGCAACCACACACACTGCACCACACAGGGACAAGAGGACACGACAACCACACACACTGCACCACACAGGGACAAGAGGACACAACAACCACACACACTGCACCACACAGGGACAAGAGGACACGACAACCACACACACTGCACCACACAGGGACAAGAGGACACGACAACCACACACACTGCACCACACAGGGACCAGAGGACACAACAACCACACACACTGCACCACACAGGGACCAGAGGACACAACAACCACACACACTGCACCACACAGGGACAAGAGGACACGGCAACCACACACACTGCACCACACAGGGACAAGAGGACACGACAACCACACACACTGCACCACACAGGGACAAGAGGACACAACAACCACACACACTGCACCACACAGGGACAAGAGGACACGACAAACACACACACTGCACCACACAGGGACAAGAGGACACGACAACCACACACACTGCACCACACAGGGACAAGAGGACACGACAACCACACACACTGCACCACACAGGGACAAGAGGACACGACAAACACACACACTGCACCACACAGGGACAAGAGGACACAACAACCACACACACTGCACCACACAGGGACAAGAGGACACGACAAACACACACACTGCACCACACAGGGACCAGAGGACACGGCAAACGCACACACTGTACCACACAGGGACAAGAGGACACAACAACCACACACACTGCACCACACAGGGACAAGAGGACACGACAAACACACACACTGCACCACACAGGGACAAGAGGACACGACAAACACACACACTGCGACACTTTCTATCTAAATTCTCTTTGATAATATCCTCGTCTGTGTTCTCACCTTATTGGTCGAGAAGCAGGAAGTCCTCCAATGTAGATGGGGTCGAGGTCGTTGCGGTTCAGATCGGAGGCGGTTCCAGGAGACTCCGCCTCCAGTGTCTCCTTTTCTGACGATTGGTCGGCGGCAATGATGGACAGGTAGGCTGTGGACCCAAACAGATCCATGAAAACTCTAAAGGGGCGTTCACACCGGACTTAACTTCGGCGTCAAAAGCGTCAGGTTTCCATTGAAAGTGAATGGTGAAGCGCGTCAGGTGAAGCCAAGAGCCCCGGCGTCACTTGACGCGCTTATTACGCTCGCGTATCACAACAATCCCTTTGACGCCGAAGCTGAGCAAAGCTGAGCTTTTGAAGCTTTGACGCGGGCTTCAACCAATCAGGAGACGAGGAGCAGCAGCAGCAGAGGGTCTGTCTCTGTCATGGAGAGAAGTCATGTATCTGCTGCTGCTGTTTTATTGTCATTATTGTTATTAGTAATATTATTTGTATGAGTAGTAACGTTCTGAGTAACAAAAACCATTGTACACATGCTGTGTAGTAAACGTAGTTTATTTAAAATAAGAACAGGCTGACGATGAGTCTGGCTCAGAGCAAGGCAGCTCCGGGCGGGCGTGAGCCGAGGAGAGGCAGGGAGAGGCAGGGAGAGGCGAGCGAGAGCCGGGGAGAGGCAGGGAGAGGCAGGGAGAGGCGAGCGAGAGGCAGGGAGAGGCGAGCGAGAGCCGGGGAGAGGCAGGGAGAGGCAGGGAGAGGCGAGCGAGAGCCGGGGAGAGGCAGGGAGAGGCGAGCGAGAGCCGGGGAGAGGCAGGGAGAGGCAGGGAGAGGCGAGCGAGAGCCGGGGAGAGGCAGGGAGAGGCGAGCGAGAGCCGGGGAGAGGCAGGGAGAGGCGAGCGAGAGCCGGGGAGAGGCAGGGAGAGGCAGGGAGAGGCGAGCGAGAGCCGGGGAGAGGCAGGGAGAGGCGAGCGAGAGCCGGGGAGAGGCAGGGAGAGGCAGGGAGAGGCGAGCGAGAGCCGGGGAGAGGCAGGGAGAGGCGAGCGAGAGGCAGGGAGAGGCGAGCGAGAGCCGGGGAGAGGCAGGGAGAGGCAGGGAGAGGCAGGGAGAGGCGAGCGAGAGGCAGGGAGAGGCGAGCGAGAGCCGGGGAGAGGCAGGGAGATGCAGGGAGAGGCAGGGAGAGGCGAGCGAGAGCCGGGGAGAGGCAGGGAGAGGCGAGCGAGAGCCGGGGAGAGGCAGGGAGAGGCGAGCGAGAGCCGGGGAGAGGCAGGGAGAGGCGGGGAGAGGCAGGGAGAGGCGGGGAGAGGCAGGGAGAGGCGAGCGAGAGCCGGGGAGAGGCAGGGAGAGGCGGGGAGAGGCAGGGAGAGCCGGGGAGAGGCAGGGAGAGGCGAGCGAGAGCCGGGGAGAGGCAGGGAGAGCCGGGGAGAGCCGGGGAGAGGCAGGCAGGGAGAGGGGGGAGAGGCAGGGAGAGGCGAGCGAGAGCCGGGAGAGGCAGGGAGAGCCGGGGAGAGCCGGGGAGAGGCAGGAGAGCCGGGGAGAGGCAGGGAGAGGCGGGGAGAGGCAGGGAGAGGCGGGGAGAGGCAGGGAGAGGCGGGGAGAGGCAGGGAGAGCCGGGGAGAGGCAGGGAGAGCCGGGGAGAGGCAGGGAGAGGCGGGGAGAGGCAGGAGAGGCGGGAGAGGCGGGAGAGGCGGGAGAGGCGGGGAGAGGCAGGGAGAGCCGGGGAGAGGCAGGGAGAGGCGGGGAGAGGCAGGGAGAGGCGGGGAGAGGCAGGGAGAGGCGAGCGAGAGCCGGGGAGAGGCAGGGAGAGGCGGGGAGAGGCAGGGAGAGCCGGGGAGAGGCGAGGGAGAGGCAGGGAGAGCCGGGGAGAGGCAGGGAGAGCCGGGGAGAGCCGGGGAGAGGCAGGGAGAGCCGGGGAGAGGCGAGAGCCGGGGAGAGGCGAGAGCCGGGGAGAGGCAGGGAGAGCCGGGGAGAGCCGGGGAGAGGCAGGGAGAGCCGGGGAGAGGCAGGGAGAGCCGGGGAGAGGCAGGGAGAGCCGGGGAGAGGGGAGCGAGAGCCGGGGAGAGGCAGGGAGAGCCGGGGAGAGGCGAGCGAGAGCCGGGGAGAGGCAGGGAGAGGCGAGCAAGAGGCAGGGAGAGGCGAGAGCCGGGGAGAGGCAGGGAGAGCCGGGGAGAGGCAGGGAGAGCCGGGGAGAGGCGAGAGCCGGGGAGAGGCAGGGAGAGCCGGGGAGAGGCGAGCGAGAGCCGGGGAGAGGCGAGCAAGAGGCAGGGAGAGGCAGGGAGAGGCAGGGAGAGGCAGGGAGAGGCAGGGAGAGGCGAGCTCCGGGGTTTGAGAACTCAGACTGGGCGAGTGACATGCGGAAGTACCGCTGAAAGCAAAACTCCTCCGTACGCAGCTCCTGGAGTAAATGACAGAACTCTGCAAACACTGCAGCCTCAGTCTGTGGTGAACCCAGAACATGTTTTGTTGAAGCCCTACAACAACGTTATTTTGCTTTATATAACAAATAAAGGCTCGCTGCTCATTGAAAAATCCACCGCTGTCCTGACTACAGACAACAGAGAAGCTCCTCCCACCGGCGTCAGGCGCGTCACTCGCGTCAAAAGCTTCAAGCACCAAAATGACAAAACTATCCCGGCGTCAGTTGAAGCGCGTCAAAAGCTTTTTGAAGCTTTTGGTCTGAACGCGCCTTAAGATCCTTAACTTTTATTGCTGCACCAGACCAGAGAGTGAGACCAGAGAGAGACCAGAGAGAGACCAGAGAGAGACCAGAGAGACCAGAGAGAGACTAGAGAGAGACCAGAGAGAGAGACCAGAGAGAGAGACCAGAGAGAGAGACCAGAGAGAGAGACCAGAGAGAGACCATAGAGAGACTAGAGAGAGACCAGAGAGAGAGACCAGAGAGAGAGACCAGAGAGAGAGACCAGAGAGAGAGACCAGAGAGAGAGACCAGAGAGAGAGACCAGAGAGAGACCAGAGAGAGACCAGAGAGAGAGACCAGAGAGAGACCAGAGAGAGACCAGAGAGAGACCAGAGAGAGAGACCAGAGAGAGACCAGAGAGAGACCAGAGAGAGAGACCAGAGAGAGAGACCAGAGAGAGAGACCAGAGAGAGACCAGAGAGAGACCAGAGAGAGACCAGAGAGAGACCAGAGAGAGACCAGAGAGAGACCAGAGAGAGACCAGAGAGAGAGACCAGAGAGAGAGACCAGAGAGAGAGACCAGAGAGAGAGACCAGAGAGAGAGACCAGAGAGAGAGACCAGAGAGAGAGACCAGAGAGAGAGACCAGAGAGAGAGACCAGAGGAGACAGAGAGACCAGAGAGAGAGACCAGAGAGAGAGACCAGAGAGAGAGACCAGAGAGAGAGACCAGAGAGAGAACAGAGAGAGAGACCAGAGAGAGAGACCAGAGAGAGACCAGAGAGAGAGACCAGAGAGAGAGACCAGAGAGAGACCAGAGAGAGACCAGAGAGAGACCAGAGAGAGAGACCAGAGAGAGAGACCAGAGAGAGAGACCAGAGAGAGAGACCAGAGAGAGAGACCAGAGAGAGACCCAGAGAGAGAGACCAGAGAGAGAACAGAGAGAGAGACCAGAGATTGACCAGAGAGAGAGACCAGAGAGAGAGAGACCAGAGAGAGAGACCAGAGATTGACCAGAGAGAGAGACCAGAGAGAGAGAGACCAGAGAGAGAGACCAGAGATTGACCAGAGAGAGAGGCCAGAGAGAGAGACCAGAGAGAGACCAGAGAGAGAGACCAGAGATTGACCAGAGATTCCAATGTGGTTTCACTGCAAACGGCAAATAAAATGAATCTAAAATCTACCATCCTTCTCGGCCATCGCATTCACGTGCAGACTGTACCTGTACCTGTACCTGTGTGTCTGTACCTGTACCTGTGTGTCTGTACCTGTGTGTCTGTACCTGTACCTGTGTGTCTGTGTCTGTACCTGTACCTGTGTGTCTGTACCTGTGCGCTTGTTCCTCTGCAGTGTGATCTTGTGCCATGTCCCGCTGTTGTACTTCTTCTGTGACATCAGGACCAGGACCCCAGAGCCCAGGTCAAAGGTCAGCCTCACGTGGCCCTCCACCAGCTCCAACGACAGGAAGTCCCTCTGTGGACAGAGGCGGGGTCAGTGGGTCAGGGTGTGGTTGGTGTTACCGTGTGGTTGGTGTTACAGTGTGGTTGGTGTTACAGTGTGGTTGGTGTTACAGTGTGGTTGGTGTTACCGTGTGGTTGGTGTTACAGTGTGGTTGTTACCGTGTGGTTGGTGTTACCGTGTGGTTGGTGTTACCGTGTGGTTGGTGTTACAGTGTGGTTGCTGTTACAGTGTGGTTGTTACCGTGTGGTTGGTGTTACCGTGTGGTTGGTGTTACCGTGTGGTTGGTGTTACAGTGTGGTTGGTGTTACAGTGTGGTTGGTGTTACAGTGTGGTTGTTACCGTGTGGTTGGTGTTACCGTGTGGTTGGTGTTACCGTGTGGTTGGTGTTACAGTGTGGTTGCTGTTACAGTGTGGTTGTTACCGTGTGGTTGGTGTTACCGTGTGGTTGGTGTTACCGTGTGGTTGGTGTTACAGTGTGGTTGCTGTTACAGTGTGGTTGTTACAGTGTGGTTGGTGTTACCGTGTGGTTGGTGTTACAGTGTGGTTGGTGTTACAGTGTGGTTGGTGTTACAGTGTGGTTGTTACCGTGTGGTTGGTGTTACCGTGTGGTTGGTGTTACCGTGTGGTTGTTGTTACCGTGTGGTTGTTACAGTGTGGTTGGTGTTACAGTGTGGTTGGTGTTACAGTGTGGTTGGTGTTACAGTGTGGTTGGTGTTACCGTGTGGTTGATGTTACCGTGTGGTTGGTGTTACAGTAAGTAGTAGTAGTAAGCTTTATTTATATACCGCCTTTCACAGACCAGAGTCACAAAGCGGTTTACAATTGTTAATTTTGGGCACTTGTCTCTCACTCCACACAGAGATGGGAGCGGGGCCAGTACAGGAGGCGCATGCCAGAACTATTGGACATATTTTTAGTGGTAGGGGAAACCGGAGTACCCGGAGGAAACCTACGCAGACACGGGGAGAACATGCAAACTCCACTCAGAAAGGCCCTTGTCCGGCCGGGATTCGAACCAAGGACCTTCTTGCTGAGAGGCGAGAGTGCTATCGACTCAGCCACCGTGCCTGAGTGGATAGCACGGTGGCTGGTGTTACCGTGTGGTTGTTACCGTGTGGTTGGTGTTACCGTGTGGTTGGTGTTACAGTGTGGTTGGTGTTACAGTGTGGTTGGTGTTACAGTGTGGTTGTTACCGTGTGGTTGGTGTTACAGTGTGGTTGTTACCGTGTGGTTGGTGTTACCGTGTGGTTGGTGTTACCGTGTGGTTGTTACCGTGTGGTTGTTACAGTGTGGTTGGTGTTACAGTGTGGTTGTTACAGTGCGGTTGGTGTTACAGTGTGGTTGGTGTTACCGTGTGGTTGTTACAGTGTGGTTGGTGTTACCGTGTGGTTGGTGTTACCGTGTGGTTGGTGTTACCGTGTGGTTGGTGTTACCGTGTGGTTGGTGTTACCGTGTGGTTGTTACAGTGTGGTTGTTACAGTGCGGTTGGTGTTACAGTGTGGTTGGTGTTACAGTGTGGTTGGTACCGTGTGGTTGTTACAGTGTGGTTGGTGTTACCGTGTGGTTGTTACAGTGTGGTTGGTGTTACCGTGTGGTTGGTGTTACAGTGTGGTTGGTGTTACCGTGTGGTTGGTGTTACCGTGTGGTGTGTTACAGTGTGGTTGTTACCGTGTGGTTGGTGTTACAGTGTGGTTGTTACAGTGTGGTTGGTGTTACCGTGTGGTTGTTACAGTGTGGTTGGTGTTACCGTGTGGTTGTTACAGTGTGGTTGGTGTTACCGTGTGGTTGGTGTTACAGTGTGGTTGTTACAGTGTGGTTGGTGTTACCGTGTGGTTGGTGTTACAGTGTGGTTGGTGTTACCGTGTGGTTGGTGTTACCGTGTGGTTGTTACAGTTTGGTTGGTGTTACCGTGTGGTTGTTACAGTGTGGTTGGTGTTACCGTGTGGTTGGTGTTACAGTGTGGTTGTTACAGTGTGGTTGGTGTTACCGTGTGGTTGGTGTTACAGTGTGGTTGGTGTTACCGTGTGGTTGGTGTTACAGTGTGGTTGGTGTTACAGTGTGGTTGTTACAGTGTGGTTGTTACAGTGTGGTTGGTGTTACCGTGTGGTTGGTGTTACAGTGTGGTTGGTGTTACAGTGTGGTTGGTGTTACCGTGTGGTTGGTGTTACAGTGTGGTTGGTGTTACCGTGTGGTTGGTGTTACAGTGTGGTTGGTGTTACAGTGTGGTTGTTACAGTGCGGTTGGTGTTACCGTGTGGTTGGTGTTACTGTGTGGTTGGTGTTACAGTGTGGTTGTTACAGTGTGGTTGTTACCATGTGGTTGGTAGTGTGGTTGGTGTTACAGTGTGGTTGTTACCGTGTGGTTGGAGGCCAGGTACAGCAGCAGTCCTCCCGGGGACAGGGTCTTGAACTGCAGCACGATGGACGTGGTGGTGGCTCTCAGAGACTTCTGCACCACAGAGTAACCAGAGCCATCGAAGTGGTAGGCTGTGCCCTCCATCTGCGGGCTGCGACACACACACACACAGAGAGACAGACACACACACACACACAGACACACACACACACACACACACACACACACACACACACACACACACAGACAGAGAGACACACACACACATACAGAGAGACAGACACACACACACAGACACACACACACAAACACATACAGAGAGACAGACACACACACACAGACACACGCACACACACACGCACACACACACACACATTAGGACAATCGTCTCGTCTGCACAATTTCAAAAACACAAGAATATGCCACAATATTGCACAGTCCAATCAGACCACTATTCTTGGACTGAAAAGGCAGAGAGCTACTCCTTAAGGCAGTTCAGAATGAATTGAGTCAATAACGTAGAATGGTATAGAATGGAGTTGGGTTTTTAACTGATTCTTTTTTTGAGTGGCCTTCTGAATGAACTGTGCTATACAAATAAATGTGTATTGTATTGCCAACTGTTATACGTCTTAATGCAAACGCAAAGTTAAAACTCATTGAAAAAATCAAGAATTCTTTGAAATGTATAAATCCTTTATGGTAGCAGGTGTGTGTGTCCGAGGGTCCCCGGGTCCTACCTGCTGTAGCAGCCTCCGCACTGGCCCTCTCTGCTCTCGTAGTTCCACAGACCCAGGTTCTTCTCGTTCAGAGAGGCCTCCCCCAGACAGCCCTGGAACCAGTCGGACCTGAGCAGGGGACTCCTCTGTGGGACAGGCAAATGAGACATCAATATGAAGCATGTGATTTCTCTTTCTCTGGTTCTACTGTAGCTCAGGTCCTGACTAGAACCAGGAAGAACCATTCCATCTCTTTGACCGTTTCTCCTCCCATCTGGCTGCTGGTCTTCCTTCCACTCCATGCCAGTTTGTCGTTAATACACACCAGTTCGTAGTGGTTTTTTTGGCTCAAATCTTTTTAAATTGTCTGTACTTTTTGTAAGACCTATTTAATTTTTAATACATCTTAACTCAAGATCAGAATCAGAATCATTTGTATTGCTATGTAAGTAACAGGTTCTCCCCAACTCAAAAACCTTTTTGAATCTTTTTGTAAGACCAGTTTCTAAGTTCAGGTGGGCAAAGACCTCCAGCCCGTTTCACTTTGAGGCCTTACTAGTTGTGCTGCTCATGTGTCCTCCTACAAACTGTGACACATACAACAAAGCTAATGCACTTTTAGTTCGTCTTTCTTTCATAGTTTCACGCCACAATCACATGAAAGGATTGTCAGCTGTCTAAGCCACGTTCACAGACGCCGGGTATCGAACACGTAGCGATAGCAGATGTACGTTTTCACCTGCACATTCTGCCCGACTCCCCCGATGTAAATCTTTGTGGTGTTGTCGATGTCCAGCATTCGAGCCGCTCCCGGAGACGTGGCCGTTACCGCGGGCAACGGAGGGGCGGAGTCCGGGTCCAGCTGGTACACGGACAGGGAGGCGTGGCTTCCAAACCTGGGCCCAAAACACAACAACTCTCACACCACCTTTTCCTCCAATCCAAGGCTTGGTAAATCTGGTGCTGCAGCTTCACCTGGTCACGTTGATCCTGGTCCACTTGTTGTTGCTGATGTCCAAAGCGGGAAACTCCAGACGCTTGCTTCCCGATCCAACGTCCCAAAGGAGAGACACTTTCCCCGCGTGTTGTTCTACAGCCATGAAGTCCACCTGCACAATGACACACACACACGTAAATGCCACACAGACACACACACACACGTAAATACCACACACACACTCACACGTAAATACACACACACACACACACACGTAAATACCACACACACACACACACACACACACACACACACACACACACACATACACGTTTTTGTTACCTGGTGGGTCCCTTTGACAGGGCCGTTCAGAATGGGACCCATAGACATAATCTTTTTTTACTGGGACTACTTTAAGTAATACAAAACAGTCAATAGAAACCAAACAACTCTTTTAAAGGAATTTTATTTTAGATTTTTTTTTTGAATTGCAGTGATTCTATTTTTGACATAGAATTTAATGCCACTCCATGTCCGATGTCTAAGGTCATCTGGTGAGGCATTAATGCAGGCCAGGCCAGGCCAGGCAGTGAGACTTCCCAGGGACCTTTCCAGTCTGTATGAAAGGTGTCATGGTCTTCTCCACAGCCTTCACCTCAGATGTAGACCATGGCTTTCTCTAACGTTCTAGGGAGAGAAATAAAAATATATTAGCAATATACACTCCCAGGGTTAGGACCAAGCAGCCTGGCTGTAATCCCCCACCTGGTACACTTACCAGAAGGGGCACTGCCACTACCATGGGGTGCATCTGGATGAATGGTTGAAGGTTCTCCGCTTGAAGTTTCTTTTAGCCCGTCCGTTTGTGAGAGGATCTCTACTGCTCTCCCTGTCGCACAGAAAATAAAAATACAAGTGGCCTTTAGGGGAAAAAAATCATACATATTTTAATAATATCAAGAATTACCTTCAGGCTCAATTTGTATCTGGTCGAGGCTCTTTCCTTCGAATTCCGTCACTCTTCCCTGCTCCATGGCCATCAACACTTTGCTGATTTTGGCCAGCTCCAGTGTCCCCTCTGGTAGTCTGTAATATTGCCTGTGGATGCGAATGTCATGGCCGAGGAAGTTGGCAAGTATGTCCATCTCATTCTCTTTCATATTGAGAACTGTAGACATAGTAGCTATGTGCTTTCTAAGTTTGGTTGAGGATAGCATCTCTGGATGCACCGCACCACATTCTTTGGCTACCTGGCGTAGGGAGTCTGATCCCCTGATGTGGGTGTCTGCGCCCGGGCGGGAAAAGAAGTATGGGTTATGGTCAGAGATGGAACAGGCCCTTCTGTTCTCCACCAGCACCTCCATCGAAGCAATCATTTCAGGAGTCAAAAGAACCGGCACTTTCCGACTTCTTTTCCCTTTAATTTCAATGCGTTGAAAATGCTGACACAGCTTTTTCTCAAGTTGGGACAGTTCCAGAGCAATGTCAGAATGGATCCCAGTCTTACTTCTTAAGGTGAACGCTGTCAGTGGCATCTTTGAAACCTCACCTTCCCTTCTTCGATTGAAAATAATGACCTCACAAAGAGTCAAAACTGCCAGTTTAGACCAATGCTTAGACGTTGGCTCACTTATTAGGGTTTGCACATATTCAGGTCGACATACCTCAATATGTGCATGCATGGCTCTAACGTCCTCAGTCAGAGGGAGCAGGTCCGGAGTGTTCCACTTGGCTTGCCGGAGGGTCTGTAGGGCAGCAGAAGAAACACAGACGTCCCACCTCTTCTCAAAAAGCAGCCGGCTTCGTTGGAGGTTTTTAATAAATAGTTCATCAACACAATGCTCCATTTTTGAGTCACATTCAAGAATATCTGCTAGCTTTCTGAGGCTATGGCCGAGTTTGAGGGCCAAGGATGGAGTCTTGTATTGATTGGTTTCCTCATCATATCCAGCCACAGACCTGACTGCATCAATCACATGGTTAAAGTTGGAAGGAATAAAGAAATCCTTAATTGTTTTCAGTTTCCCTGCAGTTTTTGCTTCGTTAATTAACCTACCGACTTCTCTCATTTTCTGCCTAATGTAATCATGCTTAGTCTTATCATGCCCGTGTCTTAAGTACAGGTGCTCTCAGTCTCAGAATCCCCTTTTCTGCTTTGACAACACCCGTGACCTCATCCTGATGCATTGCCCAAATTAAAGACCACAGCTTTTTGCTGATGCCCTCCGGTACAGGCTGGGCTAGGGAGCAGAGGGACTGGACCCTACTTCTACCTGGTTTAGCCTGGTTTAGCCTGGGCATCTTTCTGTGAAAGCCGGCACCTGGCCACATGCCTCCACAGCGACTTTCGCTTAAGCAATGCCCCACAGTCTATACAGTGCAAAAACTCACTGGATTTAACTGGGCAATTTGGCTGTTTAGCTGGGACTAAAGTTCCAATGCCGGCCTTTAAAACCTCAAAATTGTGCTCACGGTTTCCACTATTCCTGATCAAATCAAACTGAAGTTTACGTGCTTTAGATTTCACAGGTAGAGCCAATGCTCTGGCTACGTCACTTTCATTTCCATGTTTTCTAGTCAAATGACGGGACATTTTGTGGCAGGACATTGAACAGTAGAGGCAGAAGTGTCTCTTGCTGTAAACCCTGCCCCCATTTTTCTTCTTTTGCAGCTGCATGATAACAATCTTATTTTGCCTTTGGTTCGTCACTTTCCGAGTCTTGAAGAAAAGTGTTTTTGATTTTTCTTTTTCCATACTTTTTTACAGGTTTCTTCTTGACAGTTAAATCGTCAGAATCTGAGTCGACTTCATCAATTAGGGACTCTTGACTAAGCTGCACAAACAACAAATAATTTGTAATCATTCTATATAACAATTTGAAGTCATGACTTGTAGTCAGCACTTACCAGTGGTTTGTAAGCGTGCGCTTCAGTGTGCTCCTCCATGATGTCTTGCAGCCTAATGAACCACACACTTGAACCTTTTCTAGCCTGACACCTGATTTCCTCTGTTGTGCTGCTCCATGATTGGCTCCAGCCTCTGTTGTGCTGCTCCATGATTGGCTCCAGCCTCTGTTGTGCTGCTCCATGATTGGCTCCAGCCTCTGTTGTGCTGCTCCATGATTGGCTCCAGCCTGCTGGACTGAAATTGCCCCAGTGTGCCCCTCCTTGATATCCCGCAACCCACCACCAGGGTTCCGACACATAACACACTTTTTTCAGGAAAGTAAACCTCCAGGGGTCCTTTCCATATTTTTACAGAGACTGCATAAGGACCGTTAGAAAAGCATTACCCATTGATTATTAAGCTTGGACCAGTGGGGTCCGGTGTTCGGGCCCCACCACGTAAAACCAGTCCCCATGACGTGAGTGGAATCTCAGGTTATGGAACCCACCAGGAGTTGAAAACAAGTGCATCCACACCCACACACACACACACACACACACACACACACACACACGTAAATATCACACACACACACACACACGTAAATACCACACATGGGCGGCACGGTGGCTGAGTGGATAGCACTCTCGCCTCTCAGCAAGAAGGTCCTGGGTTCGAATCCCGGTCGGACCAGGGCCTTTCTGAGTGGAGTTTGCATGTTCTCCCCGTGTCTGCGTAGGTTTCCTCCGGGTACTCCGGTTTCCCCTACCACTAAAAATATGTACAATAGTTCTGGCATGTGCCTCCTGTACTGGCCCCGCTCCCATCTCTGTGTGGAGTGAGAGACTAATGCCCAAATAATAACAATTGTAAACCGCTTTGTGACTCTGGTCTGTCAAAGGCGCTATATAAATAAAGCTTACTTACTACTACTACTTACACACACACACACACACACACACGTAAATGCCACACACACACACGTAAATGCCACACACACACACGTAAATACCACACACACACACACACACACACACGTAAATGCCACACACACACACGTAAATGCCACACACACACACACGTAAATACCACACACACACACACACGTAAATACCACACACACACACACACACACGTAAATACCACACACACACACACGTAAATACCACACACACACACACACACACACACGTAAATGCCACACACACACACACGTAAATACCACACACACACACACACACACACACGTAAATACCACACACACACACACACACGTAAATACCACACACACACACACGTAAATACCACACACACACACACACGCAAATGCCACACACACACACACACACACGTAAATACCACACACACACACGTAAATACCACACACACACACACACACACGTAAATACCACACACACACACACACGTAAATACCACACACACACACACGTAAATACCACACACACGTAAATACCACACACACACACGTAAATACCACACACACACACACACACACGTAAATACCACACACACATGCAAATGCCACACACACACACACACACACACGTAAATACCACACGCAAATGACACACACACACAAATGCCACACACACACACACACAAATGCCACACACACACACACACACACACACGTCATCAACAAGCCTCTCCAATAATATGGCTAGTTATTTGAACCCTTGACTACCTGTATGTGAAAGCCAGATCAGGGCAGGGCCTGGTTAGTGCTGTGATGGGAGACCTCTGGGAACACCAGGTGCCACAGTGGGGCGGCTGCAGCTATAGAGTGCCAAGTTGTTGCTGTGTCCTTAGGCAAGACACTTCACCTACAATGCCTAGGTTGGTGTGTGTGTGAATGGTTGGTGGTGGTCAGAGGGCACATACTGGTTGCCTTGATTCTGTCAGTGTGCCTCGGGGCAGCTGTGGCGACAGTAGTAGTTTATCACCACCGCGTATGGAGTGAATGAGTAATGACATTTGAAGCGTTTTTGAGTGTCCAGAAAGCGCTAAATAAGGCCCCGTTTATAGAGACAATGCAGCAGTAAAACTATATATAAATAGTTGGATGTCGGTTGCTGTCGGTTCATACGGAGACTGTGTTCCAGGGGGATGAAAACATAAGAGTTAAAGCTCGTGTTGTAAAGTTCCTCTGCCCACTACTGGCCGGACGCAAGAACTACATCGTTCAAACCAGGCTCCCAATTTGCATTAGGAGCCTGGTCGTTTCTGTTAATAGCTTGGCAACGTCTGCACAGTGCCTTCGTATAAACGGGGCCTAAAACCGATGGATTATTCTGATGTGTATTTTTTTTTATGTCAGAGCCCCACAAAATCCTTCTTTGTGAAAGCTGTAGGTTCCCTGTCAGCTGAGGACGAGGCGCTTTAGTTCACATTGAGATCTGTGGGGAAATGTCCTTACAGCCTGTGGATTAAAGATGCAGTACCGCGGATGGCCTCTAGTCCATGTGGAGACAGCTTTAAGCAGCAACACTCTCTCCAGACTTTATAAACATCCTAGATTAGCAGTGATTGTAGCGGTGTGTTTCCAGACCTGAGAGGACGATCCCAGATAGAAGAGCAGGTTGTTCTTGCTGCTGGTCTTCAGAGTGAGCGTGAGCGTGTTGACGTTACTGGAGCTGATCTGGGGTCTGTAGGAGCGCACACAGCTGCGGTCGGCCTTCACCGCCACTTTGATCTGAAACCACACAGAGGCAATAGTACGTGTCCTGCGGCTTTTGGATGAAGAGCTTTAAGTCTGGATTTTTTCTAGATGAGTAAAAACAGTTTAAATTCTTAATACCGCTTTAGATTAGCCCTCACTAATCAACAGCTAAGTGCTTATTACTGTACCCCAACCCCAACCCGTGACAGTTTTTTAATTTAACTTTTATTTAACCAGGAAAGTCCCATTAAAACTAAAGGGAATTTCAAGAGAGTCGTTAACAAGAGGTTACACACAGTTACTTACAATTATAGATATTAAAATACATTTCAATGAGGACGTCTCTCCATCTTAACATAAAGTAAGTTAGTAGTTAGTTAGATGTTGAATAAGAACAAGTGCCTGATAAACACCAATTAAGCAGATTAAGCATAAATGATAAACTGATTAGCATGTATTAATCTGTTGTTTAGTGTTAGCTACGGTCTGGTGTCCCGGTCGTAGTCTCACCGAGGCGGCCTGCCGTCGCGCCTGCTCGATCAGCTCTCTGATCTCCGACAGGTTGCGGCTCAGGTTTTCTCCCAGAATGCTCAGCGGCTTCACCCTCTCCAGCAGACGCTCTGATCGGAGCTCCGCCTCCTGCAGCTGCCTCTGCGCCTCATTGGCTGGACACAGGGAACACATTCACAAGAATTAGAGTTTCAGTTTGAGTATTTACTTTGACACTTCCTGTAGAATGTGTAATGACATGAATAATGGACGCACAGACTGTATTTAGAAGGAATTTGTTTATATTGAACGTTTGTAATATATAGTACGGCAGCCATTCCCAAAGTCAGTAACATCACGGCCCCTTAAAGATCTGACGGGTCTGCGCGGCCCCCCGAAATAATAACTAAGAAGACAACGTTAGGAGAAATGTAAATGACGCACTCCATTTTGTAATACAAAAAATATTACAATTTGATTATTCAAGTCAAATAATGAACACAAATATTATAATATTACAAACAAAATATTATTAATTTAACATTATTCTTTTTTGATGACCTCTCGCAGCCCCCCTGCAATACCCCACTCTGGGAGACACTATAGTGCGGTATACAGGTTTTGAAATAAAAAAAATCATTTTTAAAAACTTTTTTCAACTGTCACCCTTTTACTTAGTGTTGAATAAAATAAATTACTTTAAAAAAAATATGTATTTATTTTATTTAAAAAAATCTTGATTGATTGAAAACACCACAAGCGTATATTAGTACATGAGTGTGACATCACCCTTTCCTTATATGGGGTTATTTGTTCTGACAGGGTTAGCTTCGTGCTGTAACAGGGTCAGATGTTTTGCTAACATCAGATTCAGATTCAGATTCATTTTATTCGCCATTTGCAGTAACACTACATTGGAATACATTTGTAAAAGTTCCCAGTGTGCACAGGACAAGTACAGACACAAAACAACATTAAAAGACAAAAATAAAACAAATTTTAAAAACAGTAAACAAATGTCACCGTGAAGTTGACCAACTAAAACAGATCTATACGAGTGCAAAAACATTAAAGTGCTCTATTCAAACTGTTAACAGCTCGTGGAAAAAAACTATTAGCGTAACGAGATGTCCTGCATCTCAGAGAACAGTATCTTCTGCCAGAGGGAAGAAGCTGGAACAAGGCTTTTCCTGGGTGGCCAGAAGAGTCATTGATAATTCTCAGGGCACTGGTAAAAAGTCTGGATTGATAAAGAACCTCCAGAACAGGAAGTTCACAGCCCACGGTCCTCTCTGCAGAGCGGAGCACCTTGTTTAAAGCTCTCTTTTCTTTATCTGTTTAGCATTTTTAGGATTCTGACTGTAGTTTGTTCATTGCTATTCACCCGTTGTCCCATTGTCTGTTTCATGGTACGATGACGGGATCTCTGAGCCTGGCCTCTTCCATCTACACCTGCGGACTGCCCCGCCCGACCCGCCTGGGAGTGCTTCGGTCCTGCACCGGACCTGTCCACGTTCAGCGTCCACTGGTCCACGTTCTGTAGCTAGCTTAGGTCCTAGATCATTAGCCTGTCCGTCCGGAGGAGCGGATCCCTTTCTCATATGGGTCTCCCTCCCTGTGGGTTTCCCTAGTTCTCCCCAAGGTTTCTCACTTTTTCCCACTGGGTTTTTTAAGAGTTGTTCCTTGTGGATGCAGGAGGGTCTTGTTGGACGGTTAGTGTCCAACAGAAAGGATTGGTGATGATCAGGACACTTTAGCATTCTACAACATGTATGGACATTTTCTTCTGTGTGTGCTTTATACTGTATTCTTCATGTGTTTTAACTGTTGATTCTCTGACCTGTGTTGGTGATTTCAATGGTTTTGTTAAGTCCTCTGAGATGACTTCTGTTGTGACCTAGGGCTATACAAGAATAAATTGTATTGTATTGTATTGTATTGTATCTGTGATGTTACCGAACCACACAGACACAGAACCAACAAGTAAACTCTCAATGGTGCAGCCATAAAAGTTCAGCAGAATCTTAGAGTTAGTGGTAAATTCTCTAAGTTTCCGCAGGAAGTAGAGACGCTGACGAGCTTTCTTTACGACCCGGTCAGTGTTTTTAACCCATTTCAGGTTAGACAGAGTTAGACCCAGAAACTTACTCCTCTACGATCTGCACTTGGGAGTTATCGATTGCGACAGGCAAATGAGAACTATTGCGACTGAAATCAAAGACAAGTTCACATGTTTTGGATGCGTTCAGCTGGAGGTTGTTAGCCTTACTCCACTGAACCATGTTTTGGATCTCGGCTCTATAAGACGATTCATCGTTATTACTGATGAGACCGATGATGGTGGTGTCATCAGCATATTTGATGATCAGGTTAGAGTCTGAGGAAGACACACAATCGTGAGTGTACAAAGTAAAAAGTAAAGGACTCAAAATACATCCCTGAGGAGATCCAGTGCTCACAGAAACAACATCTGAAAAACAGTCATTGATTTTCACTCTCTGAGATCTGTCTGTTAAAAAGCTAAAAATCCATTTACACATGGCAACACTTAAACCGAGAGACATGAGCTTTTCAATCAGTTTACCTGGGACAAGACAATTAAAAGCAGAGCTATAATCAATGAACAGCATTCTTGCAACAGATTTCCTATTGTCCAAGTGAGTGTAGACAGAGTTCAGAGCAAAGGAGATGCATCCTCCACACTCCTGTTCTGTCTGTAGCAAACTGGAGCAAACACTCACAGGGATCTGGCTCTTAATGAAGTCCAGCACAAGCCGCTCAAAAGTTTTCATAAGAACAGACGTGAGGGCCACAGGACGATAGTCATTCAGGCATGTCACAGGAGTTTTCTTAGGAACTGGAATGATGGTGGACTCTTTGAAGCAGTTCGGCACAGTACAGTTCCTTAGCGACAGGTTAAAAATGTCTGTTAGCACAGGGGCAAGTTGCTCAGAGCACAGTTTCAGGACACGAGGAGGGATGCCGTCCGGGCCTGGGGCTTTCCGGACAATGGTACTGGACAAGACCCGCTGGACTGCCTCCTGAGTCACGGTGAAGGTACCTTGATTGAGGCAATCAGGAAAGACAGTAGGACAGGCATCAGCAGATTCAAAGCGACAGTAGAACGTGTTCAGCTCATTAGGCAGAGCTGGGCCAACAGATCCGATTTTCCCAGCGCTAGGTTTCCAGGACGTGATGGCTTTAATACCGCTCCACATGCGCCGAGGGTCATCTTCCTCAAAATAACCCTTTAACCTGTCCCCGTAACTGCGCTTTGCAGATTTAATAGAACGTTTCAATGCATAACAGGATAGCTTATAGGCAACTGTATCGTTAGATTGAAACGCCAGAACACGCTCATGAAGTTTTTGTTTCACTTCCGCGTTCATCCAAGGGTTTTGACTGAGATGTTCTTTAATGACCTTCTGTGGGACACAGCCGTCAATACAGAAGCGTATGTATCCAGTCACAGCGTCACAGAATTCATTAACGTCCTCTGATTGAAACACAGACCAGTCAGTGGCATCAAAACAACCTTGTAGCTTCATGCTAGCCTCCTCAGACCAACACTGCACAGTGCGTGAGGTTGGTTTATGTTCCCTGCTCCTCTGAGTGTATGAGGGAAGAAGGAGAACAGAGGAGTGGTCAGACTTTCCAAATGGAGGTCTGAGACTGGACCTGTAAGCTCCCTTCACATTGCTGTAGCAGTGATCCAGAACATGTGCTCCTCTTGTAGCTCGAGTCACATGTTGGTAGAAATTTGGGAGTACAGTCTTTAAATTACATTTGTTAAAATCCCCAGCGACATGGTTGCTGGGGATTTTAACAACATGGTTGCTAGGGCTGGAGTTTCCCCAAAATATGAGCCCTATAAGGATTGACCAATCAGAGGCAGAAGAAACTCCCATGAAAGGAAATTGTCCAGCTAGCTTTGGTTCAGATCCTTTTTTTCCACGATAAGGCTAACTTTATGATGACATCACTCTCGGTCCACTCCAAATACAGTCTGTGGGTTTTGATGAGAGAAACACATTCTAACAGTGTGCGTCCAACCTGTGTGGTGGGCGTGGCTCATGAGCTCGCCGGTCTCCTTCACAAAGTCCCCGGCGCTGTTGACCGTGGAAGAGGACACCAGCAGATGCTCCTGGATGGTCTGCAGCCTCTGGAGCGCCTCCTGCAGGTGGGAGTGGCTCTCCGCCTGCAGCTGCGACGCCAGAGCCATGGAGGAACCTGACGAGCACAGAAGCAGCGTTGGAATCGTTGGAATGTTAATCTCACACAGAAGTCTCATCGCTCTGGACCTCCACTGGACTGACCGTTGGAGATGGCTTGGAGCTCTCTGATTGGCTGCCGGAGCATGGAGCTGGCGTTGAGGAAGTTGAGTCTGACCACGTCCAGGCGGGTCCTGATGGATGAGACGCCGTTCTCCAGGTCTACACAACACCACAGGGCTTTAATACAACATCACTCACACAGTTATGTTTTCTAACAAGCCAAAGGCAGAATGTTCTGGCTCACATTAGGACTTTTTCAAACTAATTATATTATGAAGCTAGATTAATGACAAAAGGATAAAGTTAAGTACCCCAGCTTTAATCAAGATACATTAGAAAATATAGGCTGCAAAAGCATTTGAAAGAGCAAAGAGATGAATTATTAATATATTACAACATAAAAAAACTATTCATTTGAATATAAGTAAATAAGTATTTAAACAAAGGGAAACCAAGACCTGTCGTAATAATAAAATCTGACCTGTGGCAGAGTGGTTAGCCCTCTGACTGTCGTCCAAAAGACTGGAGCTCATGTTGAGGACGACTCTGCTCTCGTCCGACAGAGACCGCTCAGACCGGACGCTCTGGAAACATTTATAACCCTGGAGTTAATATTATCCACTGTGTGTGTGTGTGTGTGTGTGTGTGTGTGTGTGTGTGTGTGTGTGTGTGTGTGTGTGTATGTGTGTATGTGTGTGTGTATGTATGTGTGTGTGTATGTGTGTGTGTGTGAGTGTCTGTGTGTGTGTGTCTGTGTGTGTGAGTGTCTGTGTGTATGTGTGTATGTGAGTGTCTGTGTGGGTGTGTATGTGTGTGTGTCTGTGTGTATGTGTGTGTGTGTCTGTGTGTGTGTGTCTGTGTGTGTGAGTGTCTGTGTGTATGTGTGTGTGTGTGTCTGTGTGTGTGTGTGTGTGTGTGTGTTTATGTGTGTGTGTGTGTGTGTATGTATGTGTGTGTGTGTGTGTCTGTGTGTATGTGTGTGTGTGTCTGTGTGTATGAGTGTGTGTGGGTGTGTGTTTATGTGTGTGTGTGTTTATGTGTGTGTGTGTGTGTGTGTATGTATGTGTGTGTGTGGGTGTGTGTGTGTGTGTTTATGTGTGTGTGTGTGTATGTATGTGTGTGTGTGTATGTGTATGTGTGTGTGTTTGTGTCTATATGCGTGAGTGCCTATGTGTATGTGTGTATGTTTGTGTCTATATGCGTGAGTGCCTGTGTGTGTGTTCGTTACCATGGCGAGGGCGGTGGAGGCGGACCTCTGTGCACTCAGCGCCTCCTTGTGGGCGGAGTTAACCTGCTCCGTGACGTTGGTGATTGGTCGAAACAGACGAGTGCCGTTCAGAGAGAGGTCACAGACGGCGGAGAGTGAGCTGCACGACACACACTCAGCATCAACACAACAGGATCTGACCGAGTACTGACGTTAAAGTCCTCCAGAGCAGATGAACACATGTACGAGAGTTCTTTTGGGTTCTTCTACTCCTCCTTTGCTACTACTGTTTACATAGTACTCTTGACCTATCTTTTGTTGTGTGCTCGTCATTCCCTCTGTGCGTTAGCTGGCGATGCAAAACTGAAATTTCCCCACTCTGAGATGAATAGAGGATATCTTAATCTTAATCTTTGCTTAATCTGGTGTGATTTTTTGCAGATGTACCCTCTTTTCTCCCTGTGTTGAGTACAGTGTGACTCTAGGGTGATTTTTCATTCACACATCTGTCCAGGACTCCCTTAAAAAAGAGGTTCTTAATCACAGTGGGACTTTCCAGGTTAAATGAAGGTAAAAAAAAGAAAAAAAGAAGAACAAACAGGTGTTCACAGGCATTTTGGCACTTTTCATCTGCTGCTGCTGCTGCTCCCTGATCAACTGTAAGCATGGACTCATTTATTAATAATAATAATAATAATGCATCGGTTTTATATAGCGCTTTTCTGGACACTCAAAGACGCTTCACATGTGTCATTATTCATTCACTCCAAACACGGTGGTGATAAACTACTACTGTAGCCACAGCTGCCCTGGGGCACACTGACAGAAGCGAGGCAACCAGTATGCGCCATCGGCCCCTCCGACCACCACCAACCATTCATACACACACCAGACTCATTCTAGGCAATGGGGGTGAAGTGTCTTGCCTAAGGACACAACGGCAGTTTGGCACTTTACAGCCACAGCCGCCCCACTGTGGCTGATGTTCCCAGAGGTTAAGTGTCTTGCCAAGGACACAACGACAGCAGACAGTGGGAGTCGATGGTGAAAGTCTTGAGCGGGGCTTGAACCCACGACCTTCTGGCTCAAAGGCCAAAGCTCTACCAACTGAGCTACTGTCGCCCATATATTATTATATTGGGATTATTCATATAACTGTGATCTATAAGTGTCACAAACGATCACTATAAGCACAACATGTCTTCTTAAAGGAATAGTTCACCGTTTTTACATACTGACATATGTTCTTACCATCCATTTTCTACCCTTTAATCCATTTCTGGGTCAGGGGGGTGGCAGTCAGAGATGCCACCCAGGTCTCATAGCACCAGCCCCTCACTGACCCTCTGCAGGTGGTGAGTCCACAGGAGGACGGCTGCTCTCTGAGTGTGAGCATAGCCTTGATCCTTCAGTGGGGGCTTTGGGCAAAGTGGGGTTAAGTGGCCTGCCCAAGGACACAACGACAGCAGTTATCAGTGGGAGTCGGTGGAGAAGGTGCAGAGGTGGGAATTGAACCCACGACCTTCTGGCCTTAAGGCCAATGCTCTACCAACTGAGCTACTGTCGCCCCTGTTCTTACCTTAGACTAGTTAATATGTACCTGTCTGGTCTTAGTCCGTGCGCTCTGTCATGCAAACGGAGCAAAAACGGGAGCACAACCGCAGCCTCCTCTGTAAACTGTATAGGACCAAAAGGTAGCTCCCGCTAGAAGCTACCAAACTCTTCCAAGTGTTCCTTATTAAATGTATATAGTTACGTGACGTGTTACACTGCAAAGTATAGTATAGCTACGTCCGCGCACTAACTTCTCTCCGGAGACTTCTCTCTCGCTCACTTCCGTCAATAGAAGCAGCGTGACTTGTAGTACGGAGAGAAGTTAGTGCGCGGACGTAGCGCACCTCAGATTACTACGCCTCACAATATAGTACCCGTTTTATCCGCTGAGAAAATCGACTGTTACATTTCTGTGTTACTATACTTTGCAGTGTAACACGTCACGTAACTATATACATTTAATAGGGAACACTTGGAAGAGTTTGGTAGCTTCTAGCGGGAGCTACCTTTTGGTCCTATACAGTATACAGAGGAGGCTGCGGTTGTGCTCCCGTTTTTGCTCCGTTTGCATGACAGAGCGCACGGACTAAGACCAGACAGGTACGTATTAACTAGTCTAAGGTAAGAACATTTGTCAGTATGTAAAAACGGTGAACTATTCCTTTAAATGGACATTATTACGATGCCATGTGTTTGTTCCTCGGCCGGTGTTCAGGGCCGTAACAACCACATAATAATGGTACGTTTTATTTATGGTAGTCACCTGTGGATGGCGAGGGCGTGGCTCTCCAGGCTCTGGGCGTGTCGCTCCGCTCTGTAAACAGACTCCAGAGCGTCCGTCCTCTTCAGGCCGCTGACCAGACCGTCCACCTGCTTCCTCAGCAGGGGGCGCCACTGAGAGAGCTGCTCCCCCAACAGCTCCACCTCCTGGACACACACAGCATTACACCCAGCCAGACCGTGTGTGTGTGTGTGTGAGTGTGAGTGTGAGTGTGAGTGTGTGTGGTTACCTCTGTAGAGTTGTGTAGTTCCTCGGTCAGAGAGAGAGAGTCCCAGAGCAGCAGCTGGCTCTGCTCCATGCCCTCGTTCACAAGGATAGATGTGGAGTTGGTTTTTTCACAGAGAGACTGGAAAAGGAAAAAGTCAAGAGAATCAATGAATGAATTTGTGTAAAACAGATTTTCAGATCATTCCAGCACACATTCTGGAATGTGTAAAAGTTTTCACAGCAACACATTTTTTCATTTTCCAAAACAAGACCCGCCTCCACTGGTTCCTGATTGGAATTCAAATCCTTGATTGACAGCTGAGGTTCCTCCCCATTGGTTAAACTATTTCCCTCTCAAATAGTTCTTCCAATGAGAGGGACTGTTTTAAGTATTTATCTATAAAAAAATACTTAATATCAATGATACCCAGAGTCATATGGTCAAATCTATAAATATCCCTGTAAAAATGAAATTGCAGATATAAACTTTATCACCAAAATAAGTGCGTTTCTCAAAACACAGTGAGTGTGTGTTGTACCGTGTACTGGTGCTGTCTGCTCGCCGCCGTGTCCATGAGTTTCTGAGCCGTGGCGGTACGTTCGTGGGCCTCGAGGAGATGCTTCTCTGCAGATCTCAGAAAGTCCTCGTGAGCCGCGACCTCAGACCACAGTTTGTGAAGCCGTGTGTCCACGTCGGCTCCGAACAGGAAGTCACGGACGGACGCAGACGCCGCTTCTGACAAACTGAACATAAGAACAAGACAAACATGAACTTTTTTTGGTTCAAATTGTGAATTGAATTACACTACTTCAAAAGCAAATCAAACCTATAGACTGTATTAGATGGACAATGCTAACCGCTAGCTCAATGAAGCCCAATAGGGAAGTGCTCATGGTGAAGTTTTGTCTCCAACTCGCTCTGGCTCCTATTGACTTGATTGAAAAGTAACCATATGTTTCTCTCACCTGAGTTCCAGACTGGCCGTGGCGTTGGCGTACGACAGATCGACCGTCCTCAAAGCGTCCAACAGTGACTCCGCCTCCAGGAGCAACTGCGTCTGATTGGCCCACTCTGGCATTTGTGGATTTGTTTGGTTGAGAAGCTCCGCCTCCAGAGTCAGCTCTAAGAAAACAACATTGATAAGTGTAGGATGGACCAGAGCCAGTGGGACTTTCACTTTGATATTATTCTATACAATATACTTTAATAATAGTGTATATTTCTAAACAATACGACACCGCTCAGTAAAAACTAAAGTCTTTTAGCCCTTATTTAACAAAAAGACATCACTGCAGCATTTTTATTTAATGTATTGATTTGTGTCAAAACAAAATCTATATATATTTTCTGAAATCTGAAAATAAGAATCAAAATCAAAAACTGTTATTGCATCTGTTAAAATAACTATATATATATCTAAACATGTATTTCTAACGGCACGTCTCACCTGCCACTCTCTTCTTCAGTTTGTTGATGTTCGCCAAAAGCTGCGCGCTGCGGGCCACGCTGGTGTCCGTCGCACTGTTCGCTCGCTCCAAGACTCCAGTGACCTCTGACACCTGAGGAGAGACATGTGACCTCTGACCTCTGACTGTATGGACATGGACAATGCTCAAACTCAGGCCTGTGGGGCAAAGCCGGGCCGCGAGACCATTTTCAGCGGCGCCTGAACTGATTTTCATAATTATCATTAATACAGTAACTTGCAGCATTGATGGTTCAATTATATATTTGACATTAGTGACCTCTGCGACCTGATCAAAGACATTATAAATGGACCCGGAGGTTGGACTGGAGTCAGAGCGGCCTGTACCTTCTGGGAGACGGCTGTGATCTCCGAGGCCACCGTGGTCAGCTGGTCCTCCACGATTGACAGCTTCGCAGATAAGGAGCTGTTTGATACGGACTTCTGAAAACACAACACCATACCACTCTCAGTAGACCGACACCATTTCTTGCTTTTCCTAGCTGTAAATGTTAGTGCAGTAGTGTCTTCATGGTTTTGCACTGATCCAGACCAGAGCAGAGAGGACACACATGGTCCAAAACAAGCAGACTCTGCAAACAGCGCCCAGAGGAAGCAGCTCAGCACCAGCGGCTGCACCTCTGAGACTGCTGTCGTGATTTAGGGCTATACAAGAACAAATTGTATCTGCGTGTGTGTGTGTATGTGAGTCTGTGTGTGTGTGTGTGTGTGTGTGTGTATCTGTGTGTGTATGTGTATGTGTGTGTGTATATGTATGTGTATCTGTGTGTGTGTGTTGTGTACCTGGATGGTCCTGGTGTGGTTCTCCAGCCTCACCAGTTGTCCGTAGGGAGCTCTGAGGAGGCTGCTGATGTTGACTGATGACAGATGGTACTGCAGAGTGTCCAGGTCGTCCAGCAGGACCCCAGTGCACTGGTCATCACAGGCTGGGGACCGGCACAAACACCTGTCATCGTACAGAAACCATGTGCACATTCTGGTCTCTCTCTCTGGCCTCTCTCTCTGGCCTCTCTCTCTGGTCTCTCTCTGGTCTCTCTCTGGCCTCTCTCTCTGGCCTCTCTCTCTGGCCTCTCTCTCTGGCCTCTCTCTCTGGCCTCTCTCTCTGGCCTCTCTCTCTGGCCTCTCTCTCTGGTCTCTCTCTCTGGTCTCTCTCTGGTCTCTCTCTGGTCTCTCTCTGGTCTCTCTCTGGCCTCTCTCTCTGGCCTCTCTCTCTGGCCTTGGCCCTCTCTCTGGCCTCTCTCTCTGGTCTCTCTCTGGTCTCTCTCTGGTCTCTCTCTGGTCTCTCTCTGGTCTCTCTCTGGTCTCTCTCTGGTCTCTCTCTGGTCTCTCTCTGGTCTCTCTCTGGTCTCTCTCTGGTCTCTCTCTGGTCTCTCTCTGGTCTCTCTCTGGTCTTTCTCTGGTCTCTCTCTGGTCTCTCTCTGGTCCCTCTCTCTAGTCTCAGGTCGCTCTACGGTCTCTCTCTGGTCTCTCTCTCTGGTCTCTCTCTGGTCTCTCTCGCTGGTCTCTCTCTCTGGTCTCTCTCTGGTCTCTGCTCACTCTCTGGTCTCTCTCTGGCCTCTCTCTGGTCGCTCTCTGGTCGCTCTCTGGTCTCTCTCTGGTCGCTCTCTGGTCTCTCTCTGGTCGCTCTCTGGACTCTCTCTGGACTCTCTCTGGACTCTCTCTGGACTCTCTCTGGACTCTCTCTGGACTCTCTCTGGTCTCTCTCTCTGGACTCTCTCTGGACTCTCTCTGGTCTCTCTCTCTGGTCTCTCTCTCTGGTCTCTCTCTCTGGTCTCTCTCTCTGGTCTCTCTCTCTGGTCTCTCTCTCTGGTCTCTCTCTCTGGTCTCTCTCTCTGGTCTCTCTCTCTGGTCTCTCTCTGGCCTCTCTCTGGTCTCTCTCTGGTCTCTCTCTGGTCGCTCTCTGGTCTCTCTCTGGTATCTCTCTGGACAAGTTTGGACACATGGTATTTAGACCTTCCAATGGACCTAAAGTGGACCCCCGTCTTTTACAGTACATGTCCAAAACTAGCTCAGGAGCGTGTACAAAGCCATGTAACTATGCAGCAGAAATGCATCATGGGAGTTGTTCGAACACAGTGACTCACAGACGCAGCGGCCGGCCTCCATCACGTGCCGCTCCTCGCACCGGTCACAGTGTTGACCTCTGACCCCGGCCTTGCACTCGCACTGACCGCTGCTGCCGTTACAGGTCGAGCTGAGAGCGCCCCAATCACTGCAGCCGCACCGCTCACAGGCCCCGCCCACCACTGCCGGGTTCCCATAGTAACCATCTGCACACCTGAGGACAGACAGCAGCACAAGAATAAATACATCATTCTAAAAGTTACAATGATAGATCTGTTGTAAAGAACAAAGAATCTCTTAAAACGTTCATTTATTGAAGATTAATTATTATCTGATGATTAATTATGAAGATTATTATTATTAAGTATTATAAGTGAAAATATCAAAACAAAATATATATTAGAAAAAAAAACTGAATGAAAAAACTTTCATAATCTTCATAAATATTTAGTAGCATGTTATATAATTTTGTTCAGATTAAATATAATTGAAACTATTGTTTTAGCACACACCTGATAAATACTTTTTAGTGGAGGTCGGTGAATCAATGTATTTTTAAACTAATTTCATATCCTAACACATGAGCTGCACTGGGAGATCTCAAATCAGAAGTTCATGTAAGGCAGCCCAGGAACTTACTGGAACTGCAGGCTTTTTTAACAGATTTAGCTTATTTTTGAAGTAAAATGGGCCTCGAACCCTCTTTTTGCTGAACACTAGGCTCAAACCCCTGTGTCCTGTCACCTCTCACAGTGCGCCCCCTGGTGGCCCGCGCTGCAGTTGGTGCAGACGTATCCCACTCCGGCCGTGGTGATCTCACACGTGGGGCTGAAGCTGTTCTCTCGGAGGGGGCACCCACACAGGGAGCAGTCGGACAGAGAGCCCCGCACCGTCCCGTAGTATCCGGAGGCACACCGCTCACACTGAGGCCCCGACGTGTGGTGTTCGCAGCCCTGGGACCAGGCAGGGTTATTTGTATAGCACAGTTCATACACAAGGCTTTGTCATCTTGTTTTAGAATGTGGAATATCTTCAGTAGAAAATATGAGGTGAAACATGTCTGAAGGGTAAATAATGCCATCGACCCGCACTATCACGATGCCACCACCAGAGGGAGGAGGAGAATCATTAGTTTTGTTTGATTCCAAGTTTGAAAATCATCGGCTGCGACCACTACCCATGTGATCCCAAAGAATGACAACTCATCTGAGAAATGACTTAATCTACTTTAATGTATTTTGTTTTTGCTCTGAGTGTGATGTCACAGTGGTATGATGACATCACACTATCACAGGAGTGAGACAGGAGACAGTTGGATGTTAGGATGGAGGGACCTAAAAACAACTCCAGGTCTGAGTTTGTTGACGGTAAATGTTGTAACATGGAGAAAAAAGAGAGAGAGTCAAATGGTCTATTCTATATTTGTGAAATGTGTGTCCTGGACCTGTGTGTGTTTAGCAATGATTGCACAGACGCCTGATGCAGTGATGAGCAGTGTTTTGCACCTGGCAGGCTCCGGTCTCTGCGTGGCACATCTGGCTGTGGCTGTTGCAGCGACACGGAACACACGGACGCACAAACCCACTGCGCTGGGTCTGAGGAGAGATCTCTGAGAGCGGCTGGCGGAAGAAGCCCGGGGCGCAATCCTGGACACCGCAGAGATTCTTTAACTTTGCACTCTTTCATACGTTGGGAATGGACGAGATTTGTTGAATGAAATCTGACCTGACAGGAGAGACCAGAGTATCCCCACGGACAGTCACATGACTCGACCTGCGTGGCCAAGTCCCCGCTGGTTTCTCCGTCCTCCTCCACCGCGGTCTCCATGGTGATGTTGGCGATCCTGCACAGAGTGAGACGTCACCATAGTGTTAGGGTCGGCACTAGATCATAAACGGAATCGGGACGAAACCGGAAGTAACAATCCTACTTTCAAATTAATTTTAGACTAATTCGTCCTTAAATGGTGACTGGTTAAGTTTTAGGTGTTTAAGTAAGATGGTTAAGGTTAGGGTTAAGGTGGTCTGAGTAAGATGGTTAAGGTTAGGGTTAAGGTGGTCTGAGTAAGATGGTTAAGGTTAGGGTTAAGGTAGTCTGAGTAAGATGTTTAAAGTTAGGGTTAAGGTGGGTCTGAGTAAGATGGTTAAGGTTAGGGTTAAGGTGGGTCTGAGTAAGATGGTTAAGGTTAGGGTTAAGGTGGTCTGAGTAAGATGGTTAAGGTTAGGGTTAAGGTGGTCTGAGTAAGATGGTTAAGGTTAGGGTTAAGGTGGTCTGAGTAAGATGGTTAAGGTTAGGGTTAAGGTGGGTCTGAGTAAGATGGTTAAGGTTAGGGTTAAGGTGGGTCTGAGTAAGATGGTTAAGGTTAGAGTTAAGGTGGTCTGAGTAAGATGGTTAAGGTTAGGGTTAAGGTAGTCTGAGTAAGATGTTTAAAGTTAGGGTTAAGGTGGGTCTGAGTAAGATGGTTAAGGTTAGGGTTAAGGTAGTCTGAGTAAGATGTTTAAAGTTAGGGTTAAGGTGGGTCTGAGTAAGATGGTTAAGGTTAGAGTTAAGGTGGTCTGAGTAAGATGGTTAAGGTTAGGGTTAAGGTAGTCTGAGTAAGATGTTTAAAGTTAGGGTTAAGGTGGGTCTGAGTAAGATGGTTAAGGTTAGAGTTAAGGTGGTCTGAGTAAGATGGTTAAGGTTAGGGTTAAGGTGGTCTGAGTAAGATGGTTAAGGTTAGGGTTAAGGTGGTCTGAGTAAGATGGTTAAGGTTAGGGTTAAGGTGGTCTGAGTAAGATGGTTAAGGTTAGGGTTAAGGTAGTCTGAGTAAGATGTTTAAGGTTAGGGTTAAGGTGGTCTGAGTAAGATGGTTAAGGTTAGGGTTAAGGTGGGTCTGAGTAAGATGGTTAAGGTTAGGGTTAAGGTGGTCTGAGTAAGATGGTTGAGGTTAGGGTTAAGGTAGTCTGAGTAAGATGGTTAAGGTTAGGGTTAAGGTAGTCTGAGTAAGATGTTTAAGGTTAGGGTTAAGGTGGTCTGAGTAAGATGGTTAAGGTTAGGGTTAAGGTGGTCTGAGTAAGATGGTTAAGGTTAGGGTTAAGATGGTCTGAGTAAGATGGTTAAGGTTAGGGTTAAGGTGGTCTGAGTAAGATGGTTAAGGTTAGGGTTAAGGTGGTCTGAGTAAGATGGTTAAGGTTAGGGTTAAGGTGGTCTGAGTAAGATGGTTAAGGTTAGGGTTAAGTTGGTCTGAGTAAGATGGTTAAGGTTAGGGTTAAGGTGGGTCTGAGTAAGATGGTTAAGGTTAGGGTTAAGGTGGTCTGAGTAAGATGGTTAAGGTTAGGGTTAAGGTGGTCTGAGTAAGATGGTTAAGGTTAGGGTTAAGGTGGTCTGAGTAAGATGGTTATGGTTAGGGTTAAGGTGGTCTGAGTAAGATGGTTAAGGTTAGGGTTAAGGTGGGTCTGAGTAAGATGGTTAAGGTTAGGGTTAAGGTGGTCTGAGTAAGATGGTTAAGGTTAGGGTTAAGGTGGTCTGAGTAAGATGGTTAAGGTTAGGGTTAAGGTGGTCTGAGTAAGATGGTTAAGGTTAGGGTTAAGGTGGTCTGAGTAAGATGGTTAAGGTTAGGGTTAAGGTGGGTTGGGGTTATTTTATGGGAATGGCTGGTTAAGTTTAGGCATGAATAGGTAGTTTGTTATTTTTACTTCCGCTTCCTTCCCGATTCCGTATATGATCTAGTGCTGACCATAGTGTTAGCCTCAGTGCCAAAGAAGCTAGTTTTAACGTAAGCTAGCTGCAGCCAATTTCCTTATATGGGCATTACTTCCCTTCGCGCCGTAATAGGGGGCAGTGTTGCAAAGGGGGTTCTTAAAGGGGTCGCTGAGACCAGACACACATGAAGCCGGACCCTCTTCGACTTCAAATCACTCCCAAAAACCCCTAAATGCTTTAAGCCAGGGGTCTCCAACCTATAGCTCGGGAGCCACCAGTAGCTCGCCACCTCCTTTCAGGTAGCTCGCCAAAGGATTTAGAAATGAACAAATCAAATAATATAATGAATATTTCACATTGATTCATTATTTATTATGCACTTTTTCACCAGTAACAAATATGTGATGATAAATAATGACTCCAATATATCCATTTTTTTTTTTCAAGGGCCGCTTAAAGGAGTAGCTCTCTGCCTTTATCGTCCCGGGAAAGTAGCTCTCTGTGTAAAAAAGGTTGGAGACACCTGCTTTAAGCTAAACCCTCATCAGCTCTGTGTTTTCAGTCAGTAAAGCCCTCCCACTTTAAACTCTTTTCTAACCACCTGAACTGAGCTGCTGAAGTGATGAAGAGTCTAAACAAGAGTATGATGATGATGATGATGAGGTCCCACACCTGCTCTGCTGCAGCCTGCTCCCGTACGACGCCTTCACGATGACGTACTGCAGCTGACTCAGAACCATCATGAAGTCGGAGCGCGTCACCGCCTTCTCACTCACGGAGTTAAAGTAACGCCAGCGGTGCTAAAAACAAACACAGGACGTCCCAAATGTACTTTTACAATCTTGCTCATAATATACTGCAATAAATGTACTATACTATTATTATCGATATTCATATTATTGTAAAACACAGGAGATAGTAAAGCACCTCCGCCAGCCGCACGTCGTGACGCATCCTCACTCCGTTGCTAGGCGACGGCATGTCCGTGTAAATGACCAGCTTCCTCATGGTCCCGCCTCTCATCAGCACCTGAGGCTCCTGATTGGCCAAGCCCCGCCCGTCCTCCGCGTAGAAGACGATGGAGTACGACAGCGTTCCTCCGTAAGACATGAGCTGAAATCAAATCAAACAGGATGTGGTGGTGTCGGAGAGAACGGTGTCAGGGCTGCACTGTCAACAATCATAAATTCTGAGGCAATAAATGCTTTAGTGGTTTTTTTAACTTGATTTGAGGACATTCTGATGGAGCCATTTAGTCTCATTTTACTCATCCCATCTGCAAATCTTCTTTTTAAGTCAAAATGTGTTCAAATTAAGACACATTCAGACTAAATGTATTTTATTTTTTACCTTCTTGCAGTCTCACCTTGTTGCCGGTGAAGACTGGGGGCAGTTTCCAGTACAAAGGTCCGAAGAGGTCTGACGTGTCCAAGTGTCGCACGTCCAGCAGAACATCGCCGTCCTGGACGAAGACCCCAGAGACCACGCCCTTCAAGTTGGACTGCGATACCACCGGCAGGACAGAAGGGGGCGCCACCGAGATCTGCAGGACGTCAGTTTAGTGTTTGAATATTTCAGTGAACGTCAAAAATTATTATCAAATGTCACAGAATATTCTCACGTTTCATTCATAAACAATTACTTATTATATTATTGTATGATTCAAACTTGAAAAGAAGTGGGAGGAAGAAAACTATCATTTCCAATGATTTCCAAAGGAGACATTTTTTAAAACAGAATAATTTAGTTTATTCCGTTCGCAAATCGTGTTTAAAGTCAAAATGTGCTCAGATTAAGGTACTTTTTGCCAAATTTGAGCAATGTTTTTGTCATTTCTCACCACTTTTTGCAGTGACAATAGCTGTATATCTGTTCTACATATCGTTCCATATCTGAGAGGCCGTGGTGCGTGTTATAGATCACTGTGGTACCTGAGAGACGGTGAAGCCGCCCTGCTCCTCACAGTCCTGGCTCAGGCCGGAGCAGTAGCACTGGGAGCATCCTTCAGGGTTCAGAGAGGACAGAGCGAACCGACCGGACACACACTCCTCACAGCGACGCCCCGACACCCCCGACTACACACAGAGACACACACACAGACACACACACACACACAGAGACACACACACAGACACACACACACACACACACACACACACACACACACACACACACACACACACACACACACACACACACACACACACAGACACAGAGACACACACACACAGGGACACACACACAGACACAGAGACACACACACAGAGACACACACATACACACACACAGACACACCCACACACACAGAGACACACACAGAGACACACACACAGACACAAAGCAGTGTTTCCCACAGGTTTGAAGGCAATGTGTGGTGGTCGTCGGCGGGGGGGGGAGTGGGGTACAGTGGTAGAGGACAATCTTGAGGTCATGAATCCAGTGAAATTAGTCGCACACCTTTTTACAGTAATAAGTTACAGCAGATCAAAAGTGACATGTTTTGACAATTTTTAGGCTATTTTGGACCAAAATGGCTGCTTTAAATCAATATTTCTACAGTAAAAGTTTCTGGTCTTTGGTAGAGTGGTAGAGGGCAATCATGAGGTCGTGAATCCAGTGAAATTAGTCGCACACCTTTTTACAGTAAAAAGTTACAGTAGATCAAAAGTGACATGTTTTGACTATTTTGGAGGTATTTTGGACCAAAATGGCTACTTTACCTCAATATTTCTCAATATTTCTACAGTAAAAGTGTCTGGTCTTTGGTACAGTGGTAGAAGGCAATGTTGAGGTCATGAATCCAGTGAAATCAGTTGCACACCTTTTTACAGTGAAAAGTTACAGTAGATCAAATGTGACATGTTTTGACCATTTTTAGGCTATTTTGGACCAAAATGGCTACTTTAAATCAATATTTCTCAATATTTCTACAGTAAAAGTGTCTGGTCTTTGGTACAGTGGTAGAGGACAATCTTGAGGTCATGAATCCAGTGAAATTAGTCGCACACCTTTTTACAGTAAAAAGTTACAGTAGATCAAAAGTGACATGTTTTGACTATTTTGGAGGTATTTTGGACCAAAATGGCTACTTTACCTCAATATTTCTCAATATTTCTACAGTAAAAGTTTCTGGTCTTTGGTACAGTGGCAGAGGGCAATAATAAGGTCATGAGTCAAGTGAAATTAGTCGCACACCTTATTCCAGTAAATAGTTACAATACTTGAAAATTGCACTAGCGGACCAAATTGTGTACTTTATACATGTAAACAATAGAGTGGCTATCCTCCTGTGGACTCACAATCTGCAGGAGGAATCGTAGGGGGCTGGTGCTATGTGTACCGGGTGGCATCTCTATAAGGTTTTAATCACAAAAACGTGTCTCCCTGACCCCAGCGCGCTTTCTGTTCGATAAAAATGGGTGACTCCGAAAGGACGTTCCGCTGTTACCGTAAGTTCTCAACAAAACGCGCACCGTCTTTTCCCCGATGCGGGCCGCATGTTCATAGAGCTGAAAGATGCGGGCCACTTTACCGCGGTAAATTAATAGACACAGCTGCTTACAGCGATGATCGCTGATGGAGACGGAGACACGCGGTGTGCACGAAGGGGAGGGGCTGTGTGTGTGTAGGTCTCTGTATGTGGGAGAGACGCGTAGCTTGAGTGAGAGTTACGAAGGGCCGCCACATTTTAAACCCCCCTCCCCGCTGTCAAATTGACCGCTGCGGCGGCACTAGACGATGCATGTTTTAAATAGCGTAACAAAAAAAATATATATATAATAATACGAAACGCAATTTGTGGCGGGCGGTCTCTAATCTGTGGCGGTGCGCCACAGATTAGTCTATGTGTGGGAAACACTGCAAAGACACACACAGAGACACACACACACAGACACACCCACACACACAGAGACACACACAGAGACACACACACAGACACAGAGACACACACAGAGACACACACACACACACACACACACACACACACACACACACAGAGACACACACACACACACACAGACACACCCACACACACAGAGACACACACACACAGACACAGAGACACACACAGAGACACACAGACACACACACAGACACACCCACACACACACAGACACACACACACAGACACAGAGACACACACAGAGACACACAGACACACACACAGACACACACACACAGAGACACACACACACAGGGACACACACACAGACACACAGAGACACACACAGAGACACACACACAGACACACACAGAGACACACACACAGACACAGAGACACACACAGAGACACACACACACACACACACACACACACAGAGACACACACACACAGGGACACACACACAGAGACACACACAGAGACACACACACACACACAGACACACACAGAGACACACACACAGACACAGAGACACACACAGACACACACACACAGACACACACAGAGACAACACACAGAGACACACACACACACACACACACACAGACAACACACACACAAAGAAACATATAAACATCTCAATTACAGCCTTTAATCACCTGCAAAAGAAGGTGGGGCAGAGACCAGAGAGACCAGAGAGACCAGAGAGAGACCAGAGAGACCAGAGAGAGACCAGAGAGACCAGAGAGAGACCAGAGAGACCCCAGAGAGACCAGAGAGAGACCAGAGAGAGACCAGAGAGACCAGAGAGAGACCAGAGAGACCAGAGAGAGACCAGAGAGAGACAAGAGAGACAAGAGAGACCAGAGAGAGACCAGAGAGACCAGAGAGAGACAAGAGAGACAAGAGAGACCAGAGAGAGACCAGAGAGACCAGAGAGAGACCAAGAGAGACCAGAGAGAGAGAGAGACAGAGAGAGACCAGAGAGAGACCAGAGAGACCAGAGAGAGACCAGAGAGACCAGAGAGAGACCAGAGAGACCAGAGAGAGACCAGAGAGAGACAAGAGAGACCAGAGAGAGACCAGAGAGACCAGAGAGAGACAAGAGAGACCAGAGAGAGACCAGAGAGACCAGAGAGAGACAAGAGAGACCAGAGAGAGACAAGAGAGACCAGAGAGAGACAAGAGAGACCAGAGAGAGACCAGAGAGAGACAAGAGAGACAAGAGAGACCAGAGAGAGACCAGAGAGACCAAAGAGAGACAAGAGAGACCAGAGAGAGACCAGAGAGACCAGAGAGAGACAAGAGAGACCAGAGAGACCAGAGAGAGACCAGAGAGACCAGAGAGAGACAAGAGAGAGACCAGAGAGAGACCAGAGAGAGACCAGAAAGAGACCAGAGAGACCAGAGAGAGACAAGAGAGAGACAAGAGAGAGACCAGAGAGAGACCAGAAAGAGACCAGAGAGAGATCAGAGAGACCAGAGAGAGACCAGAGAGAGATCAGAGAGACCTGAGAGAGACCAAAGAATAGAGAGAGACCAGAGAGAGGCCAAAAACTAGAGAGAGACCAGAGAGAGACCAGAGACTAGAGAGAGACCAGAGAGAGACACCAGAGACTAGAGAGAGACCAGAGAGAGACCAGAGACTAGAGAGAGACTAGAGAGAGACCAGAGAGAGACCAGAGACCAGAGAGAGACCAAAGAAAGACCAGGGAGAGACCAGAGACCAGAGAAAGACCAGAGACCAGAGAGAGACCAGAGAGAGACCAGAGAGAGACAAGAGAGAGACCAGAGAGAGACCAGAGAGAGACCAGAGAGAGACCAGAGAGAGACAAGAGAGAGACAAGAGAGAGACCAGAGAGAGACCAGAAAGAGACAAGAGAGAGACAAGAGAGAGACCAGAGAGAGACCAGAGAGAGACCAGAGAGAGACCAGAGAGAGATCAGAGAGACCTGAGAGAGACCAAAGAGAGAGACACCATAGAGAGGCCAAAAACTAGAGAGAGACCAGAGAGAGAGAGAGACCAGAGAGAGACCAGAGAGAGACCAGAGAGAGACCAAAGAAAGACCAGAGAGAGACCAGAGACTAGAGAGAGACCAGAGAATGACCAGAGACTAGAGAGAGACCAGAGAGAGACTTGAACTATTACAGTGCTGCTGTGTGAGTGGTCACCTTGCACACGCACTGTCCGTCCTGCAGACAGTCGCACACGCCGGACGTCCCGTTGCAGAACTCCTCCTCGGTGCCGGCCGCGTCGCAGCCACAGGGGGCGCACTCGGGGTAACCATAGAAACCGGAGTCGCAGCGGTCGCAGGAGGCGCCCCCAAAGCCATCCCTGCACGGGCACTGGCCGCTTCTCAGGTCGCACTGGGACGAGATGCTTCCGGAAGAACTGCAGCTGCACGGCTACAAGAGAGGATGAAGGATAAGGCCAAACAAGGTTATTTATATAGCACAGTTCATACACAAAAAAACAAGATAAAAACAATCACACAAGGCATTCAAATACACATAAATAAGCACAGTATAATAAAAAGAGTAAAGATATAATCCTCTCTGGTCTCTCTCTCTCTTTGGTTTCTCTCTCTAGTCTCTCTCTTTATGTGGGCTCTCTGGTCTCACTTGGTCTCTCTCTGGTCTCTCTCTGGTCTCTCTCTCTGGTCTCTCTCTCTCTGGTCTCTCTCTTGTCTCTCTCTTGTCTCTGGTCTCTCTCTGGTCTCTCTCTTGTCTCTGGTCTCTCTCTGGTCTCTCTCTGGTCTCTCTCTGGTCTCTCTCTGGTCTCTCTCTGGTCTCTCTCTGGTCTCTCTCTGGTCTCTCTCTGGTCTCTCCCTGGTCTCTCCCTGGTCTCTCCCTGGTCTCTCCCTGGTCTCTCCCTGGTCTCTCTCTTGTCTCTCTCTTGTCTCTCTCTTGTCTCTCTCTTGTCTCTCTCTTGTCTCTGGTCTCTCTCTGGTCTCTCTCTGGTCTCTCTCTGGCCTCTCTCTGGCCTCTCTCTGGGTCTCTCTCTGGTCTCTCTCTGGTCTCTCTCTGGTCTCTCACTGGTCTCTCTCTTGTCTCTCTCTTGTCTCTGGTCTCTCTCTGGTCTCTCTCTGGTCTCTCTCTGGTCTCTCTCTTGTCTCTCTCTGGTCTCTCCCTGGTCTCTCTGGTCTGGTCTCTCTCTGGTCTCTCTCTGGCCTCTCTCTGGTCTCTCCCTGGTCTCTCTCTTGTCTCTGGTCTCTCTCTTGTCTCTCTCTTGTCTCTCTCTTGTCTCTCTCTTGTCTCTCTCTTGTCTCTGGTCTCTCTCTGGTCTCTCTCTGGTCTCTCTCTGGCCTCTCTCTGGCCTCTCTTTGGTCTCTCTCTCTGGTCTCTCTCTGGTCTCTCCCTGGTCTCTCTCTGGTCTCTCTCTGGTCTCTCTCTGGTCTCTCACTGGTCTCTCACTGGTCTCTCTCTTGTCTCTCTCTTGTCTCTCTCTTGTCTCTGGTCTCTCTCTGGTCTCTCTCTTGTCTCTCTCTTGTCTCTGGTCTCTCTCTGGTCTCTCCCTGGTCTCTCTGGTCTGGTCTCTCTCTGGTCTCTCTCTGGCCTCTCTCTGGTCTCTCCCTGGTCTCTCTCTTGTCTCTGGTCTCTCTCTGGCCTCTCTCTGGCCTCTCTCTGGTCTCTCTCTGGTCTCTCTCTGGTCTCTCTCTGGCCTCTCTCTGGCCTCTCTCTAGTCTCTCTCTAGTCTCTCTCTGGCCTCTCTCTGGCCTCTCTCTGGCCTCTCTCTGGTCTCTCTCTGGCCTCTCTCTGGCCTCTCTCTGGTCTCTCTCTGGCCTCTCTCTGGTCTCTCTCTGGTCTCTCTCTGGTCTCTCTCTGGTCTCTCTCTGGTCTCTCTCTGGTCTCTCTCTGGTCTCTCTCTGGCCTCTCTCTGGTCTCTCTCTGGCCTCTCTCTGGCCTCTCTCTGGTCTCTCTCTGGTCTCTCTCTGGTCTCTCTCTGGTCTCTCTCTGGTCTCTCTCTGGTCTCTCTCTGGTCTCTCTCTGGTCTCTCTCTGGTCTCTCTCTGGTCTCTCTCTGGTCTCTCTCTGGTCTCTCTCTGGTCTCTCTCTGGTGATATATCAAGAAGTTGGGTGTCATATCACCAGGAAGTGTAGTGTGGTGTGTTTTGGTATCTTACCTTACAGCCGGTCTCAGGGTGGTGGCCCCAGTGGTCTGGTTTGCAGGTCTCACATTGGGGCCCCTGAGTGTGGGGGGGGCAGATACACTCTCCGCTCTCTGAGTTACAGTTCCCTCCAGTGTGAGCACAGGTGCATGCTGGGAAGTCACAAAAGGACAGTTGGATAGTAGTTTAGGAAGCCTCATCATGTCTTCTTCGTAGCGATAAAAGACCTTGGTTCTTCTACACCAGAAAAGAGTGAGATAAAGTAAAATCCTGAAAACAGTGAATCGTCTAAAGGTGAGCCGTGATTTAGTGACGGAGCGTGTGAAGCAGCTGAGTTTGGGGCGTGTGAACATTTGCAACACAAGACAGCGAGATCCCAACGAGGCCCCTGGAGAAAGTAATGGTCCACCCCTGCTCTGACACCAGCAGAGGAGCTCAACATGAGGGGGCTGTGTTCTGCACATAAGAGGGTTAAAGGCTTGTGGGGGCCATGGGGGGCTATGGTATGTGCTCACTAAGTACATTTAAAAAGACTTATACAGACACAGACTAAACTAGGACTATGGAAAGACGCCTGCATCTTTATCAACACGAGGAATATTAGTGGAATATTGGTGAAATATTTGGAATATTTTGGGTATCGGCAGATGTTGAAGTCAAACTCTTGGGTTTGGACTTGAAACAGCTGGATCGGAGCCTCCCTGATATAAACCAGAGACCAGAGGATGCAGATGTGTGAGTGTACCGGTGCACTGTCCGTCCTGGTAGCCGTAGTAGCCGCGGTCACACAGGTCACACTTGTCCCCGGCCACGCCCTCCACACACTGGCACCGCCCCTCAGAGTCGCAGGCCTCGGACTGGGACCCGGGCCGGCTGCAGCTGCAGGCCACACAGCCCTGTCCGCTCTGGAGGCCGTAGAAGCCGGGCTGGAGAACAGGAGCAGAGGTGAGTCAGTCTGACAGGAGCAGGAGACGTGCGGTCAGTCTTACCACGCAGCGGTCACAGGCGCGGCCCTCCACGTTGGGTTTACAGCGGCAGAGGCCGGACGCCACGTCACACACGGGGCTCAGGGCTCCGTGCACGTCACAGCCACACCCTGCAACGCCACATCACACTTCAGTGTCCGAAGATCTATTGGTTTAAACACAGATCTCCAACACAGCCCTAGCTCCTTCACACATTAAACAAATACAGTCCATCAGTACATTTGGCCAAACAACACGTTAGTTCTTTAAAACGTGTTGTGACATCACATGTTGTGACATCACATGAGGAAGTGAAGAGTCTCCCATGTGCCTTTGGGGTCCTTCTAATCCTCTCCGGCCCCCGACGCACAAAGCTGTGTTTCTACTGGTCAGTGGCTGAATAGGACCATGTGACCGAGGGAACAATGGGGTCAGAGGTTGGGCGTGATGTGGATTAGACAGATCCACATTCCAGCCCGGTCCTCCAGTGGAACCATGGCCTCCAGCGTCGCAGACTAAACAGGCGCCCAAGGCAGAGGCGCCCGCGCTGATAAAGGCCACCACAACCTGGCAACATCTTTATCTTATTGTAGCTTTGTTGATCTGGAAATGTTATCACAGATGTTTGACTTTTCTGTGTAAATGTCGACAAAAGCAGAAGAGACTTGGATTCTTATTCAGCCGTGACAACTAAGGTTCTTAATAACAAGTTTTGACAATGTTTAAAGTACCTACCGGCCTCTCTACAGTAAATTATGGCTCCTACACTGTGTAAGCTTCTGTGTATGTGGCTGATCCATTTAAATTAATCTACAGTAATTCTGGAAAAATTCCCCCCAAAGAAAACATATAAATGGTGAATAAAAAGCCGTCTCTTGACTCGCACCTGTGCAGTTCTTGGCGTGGAGTGCGTCGCCGTAGTAACCGTCCCGACAGCGCTCGCAGTGGCGCCCCGCGGTGTCCCCGGTGCACCGCAGACACTCCCCGCTCACGTGGTCGCAGTGGCCCGCCTCGTCACGGTCCACATTACCGTTACAGTCGCAGCGAGCGCACGAGCCGCCCAGCACCTGCGGGTGGCCGAAGAAACCATCGGCACATCTGGAAGAGAACCATGGTCACAGCAATTATTATTCATACGATCACGGTAGATGTCTAACTAATCAAAGACCAGAGGAAGACCAGAGAGACCAGAGAGAGAGACCAGAGAGAGACCAGAGAGAGACCAGAGAGAGACCAGAGAGAGACCAGAGAGAGACCAGAGAGAGACCAGAGAGAGACCAGAGAGAGACCAGAGAGAGACCAGAGAGAGACTAGAGAGAGACCAGAGAGAGAGACCAGAGAGAGACCAGAGAGAGACCAGAGAGAGACCAGAGAGACCAGAGAGAGACCAGAGAGAGACCAGAGAGAGACCAGAGAGAGAGACCAGAGAGAGAGAGAGACCAGAGAGAGACCAGAGAGAGAGACCAGAGAGAGAGACCAGAGAGAGAGACCAGAGAGAGACCAGAGAGAGACCAGAGAGAGACCAGAGAGAGACCAGAGAGAGACCAGAGAGAGACCAGAGAGAGACCAGAGAGAGACCAGAGAGAGACCAGAGAGAGACCAGAGAGAGAGACCAGAGAGAGAGACCAGAGAGAGACCAGAGAGAGACCAGAGAGAGACCAGGGAGAGACCAGAGAGAAGAGACCAGGGAGAGACCAGAGAGAGACCAGAGAGAGACCAGAGAGAGAGACCAGAGAGAGACCAGAGAGAGATACCAGAGAGATACCAGAGAGAGACCAGAGAGAGACCAGAGAGAGACCAGAGAGAGACCAGAGAGAGAGACCAGAGAGAGACCAGAGAGAGACCAGGGAGACCAGGGAGAGACCAGAGAGAGAGACCAGAGAGAGAGACCAGAGAGAGACCAGAGAGAGAGACCAGATAGAGACCAGCGAGAGAGACCAGAGAGACCAGGGAGAGACCAGAGAGACCAGGGAGAGACCAGAGAGAGAGACCAGAGAGAGACCAGAGAGAGACCAGGAGAGAGACCAGAGAGAGAGACCAGAGAGAGAGACCAGAGAGACCAGAGAGAGACCAGAGAGAGGGACCAGAGAGAGATAAAACAGAGAGACTTAAAATAAAGGTACCATAAGTGTCATGTCATATAGTTCTACGATGATGTTGGAGAAACACATGAGAAAAACTCTGTCATTGTGAGGTTAGTGTATTATGTCCATATTATGTTTTATTATATTTTTAGTTGTATAAAGTTGTCACATTGTCCTTCATGTCCACCTCTCAGGACGCTCACCTCTCACACTTGTCCCCGGTGTAGCCGTCCTGACAGCGGTCACATGACACCTGTCCATCAGACTGAAGGACACAGGTGGGACTGAAGCTGCAACAAACATCACAAACACACACTTAACTCGGGACAAAGCTGATTTAGACTTAATACTAGGGGTGCAACGGTTTGAAAAAATCACGGTTCGGTTCGTACCTCGGTTCAGAGGCCACGGTTCGGTTCATTTTTCGGTTCATTTTTCAAAAAAAAAGTTTTGTCTTTTTAATAAACACAGCTCATGTGGACTCTGCACCTGCTCTGACTGCCCCCCCTGACCTAGAAATGAATTAAGGGGAAGGAAATGGATGGATGGATGGATGGCATATTCCATCCATCCAATTATGTCTATTTAACATAATTAATGAAAAACAACACAAAGTGCAACATAAGAAGGCACTTTATGAGGATATTTACCCTCATATATTACACCACCTTCCTGATTCTCCCAAGGAGTGGGTCCATTCTGGGCCCAGCCTCATTCACTGCATTTATTTAATTTTTGGCATTATCAGTTGTGACTGGGATATTAGTACTGGGCCTTTCTCTTCCATTCCTCCGCTGCTTGTGTCAGTACCTGCGCTGTGTGTCAGTACCTGTGCTGTGTGTCAGTACCTGCGCTGTGTGACAGTGTGACTGTCGTAGAGGGGGCGTGTCTGCAGCGCCAGACTTTTCATCTCCCAGTCTGCGGTGATGAAGTGAGCGGTTCCGCTCATGGATCTATTATAGGTTCCGCGGGACGTCCAAGCGTCAGTCGTGAGCGCAGCTGTGATGCGCGGGAGAGTTGACTTTAGCCCGGTCTGACTGTGCGTAAAGGAGCTGCTTAAATGCCGCGACAATAGGCGGTCGTTGAGACGCTTTTTTCACTCATGTCTTTCTTGTACCACAGTGCTTACACATCGTGACAGTTTTGTCGAATATTAATTATCAGTGTAGTTACAGTGAAGCCAAAATGCTCTCATACTGGGGATTTAAATGACGCAGGGCTTTCAAGCATCTCCGTTCCTCCGCTCGCAATGACCGCGCTGTGTGTGGACTGAACAACGTGCGCACAACTTTTTTTTCATAAATCAAACCGCGGATCACGTCTGTACCGAACCGAAGACGTTGAACCGAACGGATCACGGATCAGTGATGAACCGTTGCACCTCTACTTAATACATGCATGTGAAAACTAGAGATCTTAAAGGTATTGTCGTATAATCACTGTGGTAGGCCTCATGTCCCGCTTACCGTATTGTGTCGCCATGCATGCAATAAAACATCACATTGAACCTCTCACTCGGGCTGATCATTAAAACCAATTAATGGGAAAATCTGATTCTCCCAAATATTTCCAGAATGATTGACAGTTGGGAGGACCAATCTTGATAATCCACCCGGAAGTAGAAAATCCTCCCCTAACTTTAAGATTAAAGATTGTATGTGTAGTCTGAAAGTAAGGTATCTCAACTGTAAGCTCTAAAATGATCAATTTAGAGAAATAAAAATGTGATTAATTTAGTCTATTTTAATCACTATTTAACGCATTTGTTTCTCTCCAATCTGTGAATAATTAGGTGTTTAGTGTGACACATTCCTGGCCCTAAACCCCACGTTAAGAACAAACCTGTTGGACGGCGCAGTCAGAGGACATGGGCATTTCTTACAGTCTTGCTTTGTCCCCGCGGTGGCATCGCCGTAGAAACCGGGGAGACAATGTTCGCAATGGGGCCCCGTGGTGTTGTGGGAGCAGGACTGGAGGAAACAGGAGCAGCGTTAAAAGTCAGAGTTTACGGCTTTAACGTCGAGCCGGGATCTCACCAGGCACAGGCCGTGGGGGTCGCAGGTCGAGGAGTGGTCGTTGCACTCGCACTGGAGGCAGTTCCCCCCGAAGAGGACCTCGCCGACGCGGTAGAAGCCGGGCAGACACGACTGCGGCAACAACACAGCATGTGAGAAATGGTTTGGTTTAGTGCGTGGAAACCATCAAATCTGCAACATCAGCAGCTTTTTATCATTTTAAAAACAGTGTATCAAATACTGTCCACCAGAGGCGCCAAACTCACTCTTTTTTACATTATGAAGGTGTTTTGACCTTTTTTCTGTTTTGATTTAACCAAAACATGACCAAATATAACGTTTATATTTAACTACATAACTTGGTGTGTTGGGATAAAATTTTATTTATTCATCTATGTATTTATTTCAATTGTGGACATAACAGTTACATTTCCAATAATTGTCGTCTTGTCGCACAAATGAAGAGGAGCAGAAAGAAGAAGCCCCTTTCTTCAAACATGTACAAATTAAATAAAAAATAAGACGGCCTTCAGCACTTCTTCAAACTGTTTTTATTCTGTTTTTTATTTGTTTTCAGAATTCTTATTGTTTTTTATTATATAGTTATTTTCTCTTTTTTTCCTCATCATTCTTTTCATACAATTTCACTGTTGTTGCTTTTTTTTCTTAACATGTGGAATTTTAAAATAGATTAAATGTGGTTGTTTTCCTGAGAAATTATCATGCGTTAGTCGGTCGTCCATTTCCATAAATCCTGCACGTAACAGTCTTTGAAAATCATTTTAAAATCGTGCAATTTTTAGAGGAGGCTAAAATGATTATTATGATCGTTATACTTCATTTTAAAGCCTATTGTCGCAGGAAAACAACTGTATAATTGTATCTGTTCTAAAATGTTACAGATACTATCAGGCTTACAAAACTTCCAGCTGTGCGTACAACTGAAGTATCTTTTTAATGTTTCCTTGTGTGTGAACTGTGATATTCTTGCCTTGAGGGAAATATTGAAATATATCTAAAGACAGAAAGAGTTCAGACCTCGCAGGACGTGCCGCTGTAGCCGAACGGACACTCGCAGGTCTCCACGGCGACCGCCTTGTGTCCCGAGACCGACATCGGGTCAGCCACGTCCAGAGACACCGAGCCCAGACTGAAGAGAGAGCGTGAGGAAGTATTAGTACAACAGAAGTACAGAAGTATTAGTACAACAGAAGTATTAGTACAACAGAAGTATTAGTACAACAGTAGTACAGAAGTATTAGTACAACAGTAGTACAGAAGTATTAGTACCACAGTAGTACAGAAGTATTAGTACCACAGTAGTACAGAAGTATTAGTACAACAGTAGAATAGAAGTATTAGTACAACAGTAGAACAGAAGTATTAGTACAACAATAGTACAGAAGTATTAGTACAACAATAGTACAGAAGTATTAGTACAACAGCAGAAATACTACAGCTGTCCTGGAGTAGTAGTACAGTAGTAGTACAGTATTAGTGCAGTAGTAGTACAATAGTAGTACAGTAGCAGTGCAGTAGTAGTACAGTAGCAGTGCAGTAGTAGTGCAGTAGTAGTACAGTAGTAGTACAGTAGTAGTACAGTAGCAGTGCAGTAGTAGTACAGTATTAGTGCAGTAGTAGTACAGTAGTAGTACAGTAGCAGTGCAGTAGTAGTACAGTATTAGTACAGTAGCAGTGCAGTAGTAGTACAGTAGCAGTGCAGTAGTAGTGCAGTAGTAGTACAGTAGCAGTACAGTAGCAGTGCAGTACAGTAGCAGTGCAGTAGTAGTACAGTAGTAGTACAGTATTAGTGCAGTAGTAGTACAGTAGTAGTACAGTAGTAGTACAGTAGTAGTACAGTATTAGTGCAGTAGTAGTACAGTAGCAGTGCAGTAGTAGTACAGTAGCAGTGCAGTAGTAGTACAGTAGTAGTACAGTAGTAGTACAGTAGTAGTACAGTATTAGTGCAGTAGTAGTACAGTAGTAGTACAGTAGCAGTACAGTAGTAGTACAGTAGCAGTGCAGTAGTAGTACAGTAGCAGTGCAGTAGTAGTACAGTAGCAGTGCAGTAGTAGTACAGTAGCAGTGCAGTAGTAGTACAGTAGCAGTACAGTAGCAGTGCAGTAGTAGTACAGTAGTAGTACAGTAGTAGTACAGTAGTAGTACAGTAGTAGTACAGTAGCAGTGCAGTTGTAGTACAGTAGCAGTGCAGTTGTAGTACAGTAGCAGTGCAGTAGTAGTACAGTAGCAGTGCAGTAGTAGTACAGTAGCAGTGCAGTAGTAGTACAGTAGCAGTGCAGTAGTAGTACAGTAGTAGTACAGTAGCAGTGCAGTAGTAGTACAGTAGCAGTGCAGTAGTAGTACAGTAGCAGTGCAGTAGTAGTACAGTAGCAGTGCAGTAGTAGTACAGTAGCAGTGCAGTAGTAGTACAGTAGCAGTGCAGTAGTAGTACAGTAGCAGTGCAGTAGTAGTACAGTAGTATTATTTACCGGATGGATCCCGCGGCAGAGGAGTTGAGCAGAACTCGGACCCTCAGAGCGGTGACATCACTCAGCACAGTCAGCAGCTGGTCGCGGGTCACATGATCTCCTCTGACTTCGTCCACGAACTGATGAGGGCCGATCACCACGGCAACGGAGCGCTCGGACAGAGGGGACAGGGAGAGGAGGCGGGGCCGGGACAAGCGGACGGAGCGGCCATTTCCCTGGGAGAGGAGTCACATGACATGTCAATGGATGCAAGGGACAAAACAAATCTTCATAATTACTTGTTCTTCTTTATTATGCTAAAGTTAGAGATGTTATACCTAATTCTTGCTTCTTAAATATGCTAAAGTTTTATATTTTAGACTTGCTTATTTATTAAACAAAAGTTAGAGATTTTAAATGACAAATAAAGGATCTCTTAAGTGCGGTACTACCTGAATGATGATATCAGAGTGGGCGGGGAGAGAGCGGTCCAAATTGTCCACGGGCGCGTCGTAGACCAGCGTGTAGTTCAGGGTCCCTCGGAAAGACGTCAGCTGCAGCACAATAATGCATCTATCGTTTATTTTTGGGATACGTCGCAAAAAGGCTAAAAACCAAAACAAAACAACAACCTTATTGGCCAGGAAAGCAGGGGGCGCATCCCAGGACATCTCATACAGGTGGGCGTGGCCTCGGGAGCGGTTGACGGGCAGGTGGAAGTTGTTGTCGTGGGCAACGGTGAGGGGGTGGAGCTGGTCCACGGGTTGGAGCCAGGCGTTGGAAAAAGACACCTGAGGAGAGAGAGATTAAAGCTGGGGTACCTAACTTAAGCAGAGGTTCAGACCGGAAGCTCCCAACTCTCAGACCTCCCACTGCTGCTGCGCCGCATCAGCAATCAGTCGTTCACACTCAGCTGGCAGCATTAAAGCACTGCCCTGCATAGTCATCAAGCTTTTGTTTGGACAAAAAGCTTTCATTCATGCAGCAACCCTCCTCCTCCCCGTCCACTGTCTCGTCAGCCAGACCAGCTCTTCTTCTCTTAGCTCCCACCTCAAGGATAATCCCATAATCTCTTTTCAATCCCCTTCATTCATCACAGAGCTCTGCCGGGGTCTAAGCGCCAAATCATAACCACAATTCAAGTACAGCAAACAATAAATGAGATTCTTGCTTATAATGTCCGCAGCAGAAACAGATAACCATGGAAACCAATAAATACAATAAAATCTAATAACCCTTGTCTGCAGAGTTCATCGAATATGTTTGGCTTTAGATCAGCTTTTTCAGAAGGAAAAGTGAAAACACTCTCAGCCCAAAGAGTCAAAAAGTGACTCACAGGGCTCTGTCTTTTCAAGTACGCAAAAGATCACAAGATGGAGACAGTGTGTTGTGCTCCGTTGGAACAAACCAAATATATTTTCTACTGAGGGGGAAAAGTTAGGTCCCTCAGCTTTAAGTAGTTGCCGCTTTTCTCCTGACCTGATTGGTCCACCAGGGGGAGCTCTCACAGACGTCGGACACTCCGAAGCAGAAGCAGTCGGTGCAGCCGTGAGGGTTTTCCGGCTGGAGGTTGTAGAAGCCCGGTTTGCACAGGTCGCAGTTGAAGCCCATCACGTTTTTCTGGACAAATAAAACATGAATCATTTTTGAATTGCAAAATCAAATATCCCCATGTTTTCCTTGATTAGCTTAAGATTCAACTTTATTGTCATAGATTAATATAGAGTATAAACATACTCATGAGACTGCTCCTATGTAGTGAGACATTATAATAACATAGAAGGCCAGTGTAGGAGTGGGAGCTCACCTTGCACACACACTCTTCGCAGGGGTCCATGTTGGTGCTCCCGGACAGGTTGCACTGGCACTTGGAGCACAGAGGGAAGTCCCTGTATCCAAAGGCACAGCGGTCGCACCGGCGCCCGGCAAAGCCCTCTCTGCACGGGCACTGGCCTGGAGACCCACCTGGACACAAGACAGCAGCTTATAGGAAATACTCCCACAGGGACCCGGTCTACACCAGGACTAAAGCAGGACTACACCAGGTCTGTATCAGGTCTAAAGCAGGCCTAGAACAGGTACTGTATACACCAGGACTATGTGTGTGTGTGTGTGTGTGTGTGTCTCTGTGTGTGTTTGTGTACAGACCGGGGCTGGACTGGTCCTGGACACACACTGAGGACTGGGAGCCTCTGAGGTCACAGTCACACAGGACACAGGGAGAGTCCGAGTACGGGGAGACCTGCAAAACAACTGCACTTAGACAGAAATATAAACCAACAGACGGATAGACGGATAGAAAGAACGATGGAGAGAGATAGAGATAGAGAGACAGACAGAGAGAGAGAGAGAGAGAGACAGACAGACAGACAGAGACAGACAGAGAGAGAGAGAGAGAGAGAGACAGACAAATATATAGAGATAGATAGATAGTAGACTTTAAAATTAAGCTACACCACAGATCTTTCTGAAACCAAAGAGGGGAGTGTGACACAAACAGTTACTGAGCGAGACTAAGTCAATACGAGTCAAAGAGAGTTGGACCAAAACTTCCCCATGAGCACTTCCCTATTGGGCTTCATTGAGCTAGCAGGGTTAGCATTGTCCATCTGCATACAGTCTATGGTTTACTGTCATGCTGCCCCCTTCAGACAGTGGCCCTTTAAACTGTTTGATTTTCTAATCTGCGTACAAAATGTATTTAAAAAATGAATTGATTTGAGTACAAAAGGTGTATTAGTGTTTTAAAGTCCCGTTTGTCAGCCCTACTCACCCCCTGCGGCCTGTAGAACCCGTCGGCACACGTCTCGCAGTTGACCCCCGCTGTGTTCTGCCGACACTGAACGCAGACTCCGCCCCCTCGCCGCTGTCCTGCCGCATCCAGACTCAGGCCCAGCTCCGACACGGTCTGGTTGTAGAAGCAGAGGTCGGCCTTGTTGTGGCAGTTACATTCTGTCAAAACAAGATCCACACAGACACTGAGCCAACAGTGGCAGTGCTACTGACAAGTCTGTGTTTTTAATGCACTGTGTAAGACACAACAAAACACACAAAATAAATACATGAATAAATAAAAACTATATGTGCACATGAATATGGTTAAATACTGAGACCAGACATATGTGGGTGTTAGTGTGTTTGTATGTCTGAAAAACACACATATTAAAGACTGCCACCTGGTGTCTGCGCACCAGGTGGCAGTCTTTAATATGTGTGTTTTTCAGACATACAAACACACTAACACCCACATATTTCCATGACAGAAGTTTTGCTTTTTTATTTTTTTATTATTATTATATTTTGTTCATGGCTTTGGATGTCAATAATCCCCCTTCCCCCCCACCAACATACTCTGCACTACTATAATGTATAGTAATTAGTGTTAAATAATGGTTTACTCTCGCAGGTGTTGCCGTCGGTGATGGTGCCTGGTTGCCATGGCATCTGGTGGAACCCGGGGCAGCATTCGTTGCAGTTCTCTCCACACGTGTTGTGTTCACAGACACAGTGCAGTTTCTGAAAAAAGAAACCGAGAGACAGGAAACTTTCAATAGGGACTGCAGAAGCGGTAACAGTTAGTACGAGCAGCAGCAGCAGCAGCAGCAGCAGCAGTAGCAGCAGCAGCAGTAGTAGTAGTAAAAGTAGCATTAATAGCATTAATAGCAGTAATAGTAGTAGTAGTAGTAGTAGGTTGTAGTAGTAATAGCAGTAGCAGTAGTAGGTAGTAGTAGTAATAATAGCAGTAGTAGCAGTAGTAGTAGTAGAAGTAATAATAGCAGTAGTAGTAATAATAGTAGTAATAGCAGTAGTAGGTAGTAGTAGTAGTAGTCACCTGTGTGACCGGGTCCAGGGGGCAGCTCTTGGCGTGTCCGTAGCAGATGCACATTCCTCCGATGGAGATGTCTTTGATGGAGTAGAAATACTAAACACAGATAAATACATCAGATACTGCGGTAGGACGTGCTGCGGGAGACAAAGGCCCACAGGTCTCTGCCAATCTCTACTGGGAAGTGCCTCTCGGGCTCGTTGTGGTCTTACCCTCCTGGTGACGATGGGGTCGATGTCGTGGGTCATGAACGTCATGAGGTCTGCGTTCAGAGTCCGGATCCGCTGCAGCCTCAGCCGGACGTAGCGAGCGGAGGTGAAGTCCAGCAGGGCGGAGGTCAGGTCGTCTGCCCCGGGGCGGCCGTTGATCAGAGACGTGTGGATCTGGACTCAGCACAGACACACTCCAGATGGTTACTGCTGCAGTCCCAGAGACCGCTGCACCTCTGGCCTGGACTGGGGCTGGTCCTGTTCTAGTTGTGCTTTAGGTCTGGGCTCGTCTCGCTTTAGTTCATTCAATAATATTACCTGACAAGGCACGTTTTTTTGTTTAGCCCTATTTATACTAAAGGCAGCTCAAAGTGCTGACCAAAACAAGATAGCATTAAAAAGAAAAAAGAAAAATCTAAAATCCCTATTAAATAAATGTGGTTTTGTACAGCCCTGAATGACAACAGCAGTTATGTTGTAGGACTTAAAACTGTTGATTTCCCCAACACAGATCAGAGAATCAAACTGTTAAAGCACAGGAATTTGTTTTAATAAAAACACACAGAGCCTTTGGTCCATAAGGAGCAGAGACCACTGTCCTTAAATGTTAAAAAAGTCATAAATGTTTCTAAATCTCTTATAACTTATAACTCTAATAAAGTCACAATCGCTTAACCCTATGGCTCGTTATTATTATTTATGATTTATTTTCTGTTACGTCTCTATGTGCAAATATATCCTGAGTGTCAATTCATGTCCTCTTTTATAGTTACTTGGTTTGAACCAATTACATATGTTACTCTGTATGTTACTCTGTATGTTACTCTGTATGTTACTCTGTGTGTTACTCTGTATGTTACTCTGTGTGTTGCTCTGTGTGTTACTCTGTATGTTACTCTGTATGTTACTCTGTGTGTTGCTCTGTGTGTTACTCTGTGTGTTACTCTGTGTCTCTGTATGTTACTCTGTGTCTCTGTATGTTACTCTGTGTCTCAGAATGTTACTCTGTGTCTCTGTATGTTACTCTGTGTCTCAGAATGTTACTCTGTGTCTCTGTATGTTACTGTGTGTCTCTGTATGTTACTCTGTGTCTCTGTATGTTACTATGTGTCTCTGTATGTTACTCTGTGTGTTACTCTGTATGTTACTCTGTATGTTACTCTGTGTGTTGCTCTGTGTGTTACTCTGTGTGTTACTCTGTGTGTTACTTTGTATGTTACCCTGTGTGTTGCTCTGTATGTTACTCTGTTTGTTACTCTGTATGTTACTCTGTGTGTTACTCTGTATGTTACTCTGTGTCTCTGTATGTTACTCTGTGTCTCAGTATGTTACTCTGTGTCTCTGTATATTACTCTGTGTCTCTGTATGTTACTCTGTGTCTCAGTATGTTACTCTGTGTCTCTGTATGTTACTCTGTGTGTTACTCTGTATGTTACTTTGTGTCTCTGTATGTTACTCTGTGTCTCTGTACGTTACTCTGTGTCTCAGTATGTTACTCTGTGTCTCTGTATGTTACTCTGTATGTTACTCTGTGTCTCTGTATGTTACTCTGTGCCTCTGTATGTTACTCTGTGTCTCTGTATGTTACTCTGTGTCTCAATACATTACTCTGTGTCTCTGTATGTTACTCTGTGTCTCTGTATGTTACTCTGTGTCTCTGTATGTTACTCTGTATGTTACTCTGTGTCTCTGTATGTTACTCTGTATGTTACTCTGTGTCTCAGTATGTTACTCTGTGTCTCTGTATGTTACTCTGTATGTTATTCTGTGTCTCTGTATGTTACTCTGTATCTCAGTATCTTACTCTGTATGTTACTCTGTGTCTCTGTATGTTACTCTGTGTCTCTGTATGTTACTCAGTATGTTACTCTGTGTCTTTGTATGTTACTCTGTATGTTACTATGTCACTCTGTGTCTCTGTATGTTACTCTGTGTCTCAGTATGTTACTCTGTGTCTCTGTATGTTACTCTGTATCTCAGTATCTTACTCTGTATGTTACTCTGTGTCTCTGTATGTTACTCTGTATGTTACTCTGTGTCTCTGTATGTTACTCAGTATGTTACTCAGTGTCTCTGTATGTTACTCTGTATGTTACTATGTTACTCTGTGTCTTTGTATGTTACTCTGTATGTTACTCTGTGTCTCTGTATGTGTCTCTATATGTTACTCTGTATGTTACTCTGTGTCTCAGTATCTTACTCTGTATGTTACTCTGTGTCTCTGTATGTTACTCTGTATCTCAGTATCTTACTCTGTATGTTACTCTGTGTCTCTGTATGTTACTCTGTATGTTACTCTGTGTCTCTGTATGTTACTTTGAATATTACTCTGTGTCTCTGTATGTTACTCTGTGTCTCTGTATGTTACTTTGAATATTACTCTGTGTCTCTGTATGTTACTCTGTATGTTACTCTGTGTCTCTGTATGTTACTCTGTGTCTCTGTATGTTACTCTGTGTCTCTGTATGTTACTCTGTGTCTCTGTATGTTACTCTGTATGTTACTCTGTGTCTCTGTATGTTACTCTGTATGTTACTATGTTACTCTGTGTCTCTGTATGTTACTCTGTGTCTCTGTATGTTACTCTGTGTCTCAGTAGTTACTCCAAAGCCGTGGTGCAGCGACCCTCACCTCCCCGTGCTCCAGCGGGTTGAGGCGGCTGTAGTAGGAGGTGCAGATGACCTCGGTGTCGCCCCTGTAGGTGGGAGATCCGAGCCGCGGCGTGATGTTGTAGCGGCTCAAACACTCGCTGTCGCTGATGGCGTAGAACTGCCACGGCTCGAACAACACGCCGTCCAGAGAGCGCTCCAGGATCCAGTTACCTGCAAACAGCGTCTTTTAGTTTCTTATGAATGTGCTGGAAATGGCAGCAAGTCCACTGGAGGAATGCTGTTTGTTTGTTGTTGTTGAAAAATGTTAACAAAGCATTACGAATTTCACTCTGAACCAGAGCAGAGAAATGAAAATGACGTGTTTCTGCGGCTGGACACCTCAAGTTCTCCTCCAGGGTCAATAAAGTGTCTATCTATGGCGTTTGGAGACATGAAGGTTAGAGTTGGGACAGACCTGGTCGTGGAGAGTTGGCGGCTTTGATGATGATGTAAGCCACTTGAAAGATCTGAACATAACAAAACAGAAACAAAATCATGATTCACTTTTTATGTTAAAGTTCAATTCAAGTTTTTCAACCAATTCAATCTGTGAAGTGTAACTTTAGAAACATCATGCAGTGTGTTACTAGCAACATTAGTTTTAGCAGTATCAATAGCAGCAGTAGTACTTTAGTACACTTCTCCTTTAAGAAAACAGTAATCTTATCTGTACCGCCCCAAACTGAAGGGAGAAATACTTTGTATATTTTGTCGCCCGGTTTTCTGGGTCAAGATTGTTTGGACGTGTGCAGAGCGGGAGGGTCAGAGAGAAGGTCTTTGAGCGTCACTATCAAATATCTCCCCCGTGTGTTGTGTCTGCTCCTCCAGCTGCTCAGCGCTCAAGGCCGACCGCCTCAGACAGGCCTGGGACGGGACACAGACCACGGCGGGACCAGGGCCTGGGGCGGGACACTCACCTCCGCACATGTGCAGCTGGGGCCGCGGTGTCGTGTTTAAACTCATCCTGGAATAAAACTGCATCATCTGACTGTGGGAAGATCTGCATCAGAGCGACTCAGCTCTTTCCAACATATATTGGACCCATAGTATTATGGGTCTGCTAAAAACTAAAATGTGTGTAAACTGATATGAAAGATACACTTTAAACACATATATATTAAAGCATTTAAAGCTAGCTAATAAACAGCAGCTCCTGTGAGCTACTGTACTGTCTGTGCGCTGCAACACTGACATTTCCCCTCTGTAGGACGGATAAAGGATCTCTATCTTAAATCATTGTTGGTTAGATAAGAACATTCCAACATTACATTACATACAATATAGAGTTTTGAGAATGTATTTGTCACTCTGGTCTCTCAGAGACACCAAGACACTGGCAGATACTCCTAATCAACAACATTTATCAAAATCACTATAGTCAAACGAATGTAATCCTTTTCATATTTATTAATAAACCTCTTTTCAGTCCTCACACACAGAGACGAGGAACCTACCTCACGATACGATACGATACACAATACAAAGCTCACGATAACGATTTTATCACAATATGATTTTTTTTTTATTTTATCGATATTGATACTTGGCAAATGCATATCGATAATCGAATCGCGGGAGAAAGTATCGCGATTGTCACACCCCTACGGGGAACATGTCTGTGAGCGTCCAAAACACAGATGCATCATTATTATGATTATTATTAATATCATTATAAGACAGGGGACTGCTACATAAAGTAGTATATGAAGCAATTGTAGTACTTTAGAGCTTAAACTGTGAGCTCAAAGAAGGAGAGAATATAAATGTGTTTTAATTGAAGAACAGAGAGTATGACTTTGGGGTCTCTGACCTGTTTGAGGTCCAGGGTGATGGTGACCCAGTGGAACTGCCAGCCGTTCTTTATGCTGGGACTCTGCCACCACTGGTTTGTGCCGTCGATGGCGTTGGTGATGGGGTGGCGCTCTGGGGGGAGACAGTGAGGGGGGGGGGTTAGTGACACAGGCAGTCATCAGGGAGAGACACACGGGAACTCTCTCTGTTTTCTACTTTAACCACAACTGACACCAGAGAGAGTCCAGAGAGAGACCAGAGAGAGAGAGAGACCAGAGAGAGAGACCAGAGAGAGACACCAGAGAGAGACCAGAGAGAGACACCAGAGAGAGACCAAAGAGAGAGACCAGAGAGAGAGACCAGAGAGAGACCAGAGAGAGACCAGAGAGAGAGAGACCAGAGACAGAGACCAGATACAGAGACCAGAGAGAGACCAGAGAGAGAGACCAGAGAGAGACCAGAGAGAGACACCAGAGAGAGACCAAAGAGAGAGACCAGAGAGAGAGACCAGAGAGAGACACCAGAGAGAGACCAAAGAGAGAGACCAGAGAGAGACCAAAGAGAGAAACCAGAGAGAGAGACCAGAGAGAGACCAGAGAGAGAGAGACCAGAGACAGAGACCAGATACAGAGACCAGAGAGAGACCAGAGAGAGAGATCAGAGAGAGACCAGAGAGAGACCAGAGAGAGAGACCAGAGACAGAGACCAGATACAGAGACCAGAGAGAGACCAGAGAGAGAGATCAGAGAGAGACCAGAGGGAGACCAGAGAGAGACCAGAGGGAGACCAGAGGGAGACCAGAGAGACCAGAGGGAGACCAGAAGGAGACCAGAGAGAGACCAGAGAGAGACCAGAGAGAGACCTTAGAGACCAGAGAGAGAGACCAGAGAGAGACCTTAGAGACAGAGACACACCAGAGAGAGACCAGAGAGAGAGATCAGAGAGAGACCAGAGAGAGACCAGAGACAGAGATCAGAGAGAGATCAGAGAGAGAGACCAGAGAGAGTCCAGAGAGAGACCAGAGAGAGAGAGACCAGAGAGAGACCTGAGAGAGAGACCAGAGAGAGACCAGAGAGAGACCAGAGAGAGACAGAGAGAGAGACCAGAGAGAGACCAGAGAGAGAGAGAGAGAGACCAGAGACAGAGACCAGAGAGAGACCAGAGAGAGGGAGACCAGAGAGAGAGACCAGAGACCAGAGAGAGACCAGAGAGAGAGAGACCAGAGAGAGAGACCAGAGAGAGACCAAAGAGAGAGACCAGAGAGAGACCAGAGAGAGACCAGAGAGAGACCAGAGAGAGACCAAAGAGAGAGAGAGAGACCAGAGACAGAGACCAGAGAGAGACCAGAGAGAGGGAGACCAGAGAGAGAGAGAGACCAGAGACCAGAGAGAGACCAGAGACAGAGACCAGAGAGAGACCAGAGAGAGAGATCAGAGAGAGACCAGAGAGAGGGAGACCAGAGAGAGAGACCAGAGACAGAGACCAGAGAGAGACCAGAGAGAGAGAGCAGAGAGAGACCAGAGAGAGAGATCAGAGAGAGACCAGAGAGAGACGAGAGACCAGAGAGAGACCAGAGAGAGAGATCAGAGCGAGACCAGAGCGAGACCAGAGAGAGACCAGAGAGAGAGATCAGAGAGAGACCAGAGAGAGACCAGAGAGAGACCAGAGAGAGAGACCAGAGCGAGACCAGAGAGAGACCAGAGAGAGACCAGAGAGACCCAAGCCGAAAATCCAACATTGAAATAGTTCTTGTGCGTTCTCCAGGTTGGGGGCAGTGGTCTTAGCTCCTCTCTCTCAACATTCCAGTGTATTTAACCCTGAGGTCGAGATGACCGGGATTACAGAGCCACAGAGAGACGGCCACATCCGCGCTAATCTGTCCCCAGGCAGGCCTCGCGTCTACCATCACTTCTGAAAGCAAAGCCCTGTGGCCCCATAACGCTCAACTGTTTAACTTTTAAAGGAGATGTATGACCATGTTATAATTTCATCCACAGACCTGGAGCTGTTTTTAGATCCATCCACACACTAAGATCAGACACTTCTGACACATGTAACTCCACCTCTTCTGTCTAAAAGAGACCAGAGAGAGAGACCAGAGAGATACCAGAGAGAGAGACCAGAGAGAGAGCTCAGAGAGAGACCAGAGAGAGACCAGAGAGAGAGACCAGAGAGAGACCAGAGAGAGAGACCAGAGAGAGACTAGAGAGAGACCAGAGAGAGACCAGAGAGAGACTAGAGAGAGACTAGAGAGAGACCAGAGAGAGAGACCAGAGAGAGACTAGAGAGAGACCAGAGAGAGACCAGAGAGAGAGAACAGAGAGAGACTAGAGAGAGACCAGAGAGAGACCAGAGAGACCAGAGAAAGACTAGAGAGAGAGAGACCAGAGAGAGAGACCAGAGAGAGACCAGAGAGAGAGACCAGAGAGAGACCAGAGAGAGACCAGAGAGAGACCAGAGAGAGACCAGAGAGAGACCACAGAGAGACCAGAGAGAGAGACCAGAGAGAGACCAGAGAGAGACCAGAGAGAGAAACTAGAGAGAGACTAGAGAGAGAGAACAGAGAGAGACTAGAGAGAGACCAGAGAGAGACCAGAGAGAGAGACTAGAGAGAGAGAGACCAGAGAGAGACCAGAGAGAGACCAGAGAGAGTGACCAGAGAGAGACCAGAGAGAGACCAGAGAGAGAGACCAGAGAGAGACCAGAGAGAGACCAGAGAGAGACCAGAGAGAGACCAGAGAGAGACCAGAGAGAGAGACCAGAGAGAGAGACCAGAGAGAGACCAGAGAGAGAGACCAGAGAGAGACCAGAGAGAGACCACAGAGAGACCAGAGAGAGAGACCAGAGAGAGACCAGAGAGCGACCAGAGAGAGAGACCAGAGAGAGACCAGAGAGAGACCAGAGAGAGAGAACAGAGAGAGAGACAAGAGAGAGACCAGAGAGAGACCAGAGAGAGACCAGAGAGAGACCAGAGAGAGACCAGATAGAGACCAGATAGAGACCAGATAGAGACCAGAGAGAGACCAGAAACTGGTTTTCCACCGGAGAAGAGTCATTAGTTATAAATGACTTTTAATAAAACTGGTGAAAAACTAAATTCTTGGTGAAATTGTCTCAGAATTCTATTGATTTTAATGGTTATCCCGATGAGGTGGAAGTGCTGAGGTTCCGCCGGGCGCACGTTGGCGGTTACCTTTAACGTTGAGGGAGCGGCTGTCACACCGGGGGCAGTGGGGGTTCTTGGTCCTCCGTCCCGCCAGGACGTGCTCCACCAGTTTACAGTACATCTCAGGATGAGGGTCTCCACAGGTGGCGTTGGTGCTGATGTCGGCGTTGGAGGCCAGGTTCAGGATGGCGGGGAACAGGCCTGAGGGGAGGGGAGGAGGGGGGGGAGGGAGGAGGGGGAGGAGGGAGGAGGGGGAGGGGAGGGAGGAGGGAGGAGGGGAGGAGGGGGAGGGGGGGAGGAGGGAGGAGGGAGGAGGAGGAGGGGGGGAGGAGGGGGAGGAGGGGAGGAGGGAGGAGGGGGAGGAGGGGGGGGGGGAGGGAGGAGGGGGAGGGAGGAGGGGGAGGAGGGAGGAGGGAGGAGGGGGAGGAGGGGGGAGGAGGGAGGAGGGAGGAGGGGGAGGAGGGGGAGGAGGGAGGAGGGGGAGGAGGGGGAGGAGGGAGGAGGGAGGAGGGAGGAGGGGGAGGAGGGGGAGGAGGTAATTACACAGGTTTAGGACATGTGGGACAGAGAGTGATGACTGGTTTTGTGTGGACATGTTTCAGGTCAAAGTCAGTGGACCAAGGATTCTGATTGGTCGAGCTTTTTATGGCTCATATCTGGATTTACAAAGACAATACTAATAAACACCAGGATCAAAGAGTCGCTAAACCACAAATGACACAAACAGTTACTGAGCGAGAGGAGGTGAGGTTTCAATGTGAGTCCATAGGGGCCAGAGGGAGTCAGAGCAAAACCCTCCGAGCTCCGAGCTAGCGAGTTAGCTAGCGGGTCAGCGTTATCCATCTGTATACAGTCTATGCTTTAAAACAATAGAGGATTTCCAAATATTCATCTTTTGACCTGACGAGAAAGACTGACCTAAGGCTAATGTTCCAGTGTTAGCAGTGTTTTAAAGTCAGTATCTGTGTTTGTGTAAATGTGTTTTACTGCAGGGTTTTAAAGTTAAAGGTTGAACCTTGTTTTCCCTCAGCTCGGTCCTTCCAGAAGGTTCAGTGCAGTATCTTTGCTGGTTCTGTTTATAATACCCTGAGAGTGTGAAAACACACGGGCTGAGCCAAGCCGGGCCAGGCCCCTCTCTGAATACAACACTAAAGTCCAATTACTGTAACGACTCCTATGCTAACACACAACCTGCTCCAGGCTCTCCGTCAGACGCGGATCCGGCCCCTGACACTAAAGTCCCCTTACATCTGTGTAAAGAAGAGAGACTCGGGCCCCCTGCTGTCCCGGGGCCCCCTGTTAGCTCAGCTGTGTCATGGATGTGTGAAGACTCTGTGTGGTCTGCCTTTTGTTCTCTCTTAAAGCTGACTGTACTGGCCCCAGGGAGTCATGGAGGACAGTGGGGGACAGGGGGGGACACAAGGCTAATGACAGAGGCCAGTTCTATTATCTGGAGGGCGGGTTAGCCTTATCACAACAAACAGTTCCCACAATGCACCGGGGCGGTCGGAGGCACCTCTGTGGCCCCGTCTGAGGGCCCGAAGCCGCAGCAGAGAATTGGGATTAATTGGATAAAGTTTTTGGACTTGAGCAAAGGTCAAGGTTTAAGCTGCGGAAAATCACTGAGCTGAAGACGTGTCGTCAGGGAGACCGCTGTCCAATGAGAGGACAGAGATGAGACCGCTGTCCAATGAGAGGACAGAGAGGAGACCGCTGTCCAATGAGAGGACAGAGAGGAGACCGCTGTCCAATGAGAGGACAGAGAGGAGACCGCTGTCCAATGAGAGGACAGAGAGGAGACCGCTGTCCAATGAGAGGACAGAGAGGAGACCGCTGTCCAATGAGAGGACAGAGAGGAGACCGCTGTCCAATGAGAGGACAGAGAGGAGACTGCTGTCCAATGAGAGGACAGAGAGGAGACCGCTGTCCAATGAGAGGACAGAGAGGAGACCGCTGTCCAATGAGAGGACAGAGAGGAGACCGCTGTCCAATGAGAGGACAGAGAGGAGACCGCTGTCCAATGAGAGGACAGAGAGGAGACCGCTGTCCAATGAGAGGACAGAGAGGAGACCGCTGTCCAATGAGAGGACAGAGAGGAGACCGCTGTCCAATGAGAGGACAGAGAGGAGACCGCTGTCCAATGAGAGGACAGAGAGGAGACCGCTGTCCAATGAGAGGACAGAGAGGAGACCGCTGTCCAATGAGAGGACAGAGAGGAGACTGCTGTCCAATGAGAGGACAGAGAGGAGACTGCTGTCCAATGAGAGGACAGAGAGGAGACCACTGTCCAATGAGAGGACAGAGAGGAGACCGCTGTCCAATGAGAGGACAGAGAGGAGACCGCTGTCCAATGAGAGGACAGAGAGGAGACCGCTGTCCAATGAGAGGACAGAGAGGAGACCGCTGTCCAATGAGAGGACAGAGAGGAGACTGCTGTCCAATGAGAGGACAGAGAGGAGACCGCTGTCCAATGAGAGGACAGAGAGGAGACCGCTGTCCAATGAGAGGACAGAGAGGAGACTGCTGTCCAATGAGAGGACAGAGAGGAGACTGCTGTCCAATGAGAGGACAGAGGAGACTGCTGTCCAATGAGAGGACAGAGAGGAGACTGCTGTCCAATGAGAGGACAGAGGAGACCGCTGTCCAATGAGAGGACAGAGAGGAGACCGCTGTCCAATGAGAGGACAGAGAGGAGACTGCTGTCCAATGAGAGGACAGAGGAGACCGCTGTCCAATGAGAGGACAGAGGAGACCGCTGTCCAATGAGAGGACAGAGGAGACTGCTGTCCAATGAAAGGACAGACTGCTGTCCAATGAGAGGACAGAGGAGACTGCTGTCCAATGAAAGGACAGACTGCTGTCCAATGAGAGGACAGAGGAGACTGCTGTCCAATGAGAGGACAGAGAGGAGACTGCTGTCCAATGAGAGGACAGAGGAGACTGCTGTCCAATGAGAGGACAGAGAGGAGACTGCTGTCCAATGAGAGGACAGAGGAGAAACTCCTGTCCAATGAGAGGAGAGAGGAGAATTTATTGGAGGATGATTCCAAATTTTAGGAAAGACCCGCCCTCTCCACTGATTGGAGGAACACGTGACACCATAATGATTGACAGTTAAGAGGACCAATAGTCTGGATGATCCACCTGGAAGTAAAGTTTTTATTTTAAACCGATAATAACAAAAATATTACACCACTGACCAACATAAATATAACAAAAAACTCTATTTATTTAAATCTTGTAAAGTCTTTAACTTTAAAATATTGATAATTATCAATAAAAACATAGATCGAAGCCAATCAACCAAACGCAGATATCTCCATGATTATGTGATTCTTTGTAAATCTTTGTAAATCACCGGTAATTAAGATTAAGATTCTTTATTTGTCCCACAGAATCTACATTCTCTAGATTCAGCATAATAAAGAAGCAAGTCTAAAATCTAACTTTAGCATAATAATTAAAAGTGCATGATTCTTGTTAAGAATCAAAGAAGCTAAGTATCATTAATTTGACAATACAATTCAATCCCTTCTACTTTTGAGCTTTAAAAGGCACAAAACAAACACACTTTGTAGATAGTAGTGATGACTATTGATAATGCATATTCCAAGTATTAAGTAGTGATAAATATCTAAAGCTAGCTCCACATTGTCCACATTGTACACACCATGTGGACATGCGTCTGGCTTTGGCTCCTGATTGGATAAAATCATGGATACTCAGTGCTACTAGAAATAGCACTTGTTTTTGGTGCAAAGAAAACTAGATTAAGTGACTAAACTAACCAACCCGCACAGACCTCACACGTCCAGCCTTCACACAAAACATACAGCCCCTCTGCGTCACGATAATAATACTGTTATGTTTAATTTATGAAAGTGACTAACCTCTCTCTTGGGCCTGAGCCTCTAAAACCAGGAGCAGCAGCAGCAGCCTCATCTTCACCACAATCTGGGCCTGTTTTGAGTAAAAAGCATTGAAAAGGATGAGCAGGGCACTTCAAACCTGTGCAGAGCATGGACCAAGAGCCCGCAATAAATCACGGCTGGCTACTCTCAGGGGCTGGTGCCGAGCCAAAAGTGCACTGACAAAAGTTTGAGTCGATTGCAGGACTTGCTCACTTACTCGCGGGTCAGTCCTGGTTCCGGAGACTGGTCCGGTCCAAACCCCTGGTGTCTAAAGTCCTGGTGAGTCCGGGTGAGTCCTGGTGAATGCAGGGGAAGGTGGAATGTGTCGCTGAGCTCCTCTCCTGGAATCTGTCCTCACTCTTCTCAATGAGCCAGCCTTTATTCCATTCATTCAGAGTCTGTGGGGGTGTGGGGGGGGGAGGAGAGGGGTGGGGGGGGGGTTGGTGTGCCATGTGACTGGAGCCAGGAGAGAGAGAGGGGGGGTCCCATGGGTCATACCATCTGCACCAGGCCCCGGGGGAGGCTCTGCGACAGGTTTGGAGGAGGGAGTTTGAAGTGGCACCTGTGAGAATAAACACAGACAGTTTGATAAATGAAATAGTTTTTGACTGTCAGACTGTACAACAAACCTGTGCACTATTGTTTGTGAATTAGAAACGTTTATTGAGATGAGGAGATCCTGAGGAAATGTCAGTGTTGCACCTACAGTTAGAGACAGTAGAATGACACACCACAAGATAAATGAGTAATAACTTTGTACTAAAATACAATAACATTTTTAGCTTTAGCATAATAAAGAAGCATGTATAAAGTCCTGTGGATTCATGAAAAATATAGCTGTATATTTACATTAAAATACACAAACCAGCCTGATGCCCAGGGTTTAAACAACAGACAAATATATAATAATAAAGTAATGTACCGAACTGGAGACGACAGAAACAGAAAGAGGCTAAATGTAGATTATGATTACAGTGGGTCATGGAGAAGCAAAGCCCGCGAAACGTATCCCAAGGTAACACGCATGCGCACTAGTACAACTCTAATAAGTCCCTTACAAAGATAAAGATTATCTACATCGAATGGAATAAAACAGTCCCGTTTCAGAGATTTTAAACTTAAGAAGATTAACCAGGCCCCAAGAGTGAAGATTACTGGCAGTTGTTTTATGTTTATAAATCAAACTTTTGGGTCATTCAAATATAATAATAATTTTCATAACTGACACCGCCACCGTCTGGACAGCAGCATTATACAGATTTACTTAGGACAAGTATGAATCCTGGGTTTATCACATAATACTAAATAATAATATTACAATTAATCCATGGATTAATTGCATTAAAGTCTTGTTTTATGACAAACAAACTCACAACTTTTATCATCAACCTGCCGTTGATTCGTTTACCGGAACGTTCGTCCTGCTCTGCTGGTTCCTACCCGGAAGTTTTTAAAAACACACAGAAAAAAACATGGCAGCCAACATTGAACACATTTTCCAAGATTTTATTTTGAACAAAATCAAAGAAATTGAAGAACAAAAGGAGGAACACACGTGGGTTACGGAGTTATTTATTAACTATTACATTATTGTAACGAACTGATGTGAAAATAGATGTGGATATAGATGTAAAATTAAATGTGAACGGATACGAACACTGTGGCTCTGAATGAATCCGAATGCGTTGTTAGTGTCTAGAGCTGTGTAACGACCGCTGCAGTTCGTGGTATTTTACATTAGCTATCACTGCATGATTCGTTTAGGGTCAGATTATTGACTCACCAATAACAGATCAGAGAATCAAGAGGAACGAGATGTCTTTTAATGTCCTGGATCATCCTTTTCTTCAGACCCTCCTGCATCAGTTACAATCAGAAACCTATGGGGAGGCTGATACTGAGGCTGTAGACCCACGACTGAGGCTGTAGACCCAGGACTGAGGCTGTAGACCCAGGACTGAGACTGTAGACCCAGGACTGAGGCTGTAGACCCAGGACTGAGACTGTAGACCCACGACTGAGGCTGTAGACCCACGACTGAGGCTGTAGACCCACGACTGAGGCTGTAGACCCACGACTGAGGCTGTAGACCCAGGACTGAGGCTGTAGACCCAGGACTGAGGCTGTAGACCCAGGACTGAGGCTGTAGACCCAGGACTGAGGCTGTAGACCCAGGACTGAGGCTGTAGACCCAGGACTGAGGCTGTAGACCCAGGACTGAGGCTGTAGACCCAGGACTGAGGCTGTAGATCCAGGACTGAGGCTGTAGACCCAGGACTGAGGCTGTAGACCCAGGACTGAGGCTGTAGACCCAGGACTGAGGCTGTAGACCCAGGGCTGAGGCTGTAGACCCAGGACTGAGGCTGTAGACCCAGGACTGAGGCTGTAGACCCAGGACTGAGGCTGTAGATCCAGGACTGAGGCTGTAGATCCAGGACTGAGGCTGTAGACCCAGGACTGAGGCTGTAGACCCAGGACTGAGGCTGTAGACCCAGGACTGAGGCTGTAGACCCAGGACTGAGGCTGTAGACCCAGGGCTGAGGCTGTAGATCCAGGACTGAGGCTGTAGACCCAGGACTGAGACTGTAGACCCAGGACTGAGGCTGTAGATCCAGGACTGAGGCTGTAGACCCAGGACTGAGGCTGTAGACCCAGGACTGAGGCTGTAGATCCAGGACTGAGGCTGTAGATCCAGGACTGAGGCTGTAGATCCACGACTGAGGCTGTAGACCCAGGACTGAGGCTGTAGACCCAGGACTGAGGCTGTAGACCCAGGACTGAGGCTGTAGATCCAGGACTGAGGCTGTAGACCCAGGACTGAGACTGTAGACCCAGGACTGAGGCTGTAGACGCAGGGCTGAGGCTGTAGACCCAGGACTGAAGCTGTAGACCCAGGACTGAGGCTGTAGACCCAGGACTGAGGCTGTAGACCCAGGACTGAGGCTGTAGACCCAGGACTGAGGCTGTAGACCCAGGACTGAGGCTGTAGACCCACGACTGAGGCTGTAGACCCACGACTGAGGCTGTAGACCCACGACTGAGACTGTAGACCCACGACTGAGGCTGTAGACCCAGGACTGAGGCTGTAGACCCAGGGCTGAGGCTGTAGACCCAGGGCTGAGGCTGTAGACCCAGGACTGAGGCTGTAGACCCAGGGCTGAGGCTGTAGATCCAGGACTGAGGCTGTAGCTACAGGACTGAGGCTGTAGACCCAGGACTGAGACTGTAGACCCACGACTGAGGCTGTAGACCCACGACTGAGACTGTAGACCCAGGACTGAGACTGTAGACCCAGGGCTGAGGCTGTAGATCCAGGACTGAGCCTGTAGACCCAGGACTGAGACTGTAGACCCAGGACTGAGGCTGTAGATCCAGGACTGAGGCTGTAGACCCAGGACTGAGGCTGTAGACCCAGGACTGAGGCTGTAGATCCAGGACTGAGGCTGTAGACCCAGGACTGAGGCTGTAGACCCAGGACTGAGGCTGTAGACCCAGGGCTGAGGCTGTAGACCCAGGACTGAGGCTGTAGACCCAGGACTGAGGCTGTAGACCCAGGACTGAGGCTGTAGACCCAGGACTGAGGCTGTAGACCCAGGACTGAGGCTGTAGATCCAGGACTGAGGCTGTAGATCCAGGACTGAGGCTGTAGACCCAGGACTGAGGCTGTAGACCCAGGACTGAGGCTGTAGACCCAGGACTGAGGCTGTAGACCCAGGACTGAGGCTGTAGACCCAGGACTGAGGCTGTAGACCCAGGACTGAGGCTGTAGATCCAGGACTGAGGCTGTAGACCCAGGACTGAGGCTGTAGACCCTGGACTGAGGCTGTAGACCCAGGACTGAGGCTGTAGACCCAGGACTGAGGCTGTAGACCCAGGACTGAGGCTGTAGATCCAGGACTGAGGCTGTAGACCCACGACTGAGGCTGTAGACCCAGGACTGAGGCTGTAGACCCAGGACTGAGGCTGTAGACCCAGGACTGAGGCTGTAGACCCAGGACTGAGGCTGTAGATCCAGGACTGAGGCTGTAGACCCAGGACTGAGGCTGTAGACCCAGGCTGAGGCTGTAGATCCAGGACTGAGGCTGTAGACCCAGGACTGAGGCTGTAGATCCAGGACTGAGGCTGTAGACCCAGGACTGAGGCTGTAGACCCAGGACTGAGGCTGTAGATCCAGGACTGAGGCTGTAGATCCAGGACTGAGGCTGTAGACCCAGGACTGAGGCTGTAGACCCACGGCTGAGGCTGAAGACCCAGGACTGAGGCTGTAGATCCAGGACTGAGGCTGTAGACCCAGGACTGAGGCTGTAGACCCAGGACTGAGGCTGTAGATCCAGGACTGAGGCTGTAGACCCAGGACTGAGGCTGTAGACCCAGGACTGAGGCTGTAGACCCAGGACTGAGGCTGTAGACCCAGGACTGAGGCTGTAGACCCAGGACTGAGACTGTAGACCCAGGACTGAGGCTGTAGACCCAGGACTGAGGCTGTAGACCCACGGCTGAGGCTGTAGACCCACGGCTGAGGCTGTAGACCCAGGACTGAGGCTGTAGATCCAGGACTGAGGCTGTAGACCCACGGCTGAGGCTGAAGACCCAGGACTGTGCTAAACACATTTAATCCTACTTTAATACATTAGATGAAGTTGTTTTCTGTCTCAGGGCGGTTGTGGTGGAGAGTCTCCCTGAAACTTGCCCACAAAAGAGCAGCTCTCCCGAAAAAGCCGACAAACGTCCACGCAGCTCCAGTCCGCACAAAAAACACAAAAAAAGCAAGAAACACAAGAGCAAGAAGAAGAAGAAGAGCAAAGGGAAGGAGCGAGACAGCAGCGACTATGAGGACAGCAGCGGTAAACGTCGGCAGGACAGGTACGCGTGACGCCGACCCGGTCTGAGGCTTGTTTGGGATGAACTCCGGCTGTGCTCCTTTGACTGGGCTAGGTCTGGCACCGCGGGGGGCTCGGCAGTGACCCTGACACTGCTCTTTGACCCTGTATCTGGAAGCCCTTAAACATAGAAATAGAACAAATCTTTTGCTGCATGTGCCTCCAGCTGTAGACTGAGTGGAGACGAACATAGTCCTTTCAAAGATGTACAGGAACGATGCAGGAGCTGGAAACACAAAACTTTGGCTTTTAGAGTTTTTAGCATCGTGACCAAAGACCAAAGTTTATATACAACCCTAAGACTCACATTATCACAATAACTCTGAGGCAAACACTAATTTAGTTTCCACTCATTTATCAATCTGGTTTGACAATAGTTAATGAACCCGGTTAAAAAGTCAGACAACTGCCTCAATCAAATTAACGAGGTTAGAAACATTCCAGAAGAATATGAGAGAGATTTCCCTCTGGGGCGCTCTTTGAGATAAAGATTCAGAGTTGAGTTATTCTCGGCGCCAAAGACTTGAGATGACAGAGTGTGACATCACCGACTGTGTTTGGATGAAACTCCATCGTGTAGAAGCTCCAGTAAGACCTGGTTGGTCGTTGTTGTTTGTATTACAGTGGTCCTTCGGTTATTCTCGGGTTTCGTTCTAAAAACAAGACACAGTAAGAAACTCTTTGAAGGAACATCTCTGTTTAAATACTGTAAAGCCCTCACACTTCAAACACTTTACTAAGATCTGAACTCACGGCTGCTGAAGTGAGACGGACCAGAGATATCAAACCTGTTGTAGGTCTGAGCTGCTGCAGCTGTAAAAAGCCATGCATACATTGTAAGAACAGCTGCAGAGGACACAGAGGAGCAGGACTGGGCCACGGGAAGCCTGCAGTACTCCACAACAGTTTCATCTTTTCTTACTAGATTTTAGATAACTGCAATAGAAGAAGATATACTTTATAATAAACTAGGGCTGGGCGATATGGCAAAAAAGTAAAATCTCAATTTTATTTCCTGCTTTGGACGATTTCGATTTTCATTAAAGTCAACGAAGACAGACTTTGCCTTTAAAAATATGTTTTGATCTTTCAGCTCAATATTCAAGTTTCAAAAGTATTTTTAATTTGTTTCCCCAATAGGTATTATAAAAGTATAGAACAGACTGTGCTGATATTGCAAGTATAATTCATGTGCTGCTGGAACAATATGCTTCATTCGATTTCACAATTTTCACATTTTTCACAAATTCGATTTTTTCAAAAGCCGATTAATTGCCAAAATTCGATTTATTGCCAGCCCTATGATAAACTATTTAAAGTAAAAGATGGGGTTGGATTCAACAGGAAATACAAACATCTTAAACAGCGAGACACACTTTTACAGTGAGGGACCACTGTACTTGTTTCACAATGACATAAATAATAACTGGATCTTTACAAAAACATGTGAATACTAAAGGACCCCCCACAGTCGGTGTCCGCTCTGTCCTCTGGGGAACCCTCTCCAACTCGCTCCTTTTTTACAGTCTGTGGTCAGCAGAGTCCATGGAGGGGCCGTGGAGGGGCCGTGGAGGGTCCATGGAGGGGCCGTGCAGGGGCCGTGGAGGGGCCGTGCAGGGGCCGTGGAGGGTCCATGGAGGGGCCGTGGAGGGTCCAGGCGGCGCTCAGTTCATCTCAAACAAGCCTTTTACTCTGCGATAGGAGCTGGCGACACACGGAGACCCGGACCCAAAGCCAGTCTGCTCCAGGACTCAAAGACACGCCCGAACCCGGCCTAAAGGTGCTCTGTGTAACTCTGTGACGGGGGGCCGCCCTCTGCTGTCTGGGGGAGAGGTTACTGACTCTTTTAAAAACATACAGTAACCTCTCCTTGGAGACCATCAGGCGTCGGACCCCCACCAGAGGAGGTTACACGGCGCACCTCCACATAATCCACTCTTTATTCTCCAGTTCCAAAGCCTTCTTCAGATCTATGCAAATACTATTCATTATTATTATATTTCATCATTTTACTGCCATGTGTTAAAGCTGGGGTACTTAACATTCAACAGTTTATCAATAGTTTTCACACCACCCTCTCTCGGCCAATCAGCTCTCAGCCCAAAGAGTCCAATAGTGACTCTCCGGGATCTCACTTTCACATATGCAAAAAGATACATACCCCAGCTTTAAATAACATCCATCCCATGTCTTTACAAATAGGGCATTTCTAGTCTCAGTGAACAAAGTGTTTTGGTAAAACTTGTTCTGAGGTCTTTGAATCTTCAATGTTTCATTTTTTTTTTGTTTTTTCAGGTCAAAAGAAGAAAGGAGCAGTAAAGAGAAAGGTTTGAAATGTCTTTTTTAGCCGACAGGATTTGGCTCAAACTTGAACTGGTTTAACACTCGAACTCCCAAAATAAAGTCTTCCACCAGATTAAATATAAGTGAGTGATTTCTAAACGTTTTAGCTTAGTGGAAAAACTCTCCTCTGCACCTTCTCCACCGACTCCCACTGATGACTGCTGTCGTTGTGTCCTTGGGCAAGACACTTAACCCCACTTTGCCCAAAGCCCCCACTGAAAGATCAAGGCTATGCTCACACTCAGAGAGCAGCCGTCCTCCTGTGGACTCACCACCTGCAGAGGGTCAGTGAGGGGCTGGTGCTATGAGACCTGGGTGGCATCTCTGACTGCCACCCCCCTGACCCAGAAATGGATTAAAGGGTAGAAAATGGATGGATGGATGGAAAAACTGGTGAATCTAACTTGAAATACAGAAAAATAACGTGTTGCTACGGTAACTAGCATTTCTTTGGTTAAAGAGAGACTAAACACCTGTGCCCAGCCTGACTCCGGACCAAAGGACAAGAAGGCGGGGCTTAGAGTTGGGCGTGGTCTGGGCTGTGATTGACACCAACTGACGTCACACACACCAACTGACGTCACACACACCAACTGACGTCACACACACCAACTGACGTCACACACACCAACTGACGTCACACACACCAACTGACGTCACACACACCAACTGACGTCACACACACCAACTGACGTCACACACACCAACTGATGTCACACACACACCAACTGACGTCACACACACACCAACTGACGTCACACACACCAACTGACGTCACACACACCAACTGACACACAACAACTGACATCACACACACCAACTGACATCACACAACAACTGACATTACACTAACCAACTGACGTCACACACACCAACTGACGTCACACACACACCAACTGACGTCACACACACCAACTGACACACAACAACTGACATCACACACACCAACTGACATCACACAACAACTGACATCACACAACAACTGACATCACACTAACCAACTGATGTCACACACACCAACTGACATCACACACACCAACTGACGTCACACACACCAACTGACATCACACACACCAACTGACGTCACACACCAACTGACACACACACCAACTGACGTCACACCAACTGACGTCACACACACCAACTGACACACAACAACTGACATCACACACACCAACTGACATCACACAACAACTGACATCACACTAACCAACTGACGTCACACACACCAACTGACGTCACACACACCAACTGACGTCACACACCAACTGACACACACACCAACTGACGTCACACACACCAACTGACGTCACACACACAAACTGACACACAACAACTGACATCACACTAACCAATAGACGTCACACACACCAACTGACGTAACACACACCAACTGACGTCACACACACCAACTGACATCACACTAACCAATAGACGTCACACACACCAACTGACGTCACACACACCAACTGACGTCACACACCAACTGACGTCACACACACCAACTGACGTCACACACACCAACTGACATCACACACACCAACTGACGTCACACACCAACTGACGTCACACCAACTGACGTCACACACACACCAACTGACGTCACACACACCAACTGACGTCGCACACACACCAACTGACATCACACACACCAACTGACGTCACACACCAACTGACGTCACACACCAGCTGACGTCACACCAACTGACGTCACACACACACCAACTGACATCACACACCAACTGACGTCACACCAACTGACGTCACACACACACCAACTGACGTCACACACACCAACTGACACACACACCAACTGACGTCACACACACCAACTTACGTCACACACACACACTGACGTCACACACACCAACTGACGTCACACACACACCAACTGACGTCACACACACCAACTGACATCACACACACCAACTGACATCACACACACCAACTGACGACACACACACCAACTGACGTCACACACACCAACTGACGTCACACACACCAACTGACGTCACACACACCAACTGACGTCACACACACCAACTGACGTCACACACACCAACTGACGTCACACACACCAACTGACGTCACACACACCAACTGACGTCACACACACACCAACTGACGTCACACACACACCAACTGACGACACACACACCAACTGACGTCACACACACCAACTGACGTCACACAGAATTACAGCCAATGGAGAGGCCAGGACCAAATTCAAATGTAGTACCACTGAAAAGACGTTTTTAGGCTCAAAAGTGAGATTTTATCTAATTTGAACTAAAATGTCAAAAAAATGACCAGGATATGTAGAGAGCACTACAATAAACATATTTATGCAGTTTATGAGTTTAGTCGCTCTTTAAAATCAAGCTGAACCAGTCCGGACCCAAAATGGCGGTCTTTGAGATCAAGTGAAAAGAGCAGTAAATCTGAAACATACGGACATTTAATAAACTTAGAATCCCTCAACTACTGTGGAAGTTCTGTGGGGGTTCTGTGGGAGTTCTGTGGGAGTTCTGTGGGAGTTCTGTGGGGGTTCTGTGGGGGTTCTGTGGGAGTTCTGTGGGAGTTCTGTGGGAGTTCTGTGGGAGTTCTGTGGGGGTTCTGTGGGAGTTCTGTGGGAGTTCTGTGGGAGTTCTGTGGGAGTTCTGTGGGAGTTCTGTGGGGGTTCTGTGGGGGTTCTGTGGGAGTTCTGTGGGAGTTCTGTGGGAGTTCTGTGGGAGTTCTGTGGGAGTTCTGTGGGAGTTCTGTGGGGGTTCTGTGGGAGTTCTGTGGGAGTTCTGTGGGGGTTCTGTGGGAGTTCTGTGGGAGTTCTGTGGGGGTTCTGTGGGAGTTCTGTGGGAGTTCTGTGGGAGTTCTGTGGGAGTTCTGTGGGAGTTCTGTGGGAGTTCTGTGGGAGTTCTGTGGGGGTTCTGTGGGGGTTCTGTGGGAGTTCTGTGGGAGTTCTGTGGGGGTTCTGTGGGAGTTCTGTGGGAGTTCTGTGGGAGTTCTGTGGGAGTTCTGTGGGAGTTCTGTGGGGGTTCTGTGGGAGTTCTGTGGGGGTTCTAGTGTGAAGTTCATAAATATGTTTTTGTCCAAACACGCGTGTGCTTCGGTGCAGAGCGCACGTCCAGCAGCCACGACCGCAGGAAGAGGAGGAGGAAGAGGAGGAGCCAGGACAGAGGCGCCTCCGATTCTGGGGACGAAGACCGCAAAGACCAGAGCAATGGCCCCAATCCCCAACTGCCCGACATCGTCCCCAAACAGGTGACCCACATGGTTCCACATAGTCCCCAAACAGGTGACCCACATGGTTCCACATGGTCCCACATCGTCTCCAAACAGGTGACCCGCATCGTCCCACATAGTCCCACATTGTCCCCAAACAGGTGACCCGCATCGTCCCACATAGTCCCACATTGTCCCCAAACAGGTGACCTGGAGTCTTTCGATCCACACACGCAAACATCTGGAACTTCTGGTTCTTGGTCCAAAAGTGGTTCTTTGTCTAAAAGTGGCTCCTTGTCCAACAGTGGGTTCTTGGTCCTCTTGGTCCCAGATGCTGTCTGAGGGGACTACATGTTTTTGGACATTAGTTTAGTCGCTGTGGACTTTAGAATGAATCGTTAAATGAATGGGGCTCATGCAGCTGACGCACAAATGTGTTTTTTCACTGCGGCCATTTTGAAAATGCCACAGAGCCAAAGTAGCTACTGTTAGCTTCATTGAAACTGTAGCTACTGTTAGCTTCATTTAAACAGTAGCTACTGTTAGCTTCATTGAAACTGTAGCTACTGTTAGCTTCATTTAAACAGTAGCTACTGTTAGCTTCATTTAAACAGTAGCTACTGTTAGCTTCATTTAAACAGTAGCTACTGTTAGCTTCATTTAAACAGTAGTTACTGTTAGCTTCATTTAAACAGTAGCTACTGTTAGCTTCATTTAAACAGTAGCTACTGTTAGCTTCATTGAAACTGTAGCTACTGTTAGCTTCATTTAAACAGTAGCTACTGTTAGCTTCATTTAAACAGTAGCTACTGTTAGCTTCATTTAAACAGTAGCTACTGTTAGCTTCATTTAAACAGTAGCTACTGTTAGCTTCATTTAAACAGTAGCTACTGTTAGCTTCATTTAAACAGTAGCTACTGTTAGCTTCATTTAAACAGTAGCTACTGTTAGCTTCATTGAAACTGTAGCTACTGTTAGCTTCATTTAAACTGTAGCTACTGTTAGCTTCATTTAAACAGTAGCTACTGTTAGCTTCATTTAAACTGTAGCTACTGTTAGCTTCATTGAAACAGTAGCTACTGTTAGCTTCATTGAAACAGTAGCTTCTCGGTCAGTAACAGTTCGTTTCACACGCTGTCTGTGGTTCAGTGTCTGATCCTGGGGATTATCTTTTGACTTAAATAAACAAAAGAAAACCATTCCTCCCTCTGGTGGTAGCATAGGGAGCTACAGGCCAGTAGCATTTTACCTTTCACTGTGTTTTCTACTGAAGATATTATTGCACATTCTAAAACATAAAATTACAAAGTTGTCAAAAATAACAATCTACTTTTAAACATATTATTTTCTCCAGGAAAGCACCAGTAAGAGCAGCAGGAAGTCCTCACACAGGAAGACCCGCTCCCGGACCAGGTCCAGGTCCAGGTCTCGCTCCTCTGCCCTGAGGACCACAACCGGGGACCACAGGAAGGCCAGGACCAGGTCCAGGACCAGGTCCAGATCCAGGTCCAGATCCAGGTCCAGATCCAGATTCAGGTATTAGATCCAGCAAGAAATGAGATTGTTGGACCTTCATGAAAGAACATTTTGGCACTAGTATTTATATAGTATTTATATCTGTGTTTATATAGTATTTATATCAGTATTCATATAGTATTTATATCTGTGTTTATATAGTATTTATATCAGTATTTAAATAGTATTTATATAGTATTTCTATCAGTATTCATATAGTATTTATATCAGTATTTATTCTATAGTTATGTAAAGAAAGGTTTTAAAGCTTTTTTCTTTCTGTTTTTCAAAACAAAAATCTGGTGAAAGTATGTTTTAAACGACTTTGGGCTGAGAGGATTCAGATCCAGAACACAGAGGATGCTGGGAGGTTTATTTGGGGCGAAAGGTCCAAATGAGTTCACTCTGCAGAGATGCTGGGTCACTCAAGAGGAGCTCGGAGTAGAGCTACTTCTCACCGGACAGAAAGCCTATAAATCTATTTAAAGTGGATTGTTTGGTGCAGATCGGTGGAGAAGAAGCCCCTCTCCAGTGATGGGCCTGTCCCAGCTCAGGCCTCCCCCACTGGGCCTGCGAGTGCCCAGGCCACGCCCATGTTTGCCCCCGTGTTCACGCCACTGGCCACGCCCCAGGACTTGGCCCCGGTCCCGCCCCAGGACTTGGCCCAGTTCCCGCCCACAGTCACTGCCCAAGTCTCACCCGTGGTCACAGCTCAGGACACACCACAAGACACGGCCACAGTGATGACCGCAGCCACTGCCAACACCACGTCTGAGGTCACAGCCACGGACACGCCCCAGGACACGCCCCGGGACACGCCCCGGGACACGCCCCGGGACACGCCCCAAGACACGCCCCGGGACACGCCCCAGGACACGCCCCGGGACATGCCCCAAGACACGCCCCAGGACACGCCCGTGGTCATTGCCCAGGATATGCCCCAGGACAAGGCCGTGGTCACAGCCCAGGTCCCCACAGAGGAGCACACGGAGCAGGACCTTGCCACGGGACGGCCAGACCCGGAGCCGATCCCGTCTGAGACCAGAGAGAAGACTGCAGAGAAAACACAGGAGACCCTGAAAACTGAAGGTACGTTGTACGTCTTTGAGTTGGAGCTGTGAAAACACATTGTAATGTTTTTTATTTTTCAGGGAAAAGTAAATCTCAATCAGCCTCTGTCAAGTCCAAGTCCGACACAAAAAGCAAAAGCTCTCGCACAACGTCTGCTGCCTCGCCCTCAAAGCACCGGAGGACGAGCCGATCCCCGCACAAGAAGCGGGAGCACAAGGCCTCGCGGAGAGCCCGGTCCAAGAGCCGGTCCAAGAGCCGGTCCAAGAGCAGGTCTCCCGGCCGGAGGTCACCTGGGTGCAGGTCACCTGGGCGCAAGTCCCCCGGGCGCAGGTCCCCCGGGCGCAGGTCACCAGGGCGCAGGTCTCCCGGACGCAGGTCTCCCAGCCGCAGGAGGCGCTCCCGAAGCCGGAGTGCGAGGAGGAAGAGGTCCCGGTCCAGGTAACAGTGGACTTGAGCTGGGACTGTGTGGACTGTGGGTTCTGTCCGTGGTGCTGAATGAATGACAAAGCAGAGATCTTTTAGTATAAAGTATGAGGTAGCATGTTATTCCATAGCAGCTTACTGTTCCTGGTCCTCTCGGTCTCACTGTGGTCTCTGCTCGTGCAGGTCTCGGGCTCGCAAGTCTCGGCGCTCTCGGAGCCACTCGGCGTCGAAGGAGCAGCGTCAGAGGAACCCCTACAGTCAGAGGGACCGCTGGAGGAGGGAGCCCAGCCGCTCCCCCGTCCTCATCCTGCGCAAGAACCGCACCTCCCCCTCGGGCCGCGAGCGAGGAGGCTCCAGCAGCCCGCACCGCATCAGCGACCTGGGTCAGCCACACTCACTTTGACTGCAGTAAAACCTATTGGAATAATTGTGCACAGACAGTACAGACTGGACCTGTTGGTAGAACATGTGGAGGCAGCTGTAGGAGTTTCTGTGCTAAACAAATAAACTTGTGTTCAGACAAGGGCCAGCTCCTGGAGATCGCCAAAGCCAACGCCGCTGCCATGTGTGTGAAGGCCGGGATGGCCGTGCCCTCCAGCCTCCGCTCCACCGCCGCCCCCATGGGCCTCCCTGTGGCTCTGAACCCGGCTATGGCCAGTATGACCGCAGGTGAGCTACTGCTGCTGCTACTGCTGCTACTGCTGCTACTGCTGCTGCTACTACTGCTACTGCTGCTGCTGCTACTGCTGCTGCTGCTGCTGCTACTGCTGCTACTGCTGCTGCTACTACTGCTACTGCTGCTGCTGCTACTGCTGCTACTGCTGCTGCTACTACTGCTACTGCTGCTGCTGCTACTGCTGCTACTGCTGCTGCTACTGCTGCTGCTGCTACTGCTACTGCTGCTGCTGCTACTGCTGCTACTGCTCTACTGATACTGCTACTGCTACTGCTGCTACTGCTGCTGCTGCTACTACTGCTACTGCTGCTACTGCTGCTACTGCTGCTGCTACTGCTGCTGCTGCTGCTACTGCTGCTGCTACTGCTGCTGCTACTGCTGCTGCTACTGCTGCTGCTACTGCTGCTACTGCTGCTACTGCTGCTGCTACTGCTGCTACTACTGCTACTGCTGCTGCTGCTACTGCTGCTGCTACTGCTGTGCGATGGTTTAAAGAGGTTGTGAGACACTGCTCTGTGGTTGTGCCGCAGCCTCCATGACCGCCACCCTCTCCCTGCTGCCCTCCCTGAACTGCCCGCCCTCCTCTGGCGCCGGCTCGCTCAGCTCGGCTCTGGAGGAGGTGAAGAAGACGGTCCAGAAACAGGCCAACATCATCAGCATCAAGGAGTTCACAGAAGTAAGTGCACCATTAGTGTCATCCAGCCAGCTTCAGCTCCACCTGTATCAGAGGTGTACGACTCATTGTGGTCACGGGCCGAATAAAAATAAATAGGAACTAGTCGGGTCCGAAAGATCGATCTGTGTAAAAACCGCAGCAAAATAGAAAAATAACAATTATAAAACACCAAACAACAGCGTTTGGTTCTGAGCGTGTGGTCCTCAGCGTGTGGTCCTCAGCGTGTGGTTCTGAGCGTGTGGTTCTGAGCGTGTGGTTCTGAGCGTGTGGTCCTCAACGTGTGGTTCTGAGCGTGTGGTTCTGAGCGTGTGGTTCTGAGCGTGTGGTTCTGAGCGTGTGGTCCTCAACGTGTGGTTCTGAGCGTGTGGTTCTGACCGTGTGGTCCTCAGCGTGTGGTTCTGAGCGTGTGGTTCTGAGCGTGTGGTTCTGAGCGTGTGGTTCTGAGCGTGTGGTTCTGAGCGTGTGGTTCTGAGCGTGTGGTTCTGACCGTGTGGTTCTGAGCGTGTGGTTCTGACCGTGTGGTACTGAGCGTGTGGTACTGAGCGTGTGGTTCTGACCGTGTGGTTCTGACCGTGTGGTTCTCAGCGTGTGGTTCTGACCGTGTGGTTCTGACCGTGTGGTTCTGAGCGTGTGGTTCTGACCGTGTGGTTCTGAGCGTGTGGTTCTGAGCGTGTGGTTCTGAGCGTGTGGTTCTGAGCGTGTGGTCCTCAGCGTGTGGTTCTGAGCGTGTGGTTCTGAGCGTGTGGTTCTGAGCGTGTGGTTCTGAGCGTGTGGTTCTGACCGTGTGGTTCTGAGCGTGTGGTTCTGACCGTGTGGTACTGAGCGTGTGGACTGAGCGTGTGTTTCTGACCGTGTGGTTCTGACCGTGTGGTCCTCAGCGTGTGGTTCTGACCGTGTGGTTCTGACCGTGTGGTTCTGACCGTGTGGTTCTGAGCGTGTGGTTCTGACCGCGTGGTTCTGACCGTGTGGTTCTGACCGTGTGGTTCTGAGCGTGTGGTTCTGAGCGTGTGGTTCTGAGCGTGTGGTTCTGAGCGTGTGGTTCTGACCGTGTGGTCCTCAGCGTGTGGTTCTGAGCGTGTGGTTCTCAGCGTGTGGTTCTGACCGTGTGGTTCTGACCGTGTGGTTCTGAGCGTGTGGTTCTGAGCGTGTGGTTCTGACCGTGTGGTTCTCAGCGTGTGGTTCTGAGCGTGTGGTCCTCAGCGTGTGGTTCTGACCGTGTGGTTCTGACCGTGTGGTTCTGACCGCGTGGTTCTGCGTGTGGTTCTGACCGTGTGGTTCTGACCGCGTGGTTCTGACCGTGTGGTTCTGTGTGCGTTGCAGAAGTGTAAGATGATCGTGGACAGTAAAGGAGAGCTCCCCGTGGCTGCTCCACACGTCTCCGATGAAGAGGACGAAGCCAAACCGTTCGGAGCCGCGGCGCTCAAAGAGCTGAAGGCCATTCGCTTCAGCCTCACGGTGAGACCAGACCACAGACCAGACCAGACCAGAGACCAGACCAGAGACCAGACCAGACCAGAGACCAGACCAGACCAGAGACCAGACCAGACCAGAGACCAGACCAGAGACCAGACCACAGACCAGACCAGACCAGAGACCAGACCAGACCAGAGACCAGACCAGACCACAGACCAGACCAGACCACAGACCAGACCACAGACCAGACCAGAGACCAGACCAGACCCCAGACCAGACCAGACCAGACCAGAGACCAGACCAGACCACAGACCAGACCAGACCAGAGACCAGACCAGACCAGACCAGACCAGACCAGACCACAGACCAGACCAGAGACCAGACCAGACCCCAGACCAGACCAGACCACAGACCAGACCAGAGACCAGACCAGACCCAGACCAGACCACAGACCAGACCCCAGACCAGACCACAGACCAGACCACAGACCAGACCCAGACCACAGACCGGGACCAGTCCAGACCCCAGACCAGACCACAGACCAGACCAGAGACCAGACCAGACCAGACCACAGACCAGACCAGAGACCAGACCAGACCACAGACCAGAGACCAGACCACAGACCAGACCAGACCACAGACCAGACCAGACCAGAGACCAGACCAGAGACCAGACCAGACCACAGACCAGACCACAGACCAGACCACAGACCAGACCACAGACCAGACCACAGACCAGACCACAGACCAGACCACAGACCAGAGACCAGACCACAGACCAGACCAGACAGACCAGACCAGACCACAGACCAGACCAGAGACCAGACCAGACCACAGACCACAGACCAGACCACAGACCAGACCACAGACCAGACCACAGACCAGTGCCTTCCTGTGCATTTCCAACTGTGTTTCCTCGTCCCGTCAGAGCGTCCCGGTGCGGCCGGCGGCTCGAAGCGACGCAGGCATCGCCAAAGAGTTCCCCGTGTCGTCGGGATCTCAGCACCGTAAAAAGGTTCCACAGATATAATCTCCTGAACTGGATGTTACGGCTGAAAGTCTCTGGAGTCACTCGTGTGTTCTTGTCGTTCCCATTTCCGCAGGAGGGCGAGGGGCCGAGCGCCTACGGAGAATGGGTCCCAGTGGAAAAGGGCGGCGAGAAAAACACGGCGAACAACAAGAAAAGCTCTGCACCGTCCAAGTCCTCCACAGACGGCGCTGCGGAGGCGGAGCCTGAGCCGGAGCCAAAACCCGCCGCAGAAAGCGACAGTGTGTTCCCAGAACCCCCTCTGCAGGTAGAGTTGGAATGAAAACCTGCAGCCTGGCTCCTGGAGGCTGTGTACACATGTCAGGAGCATAAAGACTGGAAACATGAACAATATAGATATACTTTAGTAACGCCGTGTACAGGGCTTACGGGAACACGGTTACATAAGTTTGACGCACACATTATTGACGTCACGTATAATCGTTAGAGAAATCAGCCTTAACGAAACACAGTTCCTCCAAACATTCAGATGAAGCTAACGTTTCTAGCTTCCCTCTCTTGACTCTGGTGCAGCCCGTGGACATCTCCCAAGCAGTGGGTGAGAGGCTCAAAGCCCAGAAGAGACTGGCTGAGAACCCGTACGACGTGAGCGCCATGTGCATGCTGAACCGTGCACAGGAGCAGGTGGACGCCTGGGCGCAGTCCAACACGGTCCCAGGACTCTTCACAGGATCCACAGGGGCTCAGGTCCTCAGCTCCGAAGAACTCTCCTCCAACGGACCTCAGGCCTGGCTCAAGAAGGTGAGAACCTCAACTATCGTCTCCAAGAGAATTTAAAACCTTTTAGTTTTGGAAGTGTGAGGACTTTTCTGTGTTCTTATGTAAAATATGTCATTGTCTTTTCCTTTTGCAGTGTGAGGAGTTCTACCAGAGAATGTCAAGTGCTAGTTACCATAGCAACACACTGTTTACTGCCTGAAGTTAGCATTAGTCTGTTTTCTGTATTGTACTTTGTTAGAATGACCAGTTTTAGAACTTATTAAAATTCTTATCATTTACTTCCTTTCATTGAGTCTGGAGAATGAAGTCCATACATGTCTGGAGTGTTCGGTCCAAACGGGTTCTTTGTGTCCAGGACCAGTTCCTGAGGGCGGCTCCAGTGTCGGGGGGCGTGGGGGAGTTCCTGATGAGGAAGATGGGCTGGAGGACGGGGGAGGGGCTGGGGAGGAACCGCGAGGGCACCGTGGAACCAATCATCATCGACTTCAAGGTGGACCGCAAAGGTACGACACACATACACACACAGAGAGACACGCACACACATATACACACACACACACACATAGACACACATATACACAGATACACACGGAGAGAGACACACACACAGAGACACACACACAGAGAGACGCACACATACACAAATACACACATGCACACAGCAACACACACAGATAGACAGACACGCACACAGAGACACACACACAGCAACACACACACACACACACACACAGTGACACACACAGAGACACTCACACAGCCATACACACACATACAGAGACACACTCACACAGCGACACACACACAGCGACACACACAGCGAAACACACAGAGACACACTCACACAGTGACACACACAGAGACACACACACACACAGACATACAGACACATTCACACAGTGACACACACAGAGACACACACACACAGTGACACACACACAGTGACACACACAGAGACACACACACAGCAACACACACACACACACACACAGTGACACACACAGAGACACTCACACAGCCATACACACACATACAGAGACACACTCACACAGCGACACACACACAGCGACACACACAGCGAAACACACAGAGACACACACACACAGTGACACACACAGTGACACACAAACCTCTCAGACTAAACCGTTTCCTCCTCAGGGTTAGTGGCTGAAGGAGAGAAGCCGCAGAAGCAGACTGGAGGACTTGTCGTTACCAAGGACCTGATGGGTAAGACCTGAAGTTGTTTTTAGATCCAGCCAGGCTAACATCCCCCGTGGCTCAAACATGTCACAGTCCTGTAATAGTCTGATATCCAAAGTACAAAAGTATTGCCCTAGAATTAATACCGGTATTAGAAATTCTTTGCAATCTCATGTCTGTGCTTGCAGCTGGTAAGGCTCTAAGATATTATTACTAAGTAAATGGTTTTATTATAATTTGTAACGGCCAAAAAAAAAAGCCTTTAATTTCTTCATCAAAGATTTTAGCAAAAAATTTCCTTTGTTTTGGTGTACTTATTGGCGCATTAGCATATTACAATTATATAATAATAATATATTACAGAGCCTATTCCCTCGTCTCCAAAAAAGCGTTATTTAAAACCTATGCATCATCATTATTATTATTATTTTTATTATTATTATTAACCTGATGTTGTGCTGTTGTGTGACCAGGGAAGCACCCGGTGTCGGCTCTGATCGAACTGTGCACGAAGAAGAAGATCATGCAGCCGGACTTTGTCATGGTGCACCACAGCGGCCCCGACCACCGCAAGAACTTCCTCTTCAAGGTCCTCGCTCGTTTGCCTCCACCTGTTTGTACTTCCACCTGTTTGTACTTCCACCTGTTTGTACTTCCACCTGTTTGTACTTCCACCTGTTTGTACTTCCACCTGTTTGTACTTCCACCTGTTTGTACTTCCACCTGTTTGTACTTCCACCTGTTTGTACTTCCACCTGTTTGTACTTCCACCTGTTTGTACTTCCACCTGTTTGTACTTCCACAGCCAAATGTGACTAAACTCTGTGGGTGTAGGTGACGGTGGGTGGAGTGGACTACCAGCCGCAGACTGCCAGCCCCAATAAGAAACACGCAAAGGCCATGGCAGCGACTGTGGCTCTGCAGGCTCTGGGAGAGGTATGTGCAATATCCTCATACGTGCAATATCCCCATAAGTGCAATATACCCATACATGCAATATACCCATACGTGCAATATACCCATACGTGCAATATATCCATACGTGCAATATACCCATAAGTGCAATATACCCATAAGTGCAATATACCCATACGTGCAATATACCCATACGTGCAATATATCCATACGTGCAATATACCCATAAGTGCAATATACCCATACATGCAATATACCCATACGTGCAATATATCCATACGTGCAATATACCCATAAGTGCAATATACCCATAAGTGCAATATACCCATACGTGCAATATACCCATACGTGCAACTAGTGTGCAATACTGTGATTCAGGGCGGTATACTTGTTGGTCACAGCATAGTGCATTCCACAGCGGCTAAACTAGGCTGGTCCCAAAAAAAAAACTGCATCTGGAACGTAGCGTTGAGCCAAGAGGCACTTTTGGACCGTTACGGTAACGCCGTTTACCAGAGGAAAAAAGGTGTCATTAGAATGCTCACCACATTCCATTAGCTCATAAGTTCAGAGGCACACCCACAGCGCCCTCTGCTGTTTTTTTGGTTTTCAACAATTTTTGGGTTTGACGTCAGGCCAGTGAATAACAAACGTAGGACAGGACGTGACGTATCCTGCCGGTCCAGTCTGCCGGGTTTATACACGGAGAAATAGTAGAAGAAGAAGCATCTATTTGTGCGGTGTACGCTTTTAGCAACTGCACAAATACAGAGAAAGATTTATGTTCCACCTATGGTCTCATATAAAGAGGACACTTTGAAGGCGAGGTGGATCAAGGCTTTCCCAGATAAGCGCCCCCTGCAGGCCACCCCAATGAAACGCACCAATTTCTTCTGTTTTTTTTCCAAAAATGCCCAAAATCGAGACTCTTTTGAGAAATAATTGTTAGTACTGCCTTAGAATTGAGTGTCCCCGATTAAGACTGTTCCAACAACCGTACACCGCACAGGAGGAGAGCCTTTGACTCCCAAACAGACTTTACATGGTTTTCAATTGGAGCAAAACTGTCCCATCTCTGCTCATGCGCCCCCTACAGGCCAGGTTCATGAAACCCAAGAATAGAAATATATTGCCTCAAAATTGAATTTACTCAGATAATCAAGTTGCACTCCTTTCTATTGTGTTGCTTCAATCACTGTGCTATGTTAGGATTTAGATCTAACTCTAGCAGACTTAGATCTAAATCTGTAATGTTCCGTTTCTAATAGTAGCACCGCGGTTTATCCATGTATTTTGGTTATCCATGTATTTTGAAAGATTAAACCAGTAAATAGTCTCAATATTGTGTATCAGATATAAATAGATCATATTTGATCTTAAAGTTCTGAAATACAAAATGACTGTGTTTTCTGATTTTCTCTTTGCCGTGTGTTTCAGGTCCCTGCGGATGGACCGGGTCTGTACGCGGGCCCCGTCTTCACCGCTGCCTCCACCGGACCCTTGTTCTCCACGTGATCCAGACAGACCCGACTCTGAAAGGGAGCACAGGACCTCGTCATTTCATGGACAATATTTCAATATAAGGGCGGCGCGTTTTGTAAATGAAGACATTGTAGATTTCTGTAACGTTTAGACATTTGTTTTAACGGTGATGTAAATACTTGTCTGCCATACTTCTGTACCGTGTTCCCGTAAAGTGTCCGAACTCATTCAAAAGCTCTGACCTGTACGGAGCCAGCGTTAATAAAGACTATATTTATATTGTTCAAGTATTTTAATAATGTTTCCTGTCATTAAATGTATATTTTATTTAGGCGAATTCCGTAACAACAGAAAAGACAAATGGTCCTAAAGTCGAGCCTTGGGGGACCCCACCGGATATTTAGTAACAGTAGTAGCTTTAAGTTGCTATAACAAAAGTTTATGAAATGTACAACTATCGCTGTGGTTACAAACAGATTAGCCTCAGGAGCTTTGCAATCAAAAGTGTAAATGTTTATCATCAAACAATTAAGCTAATCTATATATAATTGGTGTGATTGGAACCATTGGTAGACTTTCTATAAAGTATGAAAATAAAAAAACATTCCCTGAGCATTATATTTGCTTTAGTATTTAGAACGTTGCCTGATCTTACCCCCCCCTGTAGGGAAATGATCATGTACCGTAGTTTACAGATGGCTGAGGCCAGGCTTTAGAACATAGGCCTTAGTTAGGTTTGTGGTTGGACCCCTGCTCCCATTGGCTGATAATACTGCCTGTGTCTTTGGACTAGAAGACACAATCTTGCCTTTTTAGTGTTTGTTGAACTGAATGGATGTGTATGAAGAGCTTTTTGGAATGTACAATGGGCTACTAGACTTTGAATGAACTTTTTACATGGATCCTGTTGCAAGTTTGCTGAAAAATTAAAACTCTCCATAAACAACTCTGTTAGCCTCAAGCATTATTTTACAAATGAATGTCAGTTACTTTTCAAATTGTGAAAGAACATTTTTCACCCCTGTTAGACCCGCCTGCTCGCCCCTGTTAGACCCCCCCTGTTAGACCCGCCTGCTCGCCCCTGTTAGACCCCCCCTGTTAGAGACCCCCGCCTGCTCGCCCCTGTTAGACCCACCTGCTCGCCCTGTTAGACCCACCCGCCCCTGTTAGACCCACCTGCTCGCCCCTGTTAGACCCGCCTGCTCGCCCCTGTTAGACCCCCCTGTTAGACCCGCCTGCTCGCCCCCTGTTAGACACCCCCTGCTCGCCCCTGTTAGACCTGCCCCCTGTTAGACCCGCCTGCTCGCCCCTGTTAGAGACCCCCCTGTTAGACCCCGCCTGCTCGCCCCTGTTAGACCCGCCCTCGCCCCTGCTCCCCCCTGTTAGACCCCGCCCCCCCCTGTTAGCCCGCCTGCTCGCCCCTGTTAGACCCCCCCCTGTTAGACCCGCCTGCTCGCCCCTAGACCCACCTGCTCGCCCCTGTTAGACCCGCCTGCTCGCCCTGTTGTTAGACCCGCCTGCTCCCCCTGTTAGACCCCCCCTGTTAGACCCACCTGCTCGCCCCTGTTAGACCCCCCTGTTAGACCCGCCGCTCGCCCTGTTAGACCCCCCCTGTTTATACCCGCTTGCCCCTCCGTTAGACCCGCCTGCCGCCCCTGTTAGACCCGCCCCTCGCCCTGTTAGACCCCCCCTGTTAGACCCGCCTGCTCGCCCTGTTAGACCCGCCTGCTCGCCCTGTTAGACCCCCCCTGTTAGACCCGCCTGCTCACCCTGTTAGACCCCCCCTGTTAGACCCGCCTGCTCGCCCCCGTTAGACCCGCCTGCTCACCCTGTTAGACCCGCCTGCTCACCCTGTTAGACCCCCCCTGTTAGACCGCCTGCTCGCCCCCGTTAGACCCGCCTGCTCACCCTGTTAGACCCGCCTGCTCACCCCGTTAGACCCCCCCTGTTAGACCCGCCTGCTCGCCCTGTTAGACCCCCCCTGTTAGACCCGCCTGCTCGCCCTGTTAGACCCCCCCTGTTAGACCCGCCTGCTCGCCCCTGTTAGACCCCCCCTGTTAGACCCGCCTGCTCACCCCTGTTAGACCCCCCTGTTAGACCCGCCTGCTCACCCTGTTAGACCCCCCCTGTTAGACCCGCCTGCTCGCCCCTGTTAGACCCCCCTGTTAGACCCGCCTGCTCACCCCGTTAGACCCGCCTGCTCACCCTGTTAGACCCGCCTGCTCGCCCCTGTTAGACCCGCCTGCTCGCCCCTGTTAGACCCGCCTGCTCGCCCCTGTTAGACCCCGCCTGCTCGCCCTGTTAGACCCGCCTGCTCGCCCCTGTTAGACCCCCCTGTTAGACCCACCTGCTCGCCCCTGTTAGACCCACCTGCTTGCCCTGTTAGACCCGCCTGCTCGCCCCTGTTAGACCCGCCTGCTCGCCCTGTTAGACCCGCCTGCTCGCCCTGTTAGACCCACCTGCTCGCCCCTGTTAGACCCACCTGCTCGCCCTGTTAGACCCGCCTGCTCGCCCCTGTTAGACCCCCCTGTTAGACCCCGCCTGCTCGCCCGTGTTAGACCCACTGCTCGCCCCTGTTAGACCCACCTGCTTCGCCCCTGTTAGACCCACCTGCTCGCCCTGTTAGACCCGCCTGCTCGCCCTGTTAGACCCCCCTGTTAGACCCACCTGCTCGCCCCTATTAGACCCACCTGCTCGCCCTGTTAGACCCGCTTGCTCGCCTCCGTTAGACCCCCCCTGTTAGACCCGCCTGCTCGCCCTGTTAGACCCCCCTGTTAGACCCGCCTGCTCGCCCTGTTAGACCCGCCTGCTCGCCCCTGTTAGACCCGCCTGCTCGCCTGTTAGACCCGCCTGCTCGCCCTGTTAGACCCCCCCTGTTAGACCCGCCTGCTCACCCTGTTAGACCCCCCCTGTTAGACCCGCCTGCTCGCCCCCGTTAGACCCGCCTGCTCACCCTGTTAGACCCGCCTGCTCACCCCGTTAGACCCCCCCTGTTAGACCCGCCTGCTCGCCCTGTTAGACCCCCCTGTTAGACCCGCCTGCTCGCCCCTGTTAGACCCCCCCTGTTAGACCCGCCTGCTCGCCCCTGTTAGACCCCCCCTGTTAGACCGCCTGCTCGCCCTGTTAGACCCCCCCTGTTAGACCCGCCTGCTCGCCCTGTTAGACCCCCCCCTGTTAGACCCGCCTGCTCACCCTGTTAGACCCCCCCTGTTAGACCCGCCTGCTCGCCCGGTTAGACCCCCCCTGTTAGACCCGCCTGCTCGCCCTGTTAGACCCCCCCTGTTAGACCCCCCCTGTTAGACCCCCCCTGTTAGACCCCCCCTGTTAGACCCGCCTGCTCACCCTGTTAGACCCCCCCTGTTAGACCGCCTGCTCACCCTGTTAGACCCCCCCTGTTAGACCCGCCTGCTCGCCCCGTTAGACCCGCCTGCTGTTAGACCCGCCTGCTCGCCCCTGTTAGACCCCCCCCTGTTAGACCCGCCTGCTCGCCCCTGTTAGACCCCCATCTCGCCCCTGTTAGACCCGCCTGCTCACCCTGTTAGACCCCCCCTGTTAGACCCGCCTGCTCGCCCCTGTTAGACCCGCCTGCTCACCCTGTTAGACCCGCCTGCTCACCACCCCGTTAGACCCCCCCCTGTTAGACCGCCTGCTACCCCCGTTAGACCCGCCTGCTCACCCTGTTAGACCCGCCTGCTCACCCTGTTAGACCCGCCTGCTCACCCCCGTTAGACCCCCCCTGTTGACCCGCCCCCGTTAGACCCGCCTGCTCACCCTGTTAGACCCGCCTGCTCACCCCCGTTAGACCCCCCCTGTTAGACCGCCTGCTCGCCCCGTTAGACCCGCCTGCTCACCCTGTTAGACCCGCCTGCTCACACCTGTTAGCACCCGCCTGCTCACCCCGTTAGACCCCCCCTGTTAGACCCGCCTGCTCACCCCCGTTAGACCCCCCCTGTTAGACCGCCTGCTCGCCCCCGTTAGACCCCCCCCTGTTAGACCCGCCTGCTCGCCCCCGTTAGACCCCCCTGTTAGACCCGCCTGCTCGCCCCTGTTAGACCCCCCCTGTTAGACCCGCCTGCTCGCCCCTGTTAGACCCGCCTGCTCACCCTGTTAGACCCCCCCTGTTAGACCCGCCTGCTCGCCCCTGTTAGACCCCCCCTGTTAGACCCCCCTGTTAGACCCGCCTGCTCGCCCCTGTTAGACCCCCCCTGTTAGACCGGCCTGCTCGCCCCTGTTAGACCCGCCTGCTCACCCCTGTTAGACCCGCCTGCTCACCCCCTTCTGCCTGAGTGGAGGAAATGTATTCAAAAAGTTGATTGACATTGATTGGGCTCTATTCCCATTTAACCAAATATATTCCAGAAGGTTTTTTAGTCATTTAAAAATGTAATTAACAGTATAATGCCCTCACCTTATTTTATTTTAAAATCTATTGCTTTATTCCCCAGTACACATCTTGTGAGGAGTATCATCTCTTTCAGAAGACATTTAGGGAGTCCACAGGGGTCAGTCTTTGGACCTGTGACCTTTTTCTTTGTTTCTCATTTGTATTTACACGCGAAATATACATGATTAACAACATGTGTGAACCAGCAGGACAAACATGGCCTTGTTGTTGGACTGGGCCCACACACCTCTGGTCTGGAGGTGTGACTCCCATGATGCTCTGGTGTTGGTAAACTGAGGAGCTCCCACTGCCCTCATCAAAACCCAGAAGCAGCTTCAGTCTGAGGTCAGTGAGCTGGAGCGAGCAGACATGGTGAGTCCACTCTTACTGACACGCTGTTCGAGCAGAGGAAAGGAAAACAACACCGAGGTCAGATTTATTGGTTTCTGACTTAATGAGAAGGCGATCTCTGTATTCACTTATTATTATCAATATTATTATGATTCTTTATGAGGACATTAACTCCCTGGATATCAACAGTGTATTTCTTTACACATAGGAAGGAAATGTGAACAAAAGACATGACATTTTGTGTAATCTGAGGGTATTTTTAACAACAAATCCAATGTGTGAAAGACCTTTAAAGCAGCAACATATGGACCAAGCCAAAATCATTAAGTCACCAGCTTGAAAATGTTGCTAAAAAAATTTAAAATCCATAAATCTATGACTGTAGAGTGAATAAGAAAACTCATTGATATAAATTAATCTTAAAAATTAATTTTGATTCTGCCTCTAATTATGATGTATGTGCGACTATAAAAGCACATACAGCCCATTTAGATGTATCTATTTTGTTTGCGATTGTGTGGTTTGCATGTTCTCCCTGTGTCTGCGTGGGTTTCAGCTCCCCCCTGTGCCAGATGTGCCCGTCTGTTTGGCTTCTCGCTTCAGTGTCTGGAGAGAATGGGAATCACTGGAACAATAAGAATTTTAAAGCGTGTGACCTTGTTCTGTGAAATATAAAATAAAAATGACTAAACTCCCAAAGTGATTGTGGTGGAAAATGAAGTGGAAAGATTTTAAAATTTAGCACTGACTGATTTTATTTTGTGTACAGATAACTAACTTCTATTTGAACCTGTTTTTGTGCAGCCCTAAATGATAATCATATTCATGTCCGCAGTACGGATTCATAAACAGCTGTCTGCAGTCTCTGGTGGAGGAGAGGTTTGGACACGAGACATGGAACACAATCAGGTCCGGACAAAACATTATCAACCTCTGAATTAATCCTGTTCATTCTGAAGAGTCAAAAATTTGTTTTATTCCATGCCATGAAAAGTATTAAACTTTGAACTTTGTTACAGCCACAGACATAAAGACCACAACATTTTAACAGCCGAAGGAAGTGAAAGAATTATAAATGATTTTGTTAATATAAGGTTTGCAGAAGTAACAATATCTTTAAAACAAGACAAATATCTTATTCCAAGCATAAAAGTAAAAGTACTCTTAAACTAAGATTAAAACACTTATTTTTAGCAGAAAAATATCCTTTCCATGCACACTTATATATTTTGTATTTTGACACGTGTTCTGTCCCAGTTCTCTGGCGGGTCTCCAGGACCCGTTCATGACCTACACGGTGTACGACGACGCCGTGACGCTCAGACTGGTGCAGGAGGCCTGTGGGATGCTGGGTAAAAGAAACCAACACAAGCTTTTATTACCAATACTTTATTAATATTATTATTATTATACTATTATTATTATATTATTATTATTATTATCATTATTATCATTATTATCATTAATATCATTATTATCACTATTATCATTATTATCATTATTATCGTCGTTATTAGGGCCTATTGTTTTTGCTCGAGAGATTGTCAAATTCTGACATCTCTGCGGTGCGAGGAGTCGTGCGGTGTGGCGAGGGCCGTTCGACGCCGCTTGCGGCTTTAATTAGTATTTTTATCATTATCATTATTATTATCATGATTATCATTATCATTATTATTATCATCATGATTATTATTATTGTCATTATCGTCACTGTGGCGCAGAGCGAGCCCTCAGACGTGTTAACAAGGTCCAGGAGGAGTCGACCTGCAGCTCTGTCCAAACAAAGAGAAATCTCATGTGTTTGTTGTTTATGGTTAAAAGAACAAATGGTTAAAAGGTTAAACGGCAAAGAACAAATGACGACGCTGTAAAAAAAGTGTTTGGGAGAAATTCAAAGTGACTTCATTCAATGTGATTAAAAAACTGACTTTATTCTGGGGCACGTGTGTTAACTCAAGTTTAAAGTCAGGAAGGACATAAGACCTACAAATCTAAAATATTCTGGATGCAGTGAGAATATTTATCTGTCCTGAGTGATAGAGAGATGGATACACTGCAAACAATGATTTAAAATAAAAAATAAGTACAACATTTCTCAAATTTGGCAAAATGTGTCTTAATTTGAGCTCATTCTGACTGAACCTTAAAACCAGATTTACTGATGGGACAAAACAAAATGATCTTGTTTTTAAAATGAAATGTCTCCCTTGGAATGAGAAGATAAAGCAAACGGATAAATATATCATTCTGAAAGTTTCTAGCAATAGTAACAAAATGCAGCAGCGCTTTAGGGTCACAGCAGCAGAGGTGCAATAACCGACAATATCACAATTTAAAGCTTGGTACCTAACTTTCAATCCACTAAAACTGCAATCTTCCTGTTTTTCACTCGTAAAACTCCACCCAAACTTGAACCCAAGACCTTACAATGCCTCACTTATGCAAAAGGTGTATTTAAAAAGTCAGGTACCTCAGCTTTAAATCAAGTAATGTTGCTTTGCATGGAATAGACGGACATTTGGACAGTGATGAGATCTTTGGATATGTTTTTAATTGTTTTAAAGCTGGGTTTCTACATTTATCTGAATCATAGATAATACAGCTTCATGTTAAACTAAAACATTTCATTTCACTTTACTGTTTTTGTTTTTGTCAGTTTAATGGATTGTTGATTATAGATGGCGCGGCTCCCTCGGGCTCGGTCCCTGCAGGTTCTCGTTAGTCCGGGGGGAACGAGAAGCGACTGAATATTTGTTTTTCCGTCTCTGCCGTCTCCTCGTTTGCATATTTTTATATATATTTCCCAGTGCGACATTAATAATGAGAGTGTGTTTCAGGCGTGGAGTCCGACGTGCTGCTGCGGCTCTTCGGAGAACACTTCTTCAGCTTCTGCAAACGAGCCGGATACGACACCATGCTGCGGACACTAGGGGGCGACCTCCTGGAGTTCATTCAGAATCTAGACGCGCTGCACTGCTACCTCGCCCTGTCGTACCAGGCCAGTGGGGACCGTGGGGACCAGTGGGGACCGTGGGGACCAGTGGGGACCGTGGGGGCCAGTGGGGACCAGTGGGGACCGTGGGGACCAGTGGGGACCAGTGGGGACCGTGGGGACCAGTGGGGACCAGTGTAGGCGGGTCACGGCTCAAAAAGGTCCTGACATGCTTGCAATAGGCCGGTGGGGGTGGACCCGGAAAAAGAATTACCCAATGCGTCTTTTTTTCCTCTCAAAAACATCTTTACAGGATGGTCCAAAAGTGGTTCTTGGTCCAAAAGAGGTTCTTGGTCCAAAAGAGGTTCTTCTTGGTCCAAAAGTGGTCCTTGGTCCAAAAGTGGCTCTTGGTCCAAAAGTGGTTCTTGGTCCAAAAGAGGTTCTTCTTGGTCCAAAAGTGGTTCTTGGCCCAAAAGAGGTTTTTCTTGGTCCAAAAGAGGTTCTTCTTGGTCCAAAAGTGGCTCTTGGTCCAAAAGTGATTCTTGGTCAAAATTCCAAAAGTGGTTCTTGGTCCAAAAGAGGTACTATCTTGGTCCAAAAGGGTTCTTGGTTCTTCTTGGGTCCAAAAGTGGCTCTTGTCCAAAGAGGTTTCTTGGTCCAAAAGTGGTATCTTGTTCCTAAAAGTGGATCTTTTCCAAACGGTTCTATTCTTGTCTTGGTCCAAAAGAGGGTTCATGGTCCCAAAAGTGGCTCTTGGGTCCAAAATGCTTGTCCTGAAGCGGAAGTAGTCTAAATGTCGAACCAGTCTGGTCGCTGTGGGACCTTTGAAGGCAACTCGAGTTAAATGCATCTTGGTCACATTTCCCTAGTGGCCATTTTGAAAAAGCCACAGAAGTCAAAACAGGTGGCACATTAGTTTTAACGGCGGAGATAGTCGTGACTGCGTTTGTATTTACAGTCTATGGTTTGGACGGAGAGGGAACGCTAATAATGATAATGATTTTAATTAATAACAACAGAATACAGAACGGATGCTCCCCTCAGCGTCTGCTACGGCGCCAGTAGCTCGGTTTGCCTTGACATTGTGGCGCCACTTGCATGTGAAAGCCAGATCCCATCTTGCCTTTGAAGCTAAGCAGGGCAGGGCCTGGTTAGTGCTGTGAAGGGAGACCACTGGTCACACCAGGACGCCATAAGGGAGGTGGGGGACAGCGGGCGGCTGCGGCTGATAACAGTGGCAAACCTCTGGCATGTGTCCTTTAGGGCAAAGACACTTCCCCCACATTAGAAAGAGTCCTGGTGGGTGGTGTGAGTGGTGTGTGGTGGTGGGAGTGGCCGATGGCACCGACTGTTGCCCTCGCTTTCTGTCATGTGTGCCCCAGGGCAGTTTATCACCACCGTGTATGGAGTGAAAGAATAATGAAGAGACTTTGCGTGTCCAGAAAAAGCGCTGAAATTGTTATTACTAATTATGATTTTGTATTTTGTTTCCTCTGCGGACGGTCCCGGCAGAGATGAACCTCGTCGTTCGTGAGATGGTGACGAGGACGGGGACATGTACTTTGGCACCTACAACCTGACCGGCAAAGTACTCTACACCATCCGTCCCAAGTACGGTAAAAAACGTTGGTTTCAAATTTAAAAATAAATAAGTGGTGAAAAAAGTGAGAAACTTCCGGGACAGGCTTAGATCCAGGACTCAAACGTTACACTGCAAATAGCAATAAATATTAAATATGAAATCTTGACTGACACTATGGGATATTTGATAAAGCATCTAAATCATTTTTGGTTATTACTACTGGAGCTTTTAAAGATTCAAGAATTGGTTTTCCATTTGCAGTAAAAGCACATTGGTGATGTCATAGTGATGCCATAGTGATGTCATAGTGATGCCATAGTGATGCCATAGTGATGTCATAGTGATGCCATAGTGTGATGTCATAGTGTGATGTCCATAGTGATGCCATAGTGATGTCATAGTGATGTCATAGTGATGTCATAGTGATGTCATAGTGATGATGTCATAGTGATGTGATGATCATCATGTGATGTCATAGTGATGTCATTGTGATGTCATAGTGATGTCATAGTGATGTCATAGTGATGTCATAGTGATGTCATAGTGATGTCATAGTGATGTGATGTCAGTGATGTCATAGTGATGTCATAGTGATGTCATAGTGATGTCATAGTGTGATGTCATAGTGATGTCATAGTGATGTCATAGTGATGTCATAGTGATGTCATAGTGATGTCATAGTGATGTCATGTGATGTCATAGTGATGTCATTAGTGATGTCATAGTGATGTCATAGTGATGTCCATAGTGATGTCATAGTGATGTCATAGTGATGTCATAGTGATGTCATAGTGATGTCATAGTGATGTCATAGTGATGTCATAGTGATGTCATAGTGATGTCATAGTGATGTCATAGTGATGTCATTGTGATGTCATAGTGATGTCATAGTGATGTCATAGTAATGTCATAGTGATGTCATAGTAATGTCATAGTGATGTCATAGTGATGTCATAGTGATGTCATAGTGATGTCATAGTGATGTCATAGTGATGTCATTGTGATGTCATAGTGATGTCATAGTGATGTCATTGTGATGTCATAGTGATGTCATAGTGATGTCATAGTGATGTCATAGTGATGTCAGTGATGTCATAGTGATGTCATAGTGATGTCATAGTGTGATGTCATAGTGATGTCATAGTGATGTCATAGTGATGTCATAGTGATGTCATAGTGATGTCATAGTGATGTCATAGTGATGTCATAGTGATGTCATAGTGATGTCATAGTGATGTCATAGTGATGTCATAGTGATGTCATAGTGATGTCATAGTGATGTCATAGTGATGTCATAGTGATGTCATAGTGATGTCATAGTAATGTCATAGTGATGTCATAGTATGATGTCATAGTGATGTCATATGTGTGATGTCATAGTGATGTCATAGTGATGATGTCATAGTGATGTCATAGTGATGTCATAGTGATGTCATAGTGATGTCATAGTGATGTCATAGTAACGTCATTGTGATGTCATAGTGATGTCATAGTGATGTCATTGTGATGTCATAGTGTGATGTCATAGTGTGATGTCATAGTGATGTCATAGTGATGTCATAGTAATGTCATAGTGATGTCATAGTGATGTCATTGTGATGTCATAGTATGTCATAGTGATGTCATAGTGATGTCATGTAGTGTCATAGTGATGTCGTGATGTCATAGTGATGTCATAGTTGTCATAGTGATGTCATAGTGATGTCATAGTGATGTCATATTGATGTCATAGTGATGTCATTGTGATGTCATAGTGATGTCATCATGTCTACAAGTGGTTTTTTTCTCATTTTTATATTTCAGTTTTATATTGTGCTTTTCGGACCCTGAAAGAAGCGATTAATGTGATTATGCATCTACAGCTCCCCCTGGGTGGTATGAAATGTGCTTATATAAATAAACTTGCCATGTGACATACGTATACTTAATACGTGTAGCTTAACTTAATAAAATAAAAATGATTATTCTGAGAACGTGTTTGTAACAATTTGTCCCAGAGGTTCATTAAGGTTTCTGTTTTGATCATTTTAGGAGGAAATATTCACAAAGTTAAAAGCAGAGGATGCCACTGGAAGTGAAGCAACGCGGATGGGTCCTGGTCAGTGACGGCCGTTTTGTCAGAAAGAGTACGTCAAAGTCATTTCATGGATTATTTGAGGATCGTTCTTTTTTCATGCCAGTTTGTTTGTGACGCCCCAGGCCGCCCCCCGCGCTCCTGCAGCGCGCCCGCTTTACCCCGAGGAAGCGTGTGGGATCGAGGAGAGAGGAGATCTTTCTGCAACGCCTTTCCCCTTCCAATCATGGTGTTCGACGCCAGCGTGAGTCGCCGTTCATTCCGGTGGAAAGAACACTGCACTCCTGGAGAGTAGCTTCAGTGACAGACTTATTCACCCCCGCGCGTGGAATGGTGAGATGGAGAGTGTCTCGCAGGTCCCTCCTCCCTGCTGCTGTCAGACTGTACAACGAGAACGGCTGAGTCTGTCCCACAGGCCTGATGAAAACTCACTGGGCACTTTACCTGTTGTTATTAAGTTTTATTCTAGTCTTGTTTTTTACTTTCTCCCCGCTGCTAAAGTACAATAAACACATCTGTAAATAACTTCTGGCCAAACAAAGTGCCATTAATAGGCTCCAGAGTTTTAAGGGGATTAAAATTTTAATCTTTTTAAATACAATCTTCTTCTCCTTCTTGTTATTGGTGCCAGCGCAGAGCACAGCCGGTGGGACGTGATACATTCCTCCAAAAGATCTTTCCCATGGTCTCCTGAGCGACCTATTTGTGGCGAGGGGGCGCCACAGTGGACCTAAGTACTTCAACCGCTGCGTCCATCCTCAGGTATCTCTGCACAGACCTGCGCTTACAAGGTGGGGGGAAAGTTAGTTAGCTACTACTGCCTACACAAGTTAAGTTAGTACGGCAACAAGCATAGCTCAGTACTGCCACAAGTTAGCTAGTTTTACTGCAACAACGTATAGCTAAGTACTGCCTACAAAGTTAGCTAGTACTGCTACAGAGTTAAGCTAGTACAAGCTACCAGATAAGCTAGTACTGCAACAAGTTATAGCTAAGTTACAGCTACCAAGTTAGCTAGAGTACTGACTGAGCGGTCGGTGAGCTAGTACAGCTACTCAAGTAAGCTACTCCTTGAGCTACAAGCTAGCTAGTACAGGCACACAAGTTAGCTAGGTACACGCTACGGGTGAGCTAAGTACTGCTACAAAGTATAGCTACTACTCGCCTAACAATGTTAGGCGAGTACTGCCTACAAGAGTTAGCTAGTACATGCTACCAAGTTAAGCTAGCTTTCACTTTGCAAAAAAAAGGTGATCAAAAACTAGTTTTTAAAGTTTCTGCCAACATATGGCTAACACGGTATCACAATTTATTTTTGAGTAAGCCCAACCCGAAAAAATTTTTTGAGTTAAAACAAAAAAAAAAAGATTTACCAACGGGACCAAAGTAAAATGCTTTGCGTTTAAACATAAGTTAGAGTAATTCCCTTAGGACATGAGAACAATTATAAAGCAACATTTTCGTCAAAACAGACAACATGGATTTGTCCCTTGGAAAAAGTCAGCAGCTGTACGTGCTCAGAATCAAAAACCACTGGATTCAAGTGATTTCTCAGTGACTGTAGCCCAAAATAAAATTATACATCTAATTTTGGAGGTGTTGGATACTTTGAGAGTCGCTCAATTGTAGTGTAGTGAAGGCCGCTCCGGCAGAGTCGCGACTACGCTTCGAGTCGATGCCGCACGGGTGGGCGCACCGAGAAGGAGAGTCGCCCTCTCGCGAGCGACTCTCGCTCTGCACCGCGCCCGCCCTTCTCCCACGCTCGTCCCTCCTGCTCTCTCTCTCGTCACACGGTGCTCAGCACTCGTCCGTCACCTCTGCTCTCTCTCTCCTCACTCACATCTCACGTCACTCTCTCTCTCGCGGTCTTCTCGCTCACTCTTCTCTCTCTCTCCTCTCCGCTCTCTCTCACACACACCTCTCTCGTCTCTCACTCCATCGCTCTCAATCTCATCTACACTCGTCGCTCTCTCTCTCTCTCCCTCTCTCTCTCGTCTCACACTCTCGCTCTCGCTCCTCATCTCGTCTCACTCTCCCATCTCTCTCCTCACTCTCTCACACTCATCGCCCTCCTCTCTTTCTTCTCTTCTCACTCTCTCTCAATCGCTCTTCTCTCTCTCACTCTCTTCCCTCGGCTCCTCCACTCTCGCTCCTCCTTTGCAACTCTCTCTCCTCCTCTCTCCCCTCTCTCTCTCCTCTCCTCCTCTCTCTCCCTCTCTCTCCCTCTCTCCTCCCTCCTCTCTCTCTCCTCTCCCTCTCTCCTCTCTCTCTCCTCTCTCTCCCCTCTCTCTCCTCTCCCTCCTCTCTCTCCCTCTCTCTCTCTCCCCTCTCTCCTCTCCTCTCTCTCCTCTCTCCTCTCTCCTCCCTCTCTCTCTCCTCTCTCCTCTCTCTCCTCTCCTCCTCTCTCTCTCCCTCCTCTCTCTCTCTCCTCTCTCCTCTCCTCTCTCTCTCCCTCCTCTCCTCTCTCTCTCCCCTCTCTCCTCTCCTCTCTCTCTCCCTCTCTCTCCCCTCTCTCTCCCTCTCTCTCCTCTCTCTCCTCTCCCTCTCCTCTCCCTCTCTCTCCCTCTCTCCTCCTCTCTCCTCTCCCTCTCTCTCCCTCCTCTCTCCTCTCTCTCCTCTCTCTCTCCTCTCCCTCCTCTCTCCCTCTCCTCTCCTCTCTCTCCTCTCCCTCTCCTCTCTCCTCTCCTCCTCTCTCTCTCCCTCTCTCCTCCCTCTCTCTCCTCTCCCTCTCTCCTCCCTCTCCCTCTCTCTCCTCCCTCTCTCTCCTCCTCTCTCCCCTCCTCTCTCTCCCTCTCTCCTCCTCTCCTCTCCTCTCCTCTCCTCCCTCTCTCTCTCTCCTCTCTCTCCCTCTCTCTCCTCCTCTCTCCTCTCTCTCCCCTCTCTCTCTCCTCTCTCTCCCCTCTCTCTCCTCCCTCCTCTCCCCTCTCTCTCTCCTCTCTCCCTCCTCTCCTCTCCCTCTCTCCCTCCTCTCTCTCCCTCTCCTCCCTCTCTCTCCCTCTCCTCCTCCTCTCTCCTCCTCTCTCCCCTCTCTCTCCTCTCTCCCTCTCTCTCTCCTCTCTCTCCCCTCTCTCCTCTCTCCTCTCCTCTCTCCTCTCCTCTCTCTCCTCCTCTCTCCTCCTCTCTCTCCCTCTCTCCTCCCTCTCCTCTCCCTCTCTCCTCCTCTCCTCTCCTCTCTCTCCTCCTCTCTCCTCCCTCTCCCTCTCTCTCCTCCTCCCCTCTCTCTCTCCTCTCTCTCCTCTCCCTCTCCTCTCTCTCTCCCCTCTCCTCCCTCTCTCCCTCCTCTCTCTCCTCTCTCCTCCTCTCCTCTCCTCTCTCCCCTCTCTCTCCTCTCTCCCTCTCTCTCCTCCTCTCCCTCTCTCCTCTCCCTCTCTCCCTCTCCTCTCTCCTCTCCCCTCTCTCTCCTCTCTCTCTCTCCTCCTCTCTCCTCTCCCTCTCCTCCCTCTCTCTCTCCCTCTCCTCTCCTCTCTCTCCTCTCCCTCTCTCTCTCCTCCTCTCCTCCTCTCTCCCCTCTCTCCTCCTCCTCTCTCTCTCCTCTCTCCTCTCCTCTCCTCTCCTCTCCCTCTCCTCCTCTCTCTCCTCTCTCCTCTCCTCCTCTCCTCTCTCCCTCTCTCTCTCTCTCCCTCTCTCTCCTCCTCTCTCCTCTCCCTCTCTCTCTCCTCTCCTCTCCTCTCTCCTCTCCCTCTCTCCCTCCTCTCTCCTCTCTCCCTCTCCTCCCTCTCCCTCTCCTCTCTCTCCCCTCCTCTCTCCTCTCCTCTCCCTCTCT